ATTAGGTATAATTCCGTTTTCTGATTGATTACTATAAACTGTCGAAAAAATAAAATAAAAGTAAAACAAATTTAAACACATAATTGTTAATTAATATTGGATAATTACAGTTACTTATATTTTATAACTACACTCGGCCCTCTTTTTATGCGGTTTTGAAGTTATGCGGTTTTTATTTCAAGAAACATTTTTTAAATAACTATTTTAGGCCATTTTGACACGTTTTGACACAAATTGGCAAACCATTTCATCGAAAAAGATGATAATTATGAACGAGCATTCAAGCATCAACACGAGCTTCAGAATTGCATTTCTGGATATCAGGAATTGTACAAAAAATAGCAAAGCCATCGCAATGTTTAATCACTGATTATATTGTCAAAGGGAAAAAATGAACATGCGAAGTTGAGACTAATTTTACTTGTGAATAATCATTATCTTCAGGACATAGATTTGATATGCTGACTTACTCTTCTAGTGATGAAAGTGATTTCGAACATTATTCTTCGCAAATTATGCCGAGAGTGTTTGGCGACGATAATTCTAAAGAAAAAAATGTGGGGAAAGTTTAACTTTCATGAAAAATTTCTGTATTTTTTTTGTAAAATTTTTCCGTATAAATTTAGAAGGAATATATTAAGTGATTATGAAGAAATGAGTGAAAACTGTGTGAAAAATAAAAACTCGAAATGTTCAAACTACAATTAACTGAATTTTCGGATGATAGTTTACTCAAGTAACTAAAGAAATAAAAAAATTTAATTTAAATGAACAAAGATTTAGTAATAATGAAGATTTATGAATTATATGAATTTAACGGTAAACTATGTGAATTTTTACAGAAATTTAATATAAACTATGTGAAAAATTAACATTTTAATCTAATTATGATTAAAACTATAATGAAAATAATGAAGCTATTCATCTGCAATTACTACAATAGATAAATGAGAATTATAAACTACGTATATAAACTACGTAAATATGTAAAAAGTTTGTAAGTTTGATGAATTAAGATTTAGATTTAATACTGTTGATATAAAAATAAGTCCATTTTATAGATGTGATTTGAAAAGAAGTGAATAGTATAAAATTTGTAATTATAATTGATGAATCAATATTTCGTGTTAATTATGATACAAGTTTTTATCAATTTTATAAATGTTTAGATGAAAGCTGTAAATTATGTAAATAAATTGTTTTAAAATGAATAAACATAATCATTTTTACAGCAATATCTTGCATAATGCGGTTTTCATCAGTATTTCTATTTATTTAATTTAATCAGTCAGGAATAATATATGTTATATTTAGTAAAATCTTTAAGATTCATAGCTCATTGTTGTGTAATTCGATGAAACACATACCTGTTCCTCGAGTACCGATGAAGCCAATGAGTAGTATAACATTTGCGTGAATAAAATTGTAATCAAAGCACCAAACTTAACAAATACATTGAAAGTGGGTATAATTCTGAAACGTTGAAAATTGTAGAAAATCAATTAATGGTGTGATGGGATTAGAATATTATTAAACCAAACCCATCGAAAGTAAGCATATAAAATCCAACAACTTGACTTCCTGAAGTGAACAGAAAGAAAACGAGTAAGGGCATCGAATATACATCTTTCACCTCCTTCAAGAATCTTCAAGAAGAAAAAAAAACAAATAATTAATATATTCAATTCAAATAAAAGAAAATACCTAAATATCAATCCGTGTTGGGCTGCGATTCTGCTAAGTTTATCGAGAGCGACTGTTTCGTTGCAATTGGCCAAATCCAATTTTCCAATGGCGATTTTCAAATTTTCCAAACCCGCATATGCCTGCGCTATGAACGCGACGAAGAGACCGTCGAAGAGACCGTCGAAGGGACACGCGATTGGTATACACTGTAAGTAGACGTAGTAAATAATCCAAACGGTCATGAAGGTGAAACACGGCGATGAATCCAAGTCGCACATGGGATGCAAATTCAATGGTAAAGTTCTCGAAAAGAACGGCATCAGAAATATGCTGATGGAGCAGAAGTATGCGATGAGGAAATAAGCAAAACCAATTCCAAAAGAAGTACGATGGATCCTTTTTATGGTGCTCTCGTTGTCCGGGAAATAATCGACGGGCCAGAACTCTTCGATCATCAAAAGGATGCGCCGCACGTTGCGTTTGTAATACATTATCGAAGCCATCTTAAAGATGATCTGAAAAAAGAAAAGCGATCTTCTTAATTCCTGTTTCATCTTGGACCAAAAAATAATTCCATTACCAATATAAAGGATGGCAACAAAGTGGAGTCTGCGACCGAATCAATACCACTCCACGTATTGTAGATTCCCGAGAAATTCCAGACCGAAAAGAATATCATAGAAAACATCGTGAAATAACTGAGCGCTTCTGTCCTGAAACTGATTTTCAAAGGATTTATACCGATCACGTTCATATAGGATAAGTTCAGTTTGATCAGCGGCTGAAAGTCCATCTCATCTAACTATTATTATTTAAAACGCGACCGATTAGTAAACGCATCCACTTTTATACGTCTGAAAAGTTCAAGAACTCGTCTATTTGTCCTAATTAATTAATTACAGATCAGTAATCAGCTGCAAATTCACCTTCGTGGAAAAAAAAGTAATGTTCTCTCTTCAGAGTTTTTTTTTTCTTCCTTTTCTTTACGTTTCAGTTGGCATTTGGAGCGGCATCCGCCTGGGAATAAATATAATCCGACTGGCAAAGCGTGCAATTGATTTGTTGCATTTATTTGTACAGTCCTCTTCTGCAGACGGCGATGTTCTTTTTTTCTTTTCCCTTCGTTTTCTTTTCAATAGAAAACAAATAGAAAACTTCTCAAGTTTAACTGAATTATCTACTTTTACGCATTCTGTCTGTAATCTTATCTGTCTGAATACTTTTAAATTAAATGCACACACATAATATTTATTAAATAATGTAGTTAAGTGATATTTAAAATAATCCAAGTTTTTGTTCTTTTTGTTATTTAGTTTATTTACAAAACTATATCTGAAATATATAGTTTAATTAAGCTAAGTCTTATATTACGTTATATAGAATGTTTAAAATGTGCTAAATCTTAATAATTGTCCATCTTTCATAAATTTATTTTATTATTTGATTTATTTGGTAAAATTTTAAATTTGGTCTGTGATTTTTATAGAGAGAGCAAAGTTCAAATAATGAGAGAAGAGCAAAACTGATTTGAATACATTGAAATACGAATGGGATTCTCAAGTGTTTATCGAATAAAATTTAATAGTCGAGTTTATATTGAATCCTCTTGTGAATGTGATTTAAATCCTGAATAATATAAGAGCACGGTTAAGTATCAAATAAGGACGATTCAAGGTATCAAACCTAATGAAAATTCCGTGTATCTTGAGAGCCAATAAGTTTAAAGGAGGAGGAAGTCATGGAAATGATATTGGTAACTTTTTTTTTGCTGTATAATTTTATTCACAATCTGTTCATCTATGTGAACATTGAGTAAATTTAAGATCACGGTTGACATTAATTGGATAATTTACTCTTATGATGATTTGAACATTAATAATTTCTTAAATCTATTGGTTTGCGACGCTTCAGCCTATTTGTGTTTTCACTGTTGTCGAGTAGGTCATTAGCCAGAACATTAGTATGTGACTCTAGTCTATCTTGGTATCTACTACTAAATGTTGGTATTGTATCCTCGACCATATCTATATGAAGATATTCGTGTATTTGTTTATTCCTGACGAACCATGGGGCCCTAATAATATTTCTTAGGTATTTTGATTGAAACCTTTGTATAATTTGTATGTTCGATATACTGGCCGCACCCCACAATTGGATACCATACGTCCATACTGGTTTCAGTATTACTTTGTATATAAGTAATTTATTTTCCACTGATAATTCCGACTTTTTCCCTAGAAGCTAGAGTTTTCAAAACTTTATTTCTAATTGCTCCCTCTTAGCCTGAATGTGATCTTTCCAGGTGAGTATTCTGTCTAGATACATGCCTAGATATTTGACTTTTGTTGCTTTGGACAGATCTTGTCCATTAAGTCTTACAGTTGGGAAGGTGTCTTTCTTTAGCGTGAATGTGATATGCACGGATTTCATTTTGTTAACTGCTATTATATTGGTAACTTGAAAATAGAAATAAAATTAGATAATTAATTATGTTTTTAATTAGATTATGTCTAGAAAAAGATTGTATGATAAAAGTTAATTGAATGGTCATGAAAAATCAAATACAATAAAGTTTGTGAACAAATAGTTAAACATTATTTTCATAATACATTTATAATACTTAAAAATCGATGAGCTTAAGGGAGAAGAAAGGAATGTAATTTATTTAAAATTTCTAATAAAAATATGTTGGTATTCCGGGCATTTGTTAAATTAATTCCAAAATAATAATCTTGCAAATGGAACAAAAGTTTGGAATGTAATGGAAATTAATAAATCTCCCTTTGGCCAGCCTATTAGTATATATATTTTTATTCTATGTTAAAATTTATTTATGTATAAATTGTACTTTTTTTTCTCTTCTTCTTATGTATCGATGTTTGGCCAATAAATTATTATTATTAATAAATCTCTACAACATTATAAAATATATTACGAGAAATTGGAAAATCAAATATGACAATAAAGACGTGAATTATTTCAAAATATTTGAATATATGCATTAAATAAAAGTTAATGAATTTTAGATAAGAAGAGCTTGAAACTTTAAGAGAAACAATGCACACTTTGATAAACAAGTTTTTTCGTTTTATTAAGAACTTCTTGATGTTTTGCTTGAATATTATATGTTTACTGCATATCCCCGTTTTGAGCGACATACGGCGTAAATATCTGTCAGACGTATCAACCTAAAACAAACCTTTCGTTATTATGGATTTCGATGTCAGTGAATCTAAACTGACAGCTGCGAATGCGTGCCAACTTAAATAAATTTATGTCACTAAAAATATCAATTGAATAACTCTTTGTTGCAGGATAATCAATGCATGAGGATCAAGATCCTTGGGGACTGTTACTACTGCGTTTCCGGTCTTCCCGTGTCGCGGCCTAATCACGCCTACAACTGCGTCAATATGGGCCTTCAGATGATCGAAGCCATCAGGTGAGAGAGAGAAACCTCACCCCCTAAGCTTTCTCAATGTCTTTTCGTCGTCGTTTAATGCACCCATCTCTAGCGAGCCTGATTTTATGTTCCCTCCTCCATCTTCCACTCCGAATCTCAATTAAGTTTCCTTTAATTGGATCCTTTTGATATTGAAAAGGTAGCGAGCTCTTTCAAAGCATTCGCCCCCACTCAATGTATTTAATTCATTCAAGCCAGATTCCGAATCTATTAGCCAGAATCACGAATAGTGGCGAATGTTTTCGATGCAGCCGCATTCAAATGCAGACTTTTCTCTCTTTGCATTTGATTATATCAAAAATCAAGCGCTGCGAAAGTAACGTATTTGATGGATGTCTACGGTATTTACATCACTCCACATTTTATTTACTTTCTTTTTTTTTTGCAGAAAATTTAATAAAATCGAAAAGCATAAACTCACTTTCCGCGACCTGATTTATTATTTCTTCCGCTTCGGCAGACTCTCTCCCCCGCATCATCACAATTTCTGTTTCCTTCTTTTTTTTGTGTATTTCATATGCAAATGTTTTAAAGGTTTGTGCGCGAAGCGACTGGCTTTAATGTGGACATGAGGATTGGAATTCATACTGGTAACGTTCTTTGTGGCGTCTTGGGACTCCGCAAGTGGCAGTTTGACGTCTGGAGTGACGACGTCACGCTCGCCAATCACATGGAATCTGGTGGAATCGCCGGGTAAGTGAATCAAGACATTTCTATCAGACAGCAATCACTGTTTCTGTCTTCTGATTGAATTCATCCATTTATACATCACATCGTCTTATATTTTATCGAAAATTCAGTAAAATTTATCATGATCAACTATTCTATTGAAAGTGACCAATGACAATTGTTTTGACAGATGTACCAACTTAACTCTTTAGGGTTAGGTGGGTTAAAAATACAAATCAACGCTTTGGCTTTGTAAATACATGTTTGAGAATTGAAATTTCTATTACTTGTCAAGTCACATGCATTATATAATAAAAATAACAATCATTTATTGTATAACTATTGATCATAGCATTAAATACAATAGTGGTAAAGCACTAACAAAACAATTATTGATATGCTACTTGTCAAGTGTCAAATGATTAGTTGTCATCAAGTCATGAGAAACAGGCTTGGGCTTTGAAAAAAATAGAGTCAAATTAAACGCTTCTCTATGTCATCCTACAAGTACTGTATAATGACTTTTCGGAATGATAGTAAATGATACAAATAGATATGCAGCAAAGAAAGTAGTCTTTAGTATTTCTTTATTTATTTACTAATGAAACAAATATTATTAACTAATGTAACTATACAAAATCCACATATTTATTATTATATTAATTATTTTCAAGTTAATTAATATTTTGCTATTATTAACATATATGTAAATATGAAAAATGAAGAGAATGTTTATTGGAATTTATTTCGCATGAAATTAAATTGTGCTCAAAGTTTTATACGATGGAAGGCCGTATATTCCGCAGGTTTCTGACCCACTTGCAGCATTCATGATGTTGGATACGAAACGACATACATGGGACAAATGACACGATCCGGGGGCATTTCGCAATGCATATCATTCAGACAAATTAACGCTCATATGCTAATGTACAAGTAATTAACATTAATAGCACCATTATCTTACTTACGTATAGTTATGATATCGTATCAATGTTAATCATTTTTATAGGGAAAACACATGGACAAATGAGACAAACAGACAAATGTTTCTCTTCTGTGAAATGAATTGATTTCGGTGAATGTAAATGTAAAGAAAAATGTTTTACTTTGATCCTTTTTTTTTTACAGGCGAGTTCACATAACGAAGTCAACGCTCCTTCAATTAGGGGATCGTTTCGAGGTCGAACCAGGAGATGGCGTCTCGCGTGAAGGTTATTTGTCCGATCACAAGATCGAAACTTACCTCATAGTCCCGCCAAAGGTAAGTCAATATCAGCGAAAGTGCGTCAAAATTGGATTAGAAATGGGATTTTTCTATTCCAATCATAATAGCATCAATGCAAACTTTGTTTCGAATATCTTCAACATATGTAAATACATGCTCTGTCGCATAATGCAATCTGTACTGCATATCAAGTTGATATTGATGCAGTTTTTATCAATATCTTGCAGATTTGTCTATATATTTGTCAATTCAAGTTTATGCAATCAAACTTCCATTGCTAGGCCAAAGTAATTCACATAATACGACGATTCAATCAATATTTCCTCAAAAAAAAAGTGTGTTATCTTTAAAAAAAAATTTCTAACATGTCTACTTTACAATAAAATCAAAATTTCAGTATTTTCTCAAAAAAAAATGTGTTTTATTTAAAATTTAGATTTTCCGGTCATTCTGGGACACCCTATATAAAATAAATATAATGATTCAACTGCACTAGTTCCGATAAACAAAGATTTCTTTTTGTATCTAGCAATTATTTCATATAGTTTTGGCAGCTATGCGATCTAAAGAATAACATAAAGTGTCCCGTACATGACAAGTACTTGTGTGTGTAGTATTCATGACAATCGCAATTTGTTGAGTACATCTGTTACAAACACTGTATTAATACTTATCAAGTTTGCTTTGCAAATTATTCATATTCTAGGTGCGTATATATATTTAGGTAAAGATTGAAGTAAATATCACGAAGTTCCAAAATCGTAGTGAAGATTCCAAGTGGGTGGATTCCATTTAAATGAAAGCGAGTGGTGTGTTGTGTTTGCGAATAATGTATTGCATAATTTGAATATTCAAAGGGGATTCGGTGTACAGTGGGAAGAAAAGTTGGGTTGTGCGCTCCAAATTACCCAACTTGTTCACGCGAAACAATAACGGATGCGTCTCTATGGATCAATGTGTCTTTCTTACGGAGAAGCACGTATGCAGAGGTAGAAGCAAGTTTCGTAGCCGCCTTGCAAAATATTACGTATTTATGGCTGCCCGTCGTAAATTACACCCGCCCTTTTTGCAACACCGAAAATTAATTATTCAAGTGCGGTTTTACGCAATGAAGGCGCCTTTTTCATTTTAGTTCTGTTTTGCCAACCAACTATAGTGTTTTTGTTTGACCCTTCACATCTATCTTACACCCACGCTAAGAATAATACGACACATTTCACTATTATCTAGAGCAGAGGTTCCCAAACTGTTTTGTGTCGTAGACCCCTTGCCATATTTTCGGTTTTGGGTAGACCCCCTACTTACCTGATATTGATTTTTTGTAAATTTATTATTTATATTGGGACATCTTTATAATTATTAAGATCTTTGCTCTGAGACTGCGCGTATGCTTGTAACAAGATGATACTGGTATATCATTATGTGCAGGTTTTTACAAGTTCAGAATGTATTGCGACCACAAAGCGAATGGCTACATCCTACAACTTACACAATTTTATAAACATAGATAATACTTCATTGGTACTTTTATAAATAATGTATATGTCTTTATATTATAAGATAGTATAATGTAAGTAAATAAGTACTATCAGTGTATGTTGAGATCCACTATCGTGGACCCTCATTTTTATTTCATGGACCCCCTGGGGGTCGTTATAGACCACTTTGGGAATCACTGATCTAGAGTAATTGATAGATTTAATGATAATCAATGATATTCAAAGTTGTTATTAGACAACTTTTATTTATTTTAACATATATGAATTAAAGTAATGTACAATGGTTAAATTGAATGTTTGATGTATTTATCAATTATTATACATAATATGATTTGTTTTATAGTCTTTAAATGTATGGTACTTTTTTCCAAAGTTCAGAAAAGGATGTCTTTCACATAATTCGCAAAAGTAAAGTTTTCATTAAGTCGACTATCTACATATGATGTTGACGGTCTACCACTTAATTTTGTCTCTCGTCTGAAATCTCCCATTAAGGAAACCACTTATTAGTAATTATTATTATTAAAATAATTGCGGATTATTTCAGTTGTTATTTGCATAGTTTATTTGATTCTTTTTAATAATTTTTAATGTTTTAAAGCGATTACCATATAATTTTTGTGAATTTAGAAAAAAAATGTCTAAATGTGAACATTATTAAAGATATCACAGCAAATTTTATACAAAATGAACGAATAAATAATAACAATTTTCTGAAAAACGACTTTACAATTTATAATTGTTAGTTGTAACGATATTAAACTAAAAGTTAAAATAATCGACTGAGAAACATCAAATAATGATTGTTGTCACCTCCAGCGTGACGTACGATATCAGATACAGTGTGAATGTAGCTTTGTAAATACAATACTTTGAGAATACTTGTCAAGTCACATGCATTATATAATAAAAATAACAATCATTGATTATATAACTATTGACCATAGCAATATATTCATTAGTGGTAAAGCATTAACAAAACAATTATTGATATGTCAAGTGTCAAATGAATAGTTGTCATCAAGTCATGAGAAACAGACTAGATCGTGACCCAGATTGAAATTCTAGCTAATCTAATTGGGGCCATTGGTAATTGAGTTTTCGGGCTGACGTCGTTTGGGGGGTGATTTCGAATCGGATTATTATGTATTTCGGAAATCGATAGTCCTTTAACGAAAGGGACGGATGTCGTCGAACCGCGGGGGTTTCGCATCGAATTTCCGTAGATAAATGAATCTCATCGTTGAAACAAACGAGCTTCATTGACTTTCAGATTTTTTTGTTTTATAACAATAACGTCAAAGTAGAAGATAATTATTTGTTTTGCTCTGTAGAAGATCTCCGAGACTGATGGTCAGAATGGTAACGTCAGAGTGCATCTGTCTACGATATCGGAGAGGAACAACAGTCTGACAGGTGGAGACTCAGGATCTGTAGGAGGAGGAGGTGGTGGCTACGGTGGCATCGGTCTCGCCATCCCCGGTGGAGCGCCTACGCGATCCAGACCATCCACCAAGATGACGAAGTATGTGGAATGTTGGGGGGCGGACAAACCGTTCGCCAACATCGCCGAGTCAACATTGGCCAAAAATATTGAACTCACCGTAAGTCAAACACTTCACATGCCGAAAGCGGCGACGATAGTCCCGACACGTTTAAACCCAACCGAAAATCAAATGTTTGTTTGCAGTCCGATTCGTACCAGCAGGTAAAGCGAGTTGAAAAAGTAAACAATTTCTTCTTTATTATTAAACCCAGCGCTAATTACTTAACCGCGAGTTTACTTTTGTAACAATTTTTGAGAGTCTTACTGATTATTTTTGATAACATTTTTTCTTTAGCAAAATAAATATTTTAATAGTATTTTTTCCCCCTCTTAAGTTTCTAATTCCAAAATGTCTTAATTCTTCAGTTATTTATGAATATTGACTTATTTTATTACAATGTTAGTGACGTTTAAATTTTGACAGCTTTTGACGTACTATTTACTCATAATTCATACAAATATCATCGATGAATCAATTTCTTTTAAATAGATTTAATGTCAAATAAATGTAAAAATATTCATTTAAGTAATAATAACTAATTTTATGGTAATATAAGACAAAATTGGATTAGGAAAAATAACGAAATTATTTCAAATTAAAATATTAATTTTTTTTAAAAATTTTACAAAATCAAATATTTCAAGAATTAGAGCTTCTATCTAATGTTTCATAATTTTGTTAACATTTTGAAATATAGTTATATAACATTATTTTGAAGTAGTATACTAAAAAAAATCTATAATAAAAGTATAAGTTTTTTTTTTATAATACTTGCAACTAAAGTTTTGAATATTGTGAGCTCTAATGGCTAACGTTTGCTGACTGTGATAAATTATAATAGATGCATGTGATGTATGATAAAATATAATTTCTCCCATAGAGTTTGGCGATGATCGAGTCGAATTTGCTGCCGGTGAGGAGTACGTGTTTCGCATGGTAGTAAGTTTGGCATGGTGTGTATGTGCAAAGGTGGACGTCCAATTTCACGGTTGATCTTCTTCCATCAGCAGGAAATGGAGTAGCGAAGATCTGCATCCGGCGCTGCTTTGGTTTCGTAGCAGCCGCCACGAGGACGAGTATCGAGGACAACCGGATCCGGAGTTCCGTTATTACATGGCCTGCTCCGGTGCAATATTCCTTTCGATCCTGATCATGCAGGTCACCACAATACCCAAGTAAGTATAACCATTACGATGATGATGATGAAGATCGTCATCATCATTATTTCTTATACCTAATAGGTAATTATTATTATTATTTCGTCCTCCCGATTAAATATGCAAATAATCTTCTCTCAATTTCATTTGCATGCAAAGAAGCGCGACTCTTCCCTCCCCTTTTATTATGCAATTCTTTCTTGGTTCCTCAGTTTGCAATATATATATATATATATAAGTGTGTATATTTTTAGAAGTTTAAACGCCCATAATTTACGTCCTCAATTTGCATGAAATTAACTAATCTCATTAGCTCGGAGGTTCCATTAATCCCTTGTTTTATTCCGGGCAAACTTAATTGAATCACTTAATTATTTAAATAATACAGACTGAAATTGGACAATTTACATGCTCCTCCTAACATTAAGAATCCAATCACGAGCACATCAGAAGTGATATTCAGTTGCTGATATTCGAAAATTATTGAACAGTTAATTTACTCATTAATAAAAAAATATATAAGATTGTGTTTTTACTTTGCTTAAATATTATGTAATCTCGTGCATTTGCTAGTAACTATGTACATTTACTAAATTTTCCGCGTGTTCTGTAATAAACTTTTATAATCTCATAAAATTAAGTTATAGGTTTTAGATGAAATCTGACTGCGCAAAGCAAACGGCGAACACGAATTTTATTTAACTCTTTTTTGTTTCGTTAGTTCTGTTGGTTTTTGATTTTCTAGAGTGGTTTAACATTTACTTTACAGGAGTTTAGTTCTGTATGGCACCCTGGCGCCCACATTGATCGTGCTGATAGTGTTCGTATATTTGACTTGGTTGGATGGATGCTGCGGTCCAGAGCAGAGATCCGATACGCCCATGGACAATTTAGGCGGATGTTCTCCTCCGGGACAAATTGTGGCGGAGAGCCGTTGTTTGCGCGTCGCAATTTTCCTCCTATCCGTCATCCTCATCTCTACGTGCACGGTCATCTCTCTGGTAAATTAAATAAACTGGGGAAAAAGGGATTTGTTTAGAAAGAACATGGAATATGTTTCAGGTCGACTACAATCCTACGATCTCGGAAATGGAGAATTCGACGTCGACGGTAGAGGATGTAGAAGCTCCCATCATTGAATACGTCCCTGTAAATTGATATGCATTAAGAAAAAAACGTAATATCCTCATGATTATTTCTTCCCGCAGACGTACCTCTACAGCTCTGCTTTGAGTCTGGCTGCGATCTCGGTGTTTCTTCGTATGGGTTTCCTGCTTAAGCTGGTGCTGATGGTAGCCACCGCCACCTGTCACATCAGCATCTACAGTTATTTGGAGTTCTTCCAGGATTACCACGACGCTCACGACGATGAGTAAACCCTATCATATACATGAATTTGAATAGCTTTTTTTCTGAATGAGCACTACTGTCACGTAGGTTTCCTGGTCTTCCGTTCGAGGTGAAAAGCGCCATGGTACTCAGCGTCGCCGTTATCCTCTTCCACATCTTGGATCGTCAGATCGAATTCACCTCGCGGACAGATTACCTCTGGAAAGCAAAACTCAAAGTCGAACAGGAGGAAGTCGAAACCATGAGAGGAATCAACAAGGTAATATCTTTAAGTATTATAAGTACACAAAATAATTTGACACACATTAATAATTTGAATTCTATGGTAAGAACAAATTGGTTTAAAACTGATATATTCTATATATTGATGATTAAAATGATATAAATCAATTGTAATATTCCAATTGATGTGATTGTTAGATTCTTTTGGAAAATATTCTGCCTGCGCACGTCGCCGAACATTTCCTGGCGACTCGTGTCAATCAGGATTTGTATCACGAGCGATACTCCTGCATAGCCGTGATGTTCGCTTCCATTCCAAACTACAAAGAGTTTTACGATGAGAGCGATGTGAACAAGCAAGGCCTCGAGTGCCTCAGGCTGCTCAACGAAATTATCTGCGAGTTCGACAAGGTACGTCCACACATTGCTGATCGATGTGCGTACATAGTAATGATCTTCTCTGTATCTCTCATATTCGTAGCTGCTGCTGAAACCTAAGTTCAGTTGCATCGAGAAGATCAAAACCATTGGCAGTACGTATATGCTGGCATCGGGGTTGAGACCAGGCAAAGAGGACGATAACAATGTTAGTATCTATTCTTATAACATAATCATGTTTCGTAGAAATCGTTTTTTATTTATTTGTTAGTATTTCGTGTTATCCTTAGTCACTAGTGTAACATGTATCTCTAATATAGCTTACGTATCTTTTCATACTAATTTGCAAAATGAATGAATATGTGTGGTAAACATATAAAGAAGTGTAATGAATACATCCGGTAATGAAAAATATATGTAAATATTGAATGAGAGTAGATGGTAAATGAAAGCACGCAAGTTCCAATGTACGATCAATTTTTAATTTCAGTGCGAAACACAGACCCACCCCACCTTTTAATTGTGTTTTTTGCTATTGTTTTTCCATCCAAATATAATTAACTTTTGTTTGTTCCACCTGTCCTTCCCGCACCCTAGGATAACTCTAAGGTAAAGATACATTTATATCCTAATTAAACATGCATTTTATACATATAATTTTGAAAAGTGATTAATAAAAAGAAAACGTCGTGTTCCATCCATATTACTACATGCATTTCCTCCATTTGAAATAGGATACGAGCAGGAAAGAGGAACACATCATAGTGACGTTGGTCGAGTTTGCGGTCGCTTTGATGTCCACTCTCGAACAGATAAACAGAGATTCTTTTCAACGTTTCAAGCTGCGAGTCGGTAATGTTTTGTAACATATACCTCGAATATTCATATAGAAGGTTACAAAAATGTTTGTTGTCCCTCTTTTTCAGGTCTAAACCATGGACCGGTCATAGCGGGAGTAGTTGGCGCGCAGAAGCCCCAATACGACATCTGGGGAAACACGGTCAACGTCGCCTCTAGGATGGACTCTTGCGGAATCATGGGAAGGATCCAGGTGACCGAATTCACGGCCAAAATACTGATGAACGCAGGATACGAGTGCGAGTGCAGAGGTCCGACCTACGTCAAGGGCAAGGGTACGCTGACCACGTACTTCGTTAAGACGCAGTTCGATGACAGGCAGTGAGATGGATGGCAATAACTGATGATGAACACTATGTGATAAGGTTGTGATTTGTGATCTGCCTCCCACGACAAAAGATGCGAAACACCAAAAAAACACCGATTATTTATTTATGTAGTGTACGTTTAAGCTCTCTCTCTATCTCTGTCTGTCCCTATATATCTGTACCTCAATGTCTATAAAAATACATGTTGGATGTTCTATGTGATCTCATTTACATATGTAAATTAATCTTATATAAATGTAACACGTTGCGAATCCTTCGTATTTCAATCAGTTTCGTTACTTGAGAATCAAGGATGCGATGCGATTATTTTTGGGGCGTACTCTGTCAAATTATTAAATTGTTATTAGTAAGCTGACTGTCAATAAAGTGCAACTACAACAACATGTAAACATATATAAGGCAAGTGTCAGGAGATATTTTCGTATTTAAATTTTATAATTTAAAAACTAAATATATACAAATATAGCGAAATAACTTATTATATGTAATAAATGTAAATAGGCATATACATAAATAAATGGTATGTAATATGATTGGCCTACAATCCTTGTTATCCTCAATTCCATTATAGATTACATCCATGTTTTCAATAGATATATTGAACTTTAATTTTATTTATAATTTAACACGTTTATTCACATTAGGTAATCCATCAGTTTAACTTTAAATAGAGTATGAAATGTGCCATATGCGATTATCACAAAAGCAATAAAATGTGAAGTTGTCATAAAAGAAGCGTTACCATTTAATTGTACTGTCATTAATTTGTATATTAAATGTATGAGAGTTTTAATTTGGAAGTCGTATATACATTTTATATTCAAAAGGATGATTTTGAAACGTTAAAAATATAGTTTGACAAAAAAAAATCGTAAAGAATAAATGTGTTGGAAACACGTTCTCTATTCTGTAAATATTTTAAATAAACATAAGTGATTAATACTTTATCAAAAATAAGTAGGTGATTGAAAATAAACGAAATTGTGTATAACAAAAATAGATTATATTAAATGTACCAATATAATTAAGCTACAGTAAAAAAAAATATATAATATTACAAATAATAAATTAAGGATATTTATAAGTATGTACAAGTAGTGCATGTTCTATGAATTTGGTGATTTTTTCGGGGGCGCTTTCACTTTCGTCCTCTTGTATCGTGGCAGAGGCAGTGTCACAGTCGGTTCGACTTTGATTGATTTTTCTGGAGTTTTGAGCCTGTGCTCAATGGGTTTCATCGGACTGATGTTCTTCAGCTCAAGACCACCCTCGAAAACGTCTTCGCAGAACTCGTTGACGATCTCGGACGTCGAGAACTGATTCTCGGACAGCAAGTGCTCAACGGAAGGCACGTTCACGATTTGCTCCACGAAACTGTAGTCTCTCGTCGGATTGAAGCAGACGCCCAAACTGGAATTGTCTCGCCGATCCTCATCCAGAATAATCGTATCGCCGATCTGCAGGTCGGAGCTGATCACCATCTCGGGAATCTCCTCGATTTCCAGTTTAGGCTTGATATAAGTATGATCCAACGACACCTCATCCCTATCATTCTCCTGTTCGCCCTCTTCCGCATCCTCATCGTCCTCTTGCTCTTTCCCATCGCCTTCTCTGCTACCATCTTCCTCTTCTTCCTCCGACTCTTTGCCGGGCGCGAAATTCATGCTGATGTTCTCGATGATCTTCAAGCTGTCCACTGTTTTCTGACTTTCGGTAATGTCTTCAGGTACTTTAACTTGCATAAAATCCGTATCATAAACTAAACTATCTTTAACACAGGGCAAACTTCCGAAACCGTACAGTTTCGGCTCATAATCGAAGACCTGAGATTGGGAAGGATTGTCACATTTCAGCGAATCCCCAAGCGAGAGATCGCCGAGCAATTTGCGATTCCTTTGCGACTTAATATCGTCCTCTTCGTCGTCACCTATGAATTCGGCATACGTCTGAAAGGCGAATGACAGAGGCTGCGTCACTGCGCTGGAGCTCATCTGATCTTTGTCGAGTTCCCGTTTAACAACCGGAGCACTCGCATTAGTCCTGCCCAGCGATTCCAAAAGACTTTCCGTGAACGATTTCAACGTTTCCAATCCTTTACCCATATCCTCGGTCGATTTAATGCAATCTTTTTCAGGCGATTCACTGGACTCCGTTTCTTCCACTTTAATTCCAAGAAACCCGCAAGCATCTTCAGCAACTGCAATTGAATTTAAATTATCTTCTGTTTGTTTCTCAGTACTTTCGCAGATCGGCTCCTCCTTAACATCATCGATCTGTGGGACGTTTGGTGAAACCTCCAACATATTGAGCTCATCTTCTGAAATCTCTGCTATGGTTCCCATAGATTTTGTTGTAGTTAAACAAGAGATTCCCGAATCGGATTCAATTTCTTCGCATCTCGCATCCTTCAAATGATCTATTTCGATTGATCTCGATCTGCTCCTAAATATCACTTCCGACTTGACCTCTAGCGTCGCATCCAATTGCGTAGACTTCGGCGAATCGGTCTTAGAATATCGTTCTTCATTATGCCAGACTTTCTCAGAAAATGTGTGACAATCTTCCAATTTATCATACTTTTCTTTATTCTGAATCTCCCGTTGCCTAATAAGATATTGATCAACATAAGATATCTTTTCATTCTGGGGAATTTTCAATCCAATTGACTTTCCACATTCTTCCTTCACCAATTTCTTCGCAGTGTCTGAATCCGTGGTTAATGATGTTACTGCAACATTATCTTTGCTAGTTAATTTATAATTGGATGTTTTCACTTCATTCGGTTTTAGTTCTGACGAAGATGATTTCTTCTTCAAACTTCTCGGTGAACTTTTCGCTAGTTTTTCTACTTCTTTATCTACAGATTTTCTTTTACTTTCAGTCCTTTCATCGCGCTTCCTTTTATCCTTATTCGTTTTCTCCAATTCCCTAGATTTACTAGACGATTTTTCTAAACTCCTTGATCTAGAATATCTCTTATTCTTTTCGTCTGGTAGATCAGAATACGAGGACGATTCACATCGATTACGTTTTTTGGATTTGCTTTCTGTATTTTCATCTATATTTTTCTTACCTTTCTCGAAAATTGAATTAAATTGATTAATGTTTTCATGTTGTGTCTTTTCCATTTCATCTTTGCTTTTAACAACAATCGTTTTTACGGTCGTGGATGTAGCTGTTTCATTCGAAAAAGATTCGGAGTCCTTTGATTTGCAACTGCTTGAATTTAGCGAAATTGCCGATATCGTGTCTCTATCTTTGCTGGTTCGTTTGCTTTCCGAAGACGATGTTTTCCTCGATTTGCTCTCCACACTCTTTAAATCCGATGATGATTTCCTCTTTAAACTTCTCGACGACTCTTTTTCGCGTTTATCAGACTCTTTATCCACGGATTTTTGACTACTTTCAACTTGTCTACTTTTGTCCCTCTTCATTTTTTCCAATTCCTTAACATTACTTGTGGATTTCTCAGAACTCACAGATCTAGAATGTCTTTTCTGTTTTTCATCTACAAGCTTTGTTGAATTTTCTGAATGCGAAGATGATTCACTCCGTACACGTTTAGTAGATTTACTTTCATCGATATCTTTGGTTTTACTGTCATGCTTCCTTTTGCTGCTCGAACTTGAAGAATATTTCTTTGATTTATTATCGCTTTCGTGTGAAGATTTCGAATTGGATTTACTTTCCAAAGATTTTTCTCTTCGATGTCGACTGTTGTCCAACGATTTTCTCTCGTCGGTTCTTTTTGTTGTATCCACAAGTGATTTATAATTTAATTCATCATTTTTAATTACCGGTTTATCAACTATTGTTTTATCAACATCTTTGATAATATCAATGTTTCGGACAATTGGATGATTCTCTTCGGTCTTTGATGCTTCGAAGATTTGAGTCTTTCTCTGTACTCCGGAGAACAGATTTTCTGATTTCAGGATGTGCTCGATGTTCGGAACACTTTTCTTCGAGCCACAGTAGCGCTGAGCATAAATCTTGATATGTTCGAAAGACTTTTGCAACTCTTTCGGCAACTTGATGGTATCTTGACTTTTTTTGGGACTGTTTGATTGTTTTTCAAAGTCCGGTCGAAAATCGAGTTTCGCTTCTTTGGGAACCTTTGGAACTGAATCATCTTTCACTTTGGGACTTACTTTATTTTCAATGTGTTGACGTGATTTATCCAAGTTTTTCTCAATAGAGACTTCCTTTTCTACATCAAGTTCTTTTACAAGAGTCGGCATCAAATGTTGTTCATCTTCCTTTGGAGTCGATTTACGTCCATTAAATTTATTTCTGAAGTCCAAACTCTCAATTGCAATTTGACTCGATTTCTTTTCGTACTTTTTCTTATCAGATTTCCTATCGTTTCTAAGTTTACGCATTGAATCTTCATTCGTATTAATAGTTTCATTTTTCGACTCAAATATCTGATTTTCAGTGGACACTTTTGGTGATTCCACTTTTTCTGTATTATTTACCACAAAATCATCCTTCCGCTTTTTCCTGTCGCGCCTTTTATTATCAATTTTAATTTCCTTCTTAAGTTCTGGCATTAAATTGTCTTCAGTTGATGACCGAGATTGATTCTTATTGCTAATTATTTGCGTTTCTGTTGAATCACTCCTTACCCAATTGTCATCCAATCTGTGTCTCATTTTCTTCACCAAATGCTCGATATTATTTCCACTGTCCTCTTCTTTGGTAAGTTCAGGCATCATATCTTGATTTTGATATACTTCCGGATTAAAATCATCTTTTTCTGCTAAATATTCTGATTTTGATTCATCCAATTTCTTAATATCGTCTTTCGGATTTTCCACTTCTTTATTTATTACTTTTTCTGTTAGTATTTCTTCACTTGTCTGTTGTATTTCTTCAGGAAAATCTAACACCTCTTCGTGTACAACATCTTCATGTATAACCTCTTCATGTACAACCTCTTCGCATTCAATTTCGACTTCGACAGCGATCTCCTCTTCAAAATTCACAAACTCGGAGCTCATTAAATTATTATCAATACTGGAAGTTTCACAGATATCTGTAATACATTTATCGGTGATTGTTGAGTCTTCCAATTGATATTTTTCATCGATAAATTGAGCAGATGTTTTTGTTTCACCTTCATTATTACTCTTCTCAATAACATTTAATGTCTCGGCAACTAAAATATTTTGCTCAACTACGGTATTTTGCACATGGGATTGGTCCAACATATTTTCTTGTTCAAAATATTCTGTAGATATATTGACCGACGTATGATCGACACTTTCAACAAATTCTTCAATAACCAATTTGTCTTTATCATCAGGATGTTCTTCCTCTTTATCCTGTAAGGAAGATTGGTTTTCCATTTTATTTTCCTCCACTTCATCCTTTTCTTGAACCTCAGCTCCATCTTTTTCCATTAACATCACTTCATCATTTTCTTTGACTATTATTTCGTCCATATCTTTAAAATTAACTTGATATTTTTCTTTAAGGTCAATTTCGTCTTTTTGTTTAAACTCAACTGCCTTTTCTTTGACCTCAACTGAATTCTTTTCTTTAAGGTCAATTTCGACTTTTTCTTTGAACTCAACTTCTTTGTATTTGACCTCAACTTGATTTTTTTCTTTCAGCTCAATTTCGTCCATTACTTGGACCTCAACTTGATTCTTTTCTTTAAGATCAATTTCGTAATTTTCAACTTCTTTTGCTTTGACCTCAAGTTCGCCTTTTTCTCTAACCACAATTTTGTTGACAGGTTTGACCTCAACTTGATTCATTTCTTTAAGCTCAATTTCGTAATTTTCTTTTACCTCAACTTCTTCTATTTCTTTGACCTCAAGTTCATTTTTATCCTTATCTTCAATTTCGTCTATTTCTTGGACCTCAATTTGATCCTTTTCTTTAAGATCAATTTCGTAATTTTCTTTGAACTCAACTTCTTTTGCTTTGACCTCAAGTTCGCCTTTTTCTCTAACCACAATTTTGTTGATTGGTTTGACCTCAACTTGATTCATTTCTTTAAGCTCAATTTCGTAATTTTCTTTTACCTCAACTTCTTCTATTTCTTTGACCTCAAGTTCATTTTTATCCTTATCTTCAATTTCGTCCATTTCTTGGACCTCAACTTGATCCTTTTCTTTAAGCTCAATTTCGTAATTTTCTTTGAACTCAACTTCTTTTGCTTTAACCTCAAGTTCGTCTTTTTCTCTAACCACAATTTTGTTCAAGTGTTTGACCTCAGCTTGATCCAATTCTTTACGCACAATTTCGTAATTTTCTTTTACCTCGACTTCTTCTATTTCTTTGACCTTAAGTCCATTTTTATCTTCCATTTCGTCCATTTCTTTGACCTGAATTTGATCCCTTTCTTTAAGTTCAATATCTTTTTTGTTTACTTCAAGTTCTACACTTTGTTGCTCTGTAGTCACTAACATTTCAACATCAAAAAGTTCGTTATGTTTTTCAAAAGTTTCAACAAGCGGTTCGATCATTTCATTATGATTTTTATTACTTTCGCCTTCTTGCAAAACAATCGTATGTTCATCATCTTTGATATTTTCTGTAAGATGATTACACTCCCTGGTGTCATTGATTGGAACAAATAATTCCATTGAAGTATTCTCATGAATTTGTTTGTCAACATCAGAATTTTCGCTTTGCATAACAATATCCAAATTTCGCTCTTCAATAATGTCATTCACTTTAGAGTCTATATTTACTTCACTTACGACCAATGGCAAATGATCATCACATATTTCACCAACTTTATCTTCGGAAATTTCTTTAAAACTTTCTTGGTTTATAATTTCCTCGATAACTTCATTAGATTTTATTGCTTCCTCGTCCACTAGATTACAGTCGAAACTATCATCAATTATTTCTGCACTCGATTCGTTCTGTATAGATACATTACATTTCGTATCAATTCCATCAAAAGTCACTTCTGCAGAATTATCCAAATGTTCATTTTCTTCAATAAGTTCTTTATCAAAGTTTTTCATCGAACATTCTATCACATTTTCTGAAATATTCTCGCTATTTTCAGTAGTTTCCATAGACTCTTTCAATTCTTCAGTTTGTTTATTATCTTCATTGAAAATAAACGATGATTTATCTATTTCTTCGATTAATTCGTTATTAGATATTTCTTCGCATTGATTCTCGTTAATATTTGAACAAGTTTCCTCAATATTCGCGGCTTGTTGCTTTTCAATGTTTTCAAGTTCTTCCATTAATTCATTTCCATTAAGTTTAGAATCATCCATATCAACTTCTTTCAATACATCGGAATTGATTACTTCTACATCCAATTTAGATTGCTTACTTTCTCCTGAATGTTCTTCAAGTCTTTCAATAAGCTTCAGAGTATCATCATCTTCAACAGCGGTTTCCTCCAATGAAAGTTCTCCATCATTTATATTCGAATTCTGCTCTTCGATATTCTGCGTAGATTCTGAAGGCGTGAAAACATCATCGTTACTATTAGTTGTCAAGATTTTAAGACTTTCGTTTTCGTTAAGAGTTTCCTCGAACATTTCAACAGATACGTTCTTGGAATCAAGTTCTTGGACAGTTTCAACTTCTACTTCTGTCGTGGATTCGTGTGCCTTCACTTTTGTTAATTTAGTAACACTTTCATTGAATTTCCTGTCGTCCACTGAAACCGCTGTGTCTGCAAGCATTTCCAAATACGATTTATTCAGTAATCCTTCTTCACTTAATTCACTTGTATTTAGTATATCTGATATATTACCTAACGAGATATCCAAAGCAATTTCGGAATCCACATCTAAACACTTCAGTCCCGTTCGTTCTTGATCTTGATTAACAGGTAAAACGGATGTATCTTCGCATCTTATTTGTGGAATATCCCTTAACCTTTGTCCAACGTCTGGATTTGCATCTTCTAAAATACGTTCCTCATTTGCTGTTTCGTTTGCTTCTTCAGTACTTGCATTTTGTTGGGAAGTCGTTGCATGTGCAGGTGAACTAATCTTGTCGGTTCTATCTTCGGCAATCATTTCCGAACTTGGAATTTCCAAATTGATTTTTTCATTGGAAACCTCTTGAAGTTTATTATCTTCGTTATTTCGTCTTGAATTCTCCAAAATATCAATTTCGAGGGTCAATTTGTTTTCTTTCAATTTCTCATTTGAAATTGCTTTGACTTCTGGATGTGAGACTGCTTTCACGATCACCTGAATAGGAAGCTCTGAATTTTGATTTTGTATAGAAGGTTCCAATATTTTTAGATTATGTTTTCTCTCATTAGATTCTTCTTGGAAGTTTCTATCTGCTACAATCTCTGGAATAATCCTGACGTTGGAAGTTTCCAAGTGTGAGGGATTATCTATTGCTTTCACATTGTTTTCCAGGTCTTCGGGAAGTAATGCAATTTTTACGATTATCTGAATTGGAACATCTGGGTTCTTATTGCTGCTTTCTGGAAGATTCGTGTCTGCTGCATGGCTTTCTACATTATCGCTTTGTTCAACAGAAAGTTCTGATTTCATTGAAGGTCCGCTCGATTGAAGTTCTGCATTTGGATGGATTATTGCTTTTGTCTTGCTCTGATTAGAAGATTCACTTTCTGTTGTATTTCTTTTGTGTGCATTCGCCTTTAAATCGTCCATTAACTCTTTAAACATTGATTTTACGGAATTTTCCGAGCTATCGCTATGCTTAGTACATTCCGATGGAACAGCAATTTCAGTGTCCCTTTTTAAGTTTGAGCAATTCAGTCCAATATTTGTACTATGGTTTTCGTGACCACCGCCTCCGGAGTGACCACCGTCCTCTTTGGAATTCGTAAAATGTCCATTGTTATTGCCTAATGTACGTTCATCACTTGCGTTTCTTCTATTATTAAAACTATCTGCCCTATCTACACTACTCGAACTGTCGTCCTCATCGTTCCTCTCGTGTTTGATCACAGTTTCACTAAAAGACAACTCACTTTTGATTTGCACGTTTTTAACATCTTCCAAATCAACACCGGTCGCACTAAGCTCCGGCCACGATCTCCTCTCGATCTTCGGCACAGAAACGATTTCCTTCTTTATAGAAGCACTCATAGTGTCCAGATGTACTTTGTTGCTTGAATTCGGTTGCTGCTTTTGCGGCCTCTCCAATTTCCGCCGCTTCCTGCGGAACTTATTCCTCTCCTCCTTGATAGTCTGCAGAGCAATAAGTTAACATCAGTATACGTGAGTTGGAAAGAATAAACAATGGTAATTACCAGATCCATTTCCAGATCGGAATCCTCGTAGCTAGAATCGTACTCCTGCGTGAGCATTTTCAGATGGGGGTTTATCCACACCTTCGAGAGCAACGCACGGCCAATCGTTAAATTGTTGTTCCTGTTTGCCCACAGCATTTCCTTCTCGGTCTTCCTAAAAAAAAATACACACACAAACATACAATTAGTAATTTGAAACCTTAAACAAACGGTCGTAAATGACCGAAAGTCACGTACGTGATGAACTCTAGACAGAAGCTTCTCGTCAGACCGTGCTCGTTCTTCGCGTTCACAACAACACTGAGGACAATATACTTCTGGACCTTCGGCCGATGCCTGAACATTTTGTGCAGCAACTCTAGCACCCTCTGCTCCACCGATCGTCGATCCTTCATCAATTTAATCATCGAGTCATGCTCCAGCGCCACGTACAGCTCCAGGAACTCCATCAGCGAACTGGAGTACGGAAATTTGCTGCATTTCTGAAAATGCATCCGGGAACGGGACGAGTTAAATAAATCAATATTTGAAGTGCGCGCACAACAATTTATATATATTACCTCGTATATCGTCTGGTTGTAGTTGATTAGAAATTGCGTGATGCTCTGGATGTACTCCAGGAATTTCGTGCTGAGCCGATTGTCTGGATACGTCCGGTTTATAATGCTAAACAAGGGCAAGAACAGTGTTATTCGAAATCGGAACAGATTCGTTCGAATAGAAAAGCAAAATATTTATTTTTAAGCATCACATATGTTTGGAATGGATACGGATTTGTATCGATATGCACCATTTTAAAGAAATAAATCATCTTCTCCTTGGCCGTCACCTGTACTGGAACTGTATAAAGTAAATAAATTATGTATATGTTCAATCACAGCACATTCTTCTTCCTTGATGTTTCTTCTTTGCTTTAGTTCTTTCTTCGTTGCATTTCTTTCTTCTTTCTTCATTTCCATTATTTCTTCTCGTCAATTTATGTATGAATAAATTAATTGCATCCAAAATAAAACTAAATTAAACATGCATGATAATATGAACACAAATCTTCATTTAGTACTAAGATTATTTATATTAACAACCATTTCCAGACATAAGTATTCCACCGATCGTCTGTTAAAAAATACGATTTTGGTTCAAAAGATTCAAATTTCCTTTTTTTTTATCTTGAAACTTGTCGTTCTATCCTCGTGCATTAAACGGTAATACTATTTAATTTATAATTATCACCTCGTTCTTGATTCCTTCAAAGTATTGATTCAATTTTCTTCAAACTAATAAACACATTTATAAATTTCATGTTATTTTTTAAGTCGTCTGCGTCACGTCACATCGTGTCATTATGTTCAGTTTATTATTGATACATTTATATAGAAGATGCATAATGAAACACTATTCATTGTTTCTGTAAACATACATTCCTACAACATCTATTCATTCATTCCTCTTCAGATTTATAAAATAAATAAATAGTAGTGATCCTTGTAATTCGCTTTAGTTAATTAACAAACAAATTGTTCTTAAAACACAATACTTCTGTATAACGTCCAGTCATTATTTAATCAAGTGATGACATACATTCATTTGTTTTTTTATGAACAAAAAAAATATGTTGGATGATCGATATTTTATCATATAAAGCAGCGTTTCTCAACCTAATGAAACGCGAAATGACAGCTGTCACCGTTTGTCAAAGTGAGAAATTGGGTCGCAGTACAGATATGTTGAGAAACGCTGATATAAAACATATTTACGATCATCATGTTGTCGGGAGTTTTGTTTAATTACTTATTTAGTGCAGACTTCAAGTTCCTATATACATTCGAAATAAAACATGATGTTGTAGTTTGCTAAACCTTCTCGATGTTTGTGTAGCAATTGAAAAATCTCATTCAAAACGTTTTTCCTTGTCCTTTCAACTCATACTCTTGGTTTGTTTATTATTCGACGATCCTCGATGTTCGTTTAGCAATCGACAATATTCGATACATTGAAGTGAATTATTCACTTTCTATCATCTTTTACTCAAACCTGTGATGAAATTCCAAATCATCGAAGTTACTTTTAGCTCATTAAATTTTCTCAATTCATTTGTAAAATTTGTTCTTATCCATCCTAGAATTATATTCTTCGATCATCTATTTCCGTGACAATAATTTTGTTTGTTCTCTGAAGATATAATTTAATTCATTCTACTCATTTGTTGTTTAAAATCAGGTTAAATAAGTTGACCTTTTTTTTGGTTATTTTTCTCGAGCTTATTCACAAGCTACCTGTCATTTTCCGTTGTGTTATTGTTAGATTCCACCAATGGGGATGGAATTCGGAGGTTCATCGACGTTCTGCGCTAAAACGTAATTCTGCTGTCGTAGTGTGACGTACGCTTGCATTTCCGCTCACCTCCGCATTAACCTTATAATAGGATGCACGTGTGATTATCTTCTTTCATCCCAAATTCGTTGCATATATATTCTTCATTCTTCTCTCTTCGTAGCAGTAATCTTCTTTCTTCGTTCTTCTCGTGTATTCTTCTTTGTTTGTTTCATTGTTACAATTAAAATACACCTCACAGCAAAATAAGTGAAGGTGGTTTAGTAAAGCATGCATGACTATTTGAAGTGAAGTTGACATAAATTGACTGACTATAGCTAAATTAAGTAATCTGTACCTGATCTGATTCTGAGCGATGATCTTCATTATGTATGCTTCGTACTTATTCAGAATGGCGAGTCTCTGCAGTTCTCCTGTTTTAACGGAAAAGAAAGGGTGTTTATAATTGCGTGGTCGGTCGCAATGACAACAAAGTAATAACAAAAAAAAAAAAACAAACTCACTGTTTTGCAATTCTGCGGTGTCTTGATAAATGCCCATCTTTGTGGAATTTTCGTTCTTCGGAACCATTTTTCTTCTCTCACATATATAAATCCGTGGTATTTCCAACTGTTTGCGTTCCAACTTTGACTCTGGCGTGTTTTGCGTTCGTTACGTTCGTGACGTTTCTACGGGGCGAGGGTTGAGGCGCGACTGAAGGGCTTTCGGCCTGGGTCAAGAAACGAACCCTGTGTTGTTCGAACGGTTGGAGGGAAACAAATCGACGGACTGCGTTTCTTCAAAAAACATGCTATTCTGCTAATTCTTGCTTATATAGCCCATCAATAAACTAAACAGTCCTCGTAAACACTAATGACTTCTGCACAACCTTTACACCCTCGAACAACAACAACATAAAAAAAAAACGCCCTCCACCGTATCTTGTGTTTACCACGATGAACGTCACATTTGCATATGTGCAATTGTTTGATCGATATTCCGTTGTTTCACTTTTAACTTGCTTTGATCAGTAACGTTATTCTATAACCAACGGTACTAAACTTCCCGAACGAATCGACACAGTTACTTCTTTTTTGGCTTTCTCGAAATGCACGCTTTCCTCCCAAGTACACTTATTAAATGGCGTCATGCAATTAAACCTTGGTTCAAAATAAAAATACGTATCTAAAAATAGATACATCAAACACTATGAATATTCCCTTAATCGGTTTGCACCCTCCTCGACGTACCTACAAAGCAATTAAACTTTCTATTCCAGATTTACAAATCGATCATTCTAGAAAAATCCCTAAAAATAAATAGAAAGTTACGTGTATTCTCCGTAGCTTTTACTACGTTCTTCAATCCACGAAACAAATAAACACCAATCTCATTTCATTTTACTCAAATTATCATATTCTAACAAAAATAATTATTTTTTTTTCAATTTTGTTGCTGAAAATCTACTCAGTTTACATAATTTCTTCTCTCATTTTGTTTTATCTCCACCATTTTAGGGAAATTTATACTTTTCATATTGGCAGCACTCGCTTAAATTGTTGGTTACATTTCGAAAATGTTATTTTTGGTTTGCAGCAGTTTGCAGTTCGTTTGGTATTTCCTCATTGGTCGCTGGTCTTTTGCAACCATTTGCAACGTAATTAAAATATTTTCCGACCATTACAACCGTAACTAGAATTGCTCATAAAATGAGCTTTTATTGCGATGTTATAGTCGTTGGGAAATGAATGTTTGTTGATTTTCAACATATTTTTTTTTACAATTGCCCATTGTATTATGTAAATTCTACGAATCTCAATCACAACCAGATTAAAACATTTGATTTGTAAACATTTTGTGAATGGCAATTTCCAAGAATGACCAATGCAGGATATGCAACTTTACTTACAATACAAATTATGCAACCATTATTACTTCATAGATATATTATATAATTATTGAAATATCCATAAAGCAATATTTTGTATTTCAATGTTTTTTATTATTTTTTTTTATAAAATCAGTAAATATACTGTAATATCTAGAGTTTATAATCGACAAATTAATAAAAATAATACCAGTTTTTTTTTGTAATAATTATGTAATTTTATTATATATGCAACTTGTTATACGAACAAGAATCAATATATTTATATTACTTAAAATTGTTTTATATAAGAGTTTCAATCGAGTAGATGAGGTATCTGAATGATGGTAATAGTTATAAAGAAAGTTATAACTTTGTTTTAAAATATGCCAAGTATGCAACATTAAATACATTATAAATACAATTATTTTGTTGTGTGATTTTACGAATGTAAAATAAAACGTACATCATTGATATTATTTTAAATAGATATTTGAATGTGTAAACAAAATGTTTTTTAATTAATGTTTTTCTTGCGGATTATGGACCTATTCTGTGTGTGTTGGTAATGATCACTTGCTTTTTAACTTTGTACTTTTGGTATTGCTCAGCTGCCTGAGAACTTTTCAACTAGGAGACCAGAAGCAAAGCAGAGGTGTATCAAATATGGCGAATTACCAAATACTTTTTACTTTTACTTCGATTCAACTGATTCCATGATATATTATCTGATATCTTAGCATACATTTCGTTAATGATATCTTTTATATTGTAATTTATTTAATAATAAGAATGCTTAATGTATGTTTGGTTGCCAGATGTGAATAATTTAATAAATATTCCCGTATGGCATATGAATACTGTGGGTATGGGGTGGTCTATATCGCAAGCCCGACCACCGAAAGACCGTCTATTGAAATCCCGACTACCATAATCCCGATTATGCCAAAATCCTGACTACCATAAAAATGTTATTGAAGAAATTTATAATAATAAAAGACACTGTCGGGATTTCGATATAGTCGGGATTTTGACCGGAATACTGTATTTGCAGCTTAACCAATCGCATTCTTGTACAAAGATTAACAGGACTTAAAAAAATATATCTTTATAACTAAGTGATTTAAAATGGAAATGTAATTAAACAAGTAAGATTTAATTTGTTTATTGATAAAATTCAATATAGATAAAGACATAAATTACTAATTTTAATTTGCTACAGTATGATATAATCTGTAGAGTAAAAAATATTTTACAAGTAAAAAAATAGAAAAATCACAATTTGCAAGAAAAATGCTAGCTACATTTTTGTTGCAAATACTTCAACAAAAGTCTGTTAACATCTTCGATATCTTTGAGCTTTGCTTCCATAGACACTATCGCTACACGCATTATACCATTTTCGGAGCGTAAATCCGAAATTTCCTTGCTCATCAGTTTCATTGCCGATGCGATTTCTTCCAAATTAGAACTGCTACCATTCAAAGACTGCAATGAAGAATCATCTGATGTATTCAGTTTCAAGTTTTTCTTGCACTTGTTGGGTAGCTGAAACTCTTCTCTCAACTCCTCGATATCTTCATCATCTGAAATGAATTCAAACAGCGTACAATACACCTCAAAGTAATTTGCTATAGTAAAATTTACTCACTCAAATATTCTTTCGCAATGCAGATAGGATTGTTGACGTTCTTGTTTATTGTATCTATGTATCCTTTGATTCGATTGGCCATGTTGGAAAGTGTGATCGGACTAATGTTTGCTATTAAATTGTTCTTCTTGTTCCAGTAGTAAGGAATCTCCCCTCTCTGAAGATGATCGTAGTAGACTTGCAACATCTGAAACGCACATACAGATTGCACACACAAGCATAGAAGAGACGAAGATATGTGATGAACTTGTACCTCTACGAAGACGAAACTGAGACTGCATTCCCAGAACGGTTTTGGACGCTTCTTCACCTCCCACAAGAACATGGTTTTGATGAAATAACTGCTGATCATGTTCTGCTGGAACTTGTCTCGAAGTTTTTTTATCAACTTAACGGCGGGCTTCACGTTTTTGTTCCCCGACATTATCAGTCGCTCCTGCTTTTGGAAAGACATACGCCAATATTGCTTCATATTTTTTGAGTTGATTTTGGGTTGTTTCGGGACAATGAAGAATTTCTGAAAGCAGCGAGAGATTTATAATCAAGTACTTTGCGTATCGATAAATCGATTACCTTCTCTTTCGTGGTGTTCTTCTCGAAATTGCCCGACGGCCATTTGCTGTCATCGAAAACGAAGCATGGCACCAAGTCCACATCGAGCTGTATCGGCTTCGAATTTATGTTTCCATTGATTTTCAATGTAAAAGCAGGTCCACTCTTGGATACATGGGTCTAAAATCATTTGATTTCTATGTCGTCGCAGTTGAATATAATATAAATATATCTTACTAAGTAGGTTTCATTGTTGACAAGGATTTTATGTTGGGTACCGCTTTGCTCGAATTCATCCATTGCTTTTGTAATTAATCCCTCCATCCAGGATAGAACCTTGGTGGTCGTCAAACAACTGCTGGTATCGTCGACGATCTCGCTGCAAATGGTAAAATAACACATCGGTAATATTGTTTTATTTTTGAAAGAACTATGCTACGTGTACCTGATCCCTTTGGAATCGTTCACCATGCATTTCACGAATCCCGGTACCTCGGGGACTGGTATCAGCGTTGCTTGTATCGACGATGGCAGACACAACAGCAAGTCCAAATCGAACTCCTCCGGTTTGCCGACTTTAAGTCCATCGTAAAAGCTGCCTCCGTAGAACAGTTCATTGTAGATCGTCCTGAATAATTCAGAATTCTTTTTCAGCGCCGCAATAACCTGTTCGACGATCTGCTCGAAATCAAAATACGAATACAATTCTTAATTTTATTTTCATTCTTTTATCTTTATGATGGTTTACAATACCCCGCGCAGTATGACGTTGTTCCGCTTAACTTCATCATCGCAAAGGGTAATTATTTTCTTGTTTACAAACAGCAAAACGTTTTCGTAACCGTTGTACTTCTTCTTGTTGGGGGTATCGTCGTCCATGGTTTATAGCTGAAAATAAAATATTGGAAATAACAATGGTAGTAACGAAATGACGAAGAAGAAAAAAAATAAAGGGTAAAAGTAATAAGTGTGTATGTGTGTGTGTGTGTGTGTGTATGGGGAAAGTTTTGATCAATAATAAATGAATGAGTAAAAGCATGAGTTGTTTGAGGGGCCGAAGGAAAGCGCGTTCAGTCGGATATCAGACGGGGCGACGTTAACATGCCCCTAGAGGGGTTTCCATGAGAACGAAATGAATCGGAATATGGGCAGACAGTTGTCCCTGAGGTGCGAAACGCCGACGCTGAAATCGAGGCGTTCCAGTCTAAGGAGGCAGCTTTCAGAAGACGAGGAGAGAGCACCGCCGCGCGTAAAGCTCGCGTGGACAACGTCGGAGGAGGAGGAGGATCAGAAGAAGAAAGATGAACAGCATCGCAAGAACGAAGCGGACGCGTCGATCCTCTACCCGGATCATCAGCATCTGGCCGAGAGGTTGCGGCATGTGTGGCAGGACAAGAGGACCAACTTGAACATAGTCCTCGGCGCCGGTGAGACGCCCAAAATCAACGACAGTCTGCAGCCGGAATTGATGATGGTGCAACAGCAGCAGCATCAGCGGAGGCCGCATAAAGATTTGAAGCAAATCTTTCAGAAGCAGATTCGGAAGAACGCTCGAACTCCGCCGCCGCCGCATCCTCAGGAGCGCCCCATCGTCGTCGTACCGATTATAGAACGTCCGAAGACGGCGGTGTCCACGACAGCGGCGACGAGAAGGGAGCAATACCAGAAACGCACGAGCTCGGCGTTCGGTGTATCGCTGAAGCAAGAGCAGATTCGTCCACCCTTGACCAGGTCATCTTCGTTGCCCACCAGGAACGAGCCCAAAACCAAATTCCCCGTCAACAAGAAACGTCCGAAATCGACGAAGAGGAAGGACTCGATCTCGGACACAAACAAACCTCCAGATGTCATCACCATGGTGTCGTTGCTAAGTCCGTCCGGAAGCGACAACGAGGAGGAAACTCAGAAAGGAGATGGCAGCAACGTGATCAAGATCAAAGTGCCCTTGGCCTCCGATCAGAAGGTCTCCTCCACGCACAGGAAAACCGTCAAATCAGGTAAAGAGTAAAAAAAGAGAGAGAAAAAAGAATAAAAATAGTAGAGATCGCGTGCGACCGAGAGAAAGAATTCGCACTTTGGCACTCGAATTATGCATTTCTAATTAACCGCCACCTTCGAAAGAGAAATTAATAATTTCGGCGCCCCCATCCGAAGGCTCATTTAAAACTTTTTCCATCCACCAGTCACGGAATGCCCCGTGCCACGTGGCCACTTAACGTGAATGATAAAAACGCGATTCGTATACGAATTTTAATTTTGTTTATTGTTTAAACAATTTCATTATCTATTGGATCGAACGAAAACCGCTGAAAGTTTCGCGGAAACTTTCGGAAAAGTTAAATGAGATTGTGTGTATTTCAGTTTCCTTTCAGCAGACCGGCGTCGTGCACGCCGTGCGAAGTTTTTCAGCCGGTCTTCCGCTTCGTCGGGGTTCGCTGGCAACGACCACTTTGTTGCTTGGAAATGCCGCGAAAAAATTGATCAATCGAAACCAGCAGGACAACATTGCAAAGCGAGACTACGATGACAAACAACGACAGCAGCAGCAGCAGCAAGAGGAAACGCAGCTCATAGCAGATCCGAAGTAAGTAAGATCATCTCATAGAAATAAGTTGAAAGTTATGGGTAACGAAAAACGAACAAACGAAAGGCAAGCCTATATTATATAATGAGTATAACGGAAATCGATGTGCTATCATCAAACATGCCGTTTGCAATTTGGAAATGAATGATCCGGGCACAAGTCCGTGATGTCTCTACAGAACCTAGGCCATCACGGAACTACTTGGGACCTTTATATTCGATGCTTACGCAACGTTTAGAATTAACATAATCCATGCGGAGAGCCACAAGGCCGAGAGACTCGACCCTACCACCACCACCTACAGAAACAACCCAAACAACCATCAAATCAAATCCAATCGAACCCAATCGCTTTCGAACTTTCAATTTAACTTTGCATTAACTTCATGATTAATCGATTTTATAATTATGAAGCAGCACAAAAGATAAAAGGAACTCCACACAACACAACAACAATCGCCCAGCGAATTTTCGCATCATTCATTCCTCGTTAAATATATCAGCGAAATAATAATCATAAGATATTATTGATCAAATCACACTTTTCAGTGGATAAATTTAAACAAACAAGAAAAAAAACATATCATCAAATTTCCGAACTTAAAATTGGGTCATCGGAGAACGATAATTCATTCTTTCAAACAATATTATAATTTGAACGTAGAAATATTCATAAATTATTGAGTTTTAAATATTTTTTTATATATATATTTACATAAATTTCAAAAAATGAAACATTTTATTTTAGATAAAGTAATAAACAATTTCATATATATTCACGAATCAATTGCATTACATTATATAATAAAAGAATGTTTTTATAACTTTCTGAAATTCAATTAAGACAAAAAAATATACATTTCATTACTTGCTTTCTTTTTTTTTTATCTTAGTATTATGAATATGCACCTATTTTTATAAAAAAAAAAACATTTATACTGGTAATTTAGTACTTTTGAAATATAAATTATATAATTTGATAAGTGTTAATCAAACAAATTGAAGGTGTAATTTGAGTTGAATTAGTCGATAAAATTGTTCATCGTTTTAGATAACTAATTATAAATTTATGTGTTTAGATGTGTTATCTATATAACTTTATTTTTTTTCTCTTGTTCTGTTTTGTCCGGTTACAGTTAAAATGAGGAATTTCTATCGACTAAGTTATGTGTACAGCATTAATTTAACATTTACATATAGGGTGCTGTGAATTGCGTAGCTAAATATAACGTTTGTGATGATCTTAATTTTTAATTTTGTTTTGACATAAAATGTCACTTGATAAAGACATTTTAATATAGGTAGTTATTGGTAGTTATATGCAAAAAATAAACAAAGTACATAAAATAATGTGCACAATTTAACAATACAGTGGAACCTCGCTTAACGAGTTTAATTCCTTCCAAAATTTCGGGATTTTTACTCTTATTCAAAAATACATATAATATCTGACACAAGTTTTAATAATGATGAAGCAGGCGCGCAATCCGGTACTACTCTTCTAATCGTCACTCGTTATGCGAAACGTGGCTCGTTAAGCGAGTCATTTTTCTTACAATTCATTTTGCTCCCTTAAGCGAAATGTTCGTTATGCGAGATGCTCGTTAAGCGAGGTTCTCTGTATATTCAAAAATACACATAATATGTGTACACAAATTTTAATAATGATGAAGCAGGCGCACAATCCGGTACTACTCTTCTAATCGACACTCGTTACGCGAAACGTGGCTCCATAAGCGAGTCATTTTTCTTACAATTCATTTTGCTCGTTAAGCGAAATGCTCGTAATGCGAGGTTACTCTGTATTATAGGTCAGTGATGGCGAATCTATGACATATTTGTCAGTGGTGACATTTTGGGTGACACGTCAAAAATATTAAAAGTCAAGGCACCCTTGGCATCATGTATGTGTCCAAGTTACACGGCATCCGATTTAAGCTACATTTTTTTTTTCCAATTTTGACACACCGATCCCAAAATGTTCATCATCACTATTTTACATCGAGCTGTTGGTGAAATTCAATTATAAATGTCGCTGAAACGTTTCGTTAAATAAACATTTCAGCAATAGTAACCGAGATGAACATTTCCAACTATAACAAAAGACTAAAAGTTATATAATTATTTACCTAATTTTAATATCTTCAAATTTATATCAGAATTTCGGGACAACCTCTTTACATTAATGAAGTCACTTGGGTCAAATTGTTTTAATGAACACAAGAATATAATAAAATAGACTTATGAAAAAATAATAGAAAATTTGCAAAATATACTCAAATTTGTGTAATATATTTGAAAATATTCATCAAATTATGTACAGAAATTGAGAACAATATTTTACGAAACAAAATTAATGCAATTAAAAATATCAATCTTCGGTGAATTTAGAGATTTTAAAGTTAAGTATTTAATTCTATTAAATCTCTGCTCATTAGTAAACTAAATGCTGAAATCACGTATAAATAAATCAAGAATATTAAGAGTAATGTTTAAATTACATATAGGGTGCTATGAATTGCGTAGCTAAATATAACGTTTGTTGTTGCCAAGCGACGATGATATTAATTTTGTTTTGACATATCTTCTACAGTGAAAACGTCATCGCGAATCGAACGTTGCTGGGTTACGGTGAGAATGATGATTTCGAGAAGAAAGTGGTCGTCGTCGAGGAGGACAGTCCGAAGGAGAAGGAATGCTGGGACACCTATTGCAAGATGAACGCGAAAGGAGTGAGCGTATCCTTCGACACGATTCTGAGGGGGATGCTCACCCCCACCGAATACAGATTGAGGAGGAAGCAGGTGGCGCACAGTTCGCAGGATTTTTGAACTTCATTCTTTCTTTTTATCATTATTATTATTATTAGTAAACAACGTTTAGGTGCTGTGATGCATTTTCAGGTCTCGCATTTCGGTGCTCCTTCTTCGGGATTAACCGAAACAAGCTTTGTATTGTAATTGTAATATTTAACAAACGAAACAACAACTACAAAAATATACTTTTGTACAATATTTTTTATTACTAAAACAATTTGAAAATAACAAAAAATAATTCCATGGTAAACTGGGATTATCCAACAAACACTAACATCTGTCACTTGGTTTACGTGCATGCAGTTTTATAGAATGAGAAACAAGTGTTTTGGGGGTAATAAAGAAAACATACAAACTTTACATTTCATTTATCTGAGATAATTAAATTTGAAATTGAGAAAACAAGTCAATAATATTCAAAAACCAATTTCATAAAATGAGAAATAAAAAAAAAACATAGAAATTTACCTGCGTCGTTTCATGTAACTACAAAATCGCAATATTATATTAGATCAGAGGTGGCCAGACTTTTTGCAGCAAGAGCCGCACCTAAACTATATAATATTTGTGTTTTGTTCTGGCTCAACTAGCCACAACAAGACTCTTGAAGAGCCGCATGCGGCTCACGAGCGACAGTTTGGCCACCCCAAATATTAGATATTTAATAATCTTTTATCCAAATTTAAGAAAATAAATTAATATTTGTATACAATTTGCACAAGTACAATCATTTTTATTTCCTTAATCAATCTAAATTTAGATTTGTAAGTTAATAATTTTAATCTAATTCAAAAGATGCAAATTTCATTTATTATTAATTATTTTATCTAAGGAACTTTATGTTCTACAATGTTGCAACCGTGATAAGATAACAGTTGAGTCAAACAAATTTATGCAGCGAATGGATGATCTAAAATAAACATTTTTAATTCGTATTAACGAAAAGTTAATGAATTCCAATTACATTTGAACTTCAGAGAAAAACAGGAAACGTGCATATATATATATATACAGGGTCTATATCGAAAGCCCGACAACCGAAAGAACGTCTATCGAAATCCCGACTACCGACTTCAATGTTATTGAAGAAATTTATAATAATAAAAGACACTGTCGGGATTTCGATATAGTCGAGATTTCGGTTGTCGGTCTTGCGATTGCCACCGTATATACATACGATGAATGTCCACGCTATTACATTAATACTGTCAGACTGACAGTGCAGTAATTTATGATCAAAGCAAACTGATCAAAGTATTGTGCAATTTTTTCAGTAATTGCAAACGAATCATAAACCCGGTACAAAACATTTTACACAATGATTGCTCGATTAGAACATTTCAATAAAAACATTTTATAAAAATTAACATACAAACAATCTTATAATTAATGTTAATTACAATTGAACGTTTACCTTCTTAGATGTTGAGAATGTTAGCAACGAAGTGTATTATGACGTGTTCTCATGTATTGTGATGTGCTTAATATACCCACATATACCGCTCAAGGCTCAAGTGTTGTGGAAAAGGCGTGGAGAGAGTCTAGTTATGGACGCGAATCAAGTGTTGCCAACATCTGATATAACATAACATGTGAAATGTTATTTTGTACAATTATATTTGTACAGGTTAATATTAATTATAGCTTTTTGTTCCCTTTGGTCGAATGCTTTAAAACGTACTAAATCTGTATGGTTTTTGTCCAATTCATAATTTAATTCTTATCAAAAATTGTATGTTTATACATATTTGTTTATTAAGATTGGTACTACTTGTAAAGAATCCCAAATTTCTTATCCTACTATTTATTTCCTATTGCATATTATGAAACTCGATTAAAATAGCAAAACGAAACCAAAACAGGCAATTTGATTATAATGATTTGTAAAACTGTTTATTGTCTTAGTTGGAGGATGGCCGAAGGAAGAGCACTGTCTTCCTAATTATTAACTGAAGACAAGAATGTAATTTTCATTAATAATCAATGATATCAACTTTATTGTATAGTTGACTTCTCAATAAAAACTCTGATGTGTACAATAAACTTAATTAAAAATATTGCATTTAATATTCATAAACTACTCTAAGACTTCACAACAACATAACTACGAGATAATCCACGGTATCCAGAGATTCTTAATCCCGGGACACGACATACTTCTCATTAATAAATCTACATATTGATTTTATCACCTCAATTGTACTTTTTATTAATCGTACTTTAAAAAAACCGTACTCTAAAAGTACTAGTAATTTTAAACAATAAACTAATAATTTTGGAGAAATGTAGAAAAATGTTTATTCTTCAGTTGCATTTGTAATGAAACTATTAGAATATATAATTATTGATGAAAATTGTATGTTTGATGAAATACGAACGACAATGAACAAATGTAAAGATACAAATCGAATTTCGTACAAAAAAATATAATAAAAAATGATAAATAATAACGAAAATATGTGTTAAAGGCAAAATGACAGTAAATATTATACAAATCTAATAATAATAAACATAATATGTACAATTATTCTGTAAATAAATAAATATAAAAAAATACAATAGATATAAACAATCAACAATAAAACTGTTAACTGACACTTGTTAACAGTTTTATTGTTGATTTAAGTTATATTAAAATATCTAGTTTATAGGAGTTTGTTATGAGTATGTTTTGGTCGTAACTCGAGGTACATTTAACGATTAAGTTAGTTTGGTTGCCTAACTTGTAACATAGCGAACAGTTGGTGCAGTAAACTGCAGCTAATAAAGCAAAGTCAAGCCAAGTGCACAGGAAATGTTAACAAAGTGCAACGGACGTACGGAAAGGTTGTTTATAGAGTGATAACAACAACAGTGGACTATCTATTTGTACCATGGGGATTTAGCTATCACAATTCACGAACGTAAGTGGCGATATGCGTGAAATAGGCGCAGCGGAATATCAATAAACAATCCGCTAAACTTTTGCAGATGACTGGAATCAGAAGGCTCCTGCATTCGTTCAGGGCTCGAAGGGTCGCCAGGAGATTGGCCCGCACAGAATCTGTATCCTTCAATGCATTCTGCAATGAGGGCCCTGTTGATCAGTACCCCACAACAAAGGAATCCTCTTTGTGCAAACCGCCCAAGTTTGATCATGGAAACGTAAGTGAAATACATTTTAACTGAATACCATAAGAAATTAATTATTTGCTTTGCAGCATAATGAATCTGCAGAGTTTAATCCGAGAGATGTGACCATCTTGGAGTGCAGCCGTCCCTGCATAGTCACAGTACTGCTGCTCCTTCTGCTCTTGGCTGTGTTTCTCATTCTCCCTACAATATATTTGCTCTATTGCTTTGGGGTGCTTCACGTCAATCAGCAGAAGCATTTGACGCATACTTTTGCGCTGAAAGAGAAGGATCACTATGCGCCCAAGCTCCACGACCTATTTAAGATCAACAGGATTCCCGCTCAACCGTATAAGATTTTACCACCGCCGCCTCCTCCGAACCAATCGCAGTGTGGCATACCGCTGGAGGCCAGATTCGATTGTTACCCGGAGGATGGGGCAACGAAGGAGAAATGCGAGGCGCGCGGATGCTGCTGGTTTCCCAGGAGCGCTCAGTCGCTGAAGAGGATCAAACGGATTCGAGAGTCCGTCGATGTCTCGTATTGCTTCTATCCGAAAAACTATGAGAGCTACAAGTTCGTGAACGTTTCCAAGACGGATTTCGGGTTAATCGCGTTCCTCAAGAGGAACTACCGTAGTGCGTATCCCGACGACGTCGAGACCGTCAAGATGATTGTCAAATTGGAGACTGAGGATCGTCTTCGCATCAAGGTTTCATTCTTTATTATCTACTTCAACAACTTTGCTAAATACTTTAGAAAAGAAACATAACATTGCCACGTTAATTTCGATATAATTTGTAGAAAGACTAAGCGCAAAAAGAAGATTAATTTTACTCGTATCTGACGTTCCTCTGTATTAAAATTTACTGCTTTGGAACGATTTGAATGAATATTTTAATATATCAATAGTGTGTAAACTCATTAAAGTTTATCTTGCCGTGCGTTACCACAATAAGTCTTATTTGAATGGTTATGCCAATAAGGATCGATTAATAAACGTTTCGTATTTAGATTTTAGATCCGCTGCACGTGAGATACGAGCCTCCGTATCCATCGGTACCGATCGTGGACAAAGCGCCGACCGATTTCTCGTACATATTCAAATACAACATCTCCGCATCCGGCTTCAAGATTCTGCGGAGATCCGACGAGGCCATAATGTTGGTTGCCCGTTAAGCCATTCGAAAAACCATCCGGTCACGAAATGCCCATATTCATGTTCTAGATTCGATGCGATGAACTTGCAGACGATGATTTTCGCCGACCAGTTCATACAGTTCAGTTCGCTGCTGCCGAGCAAAAATATCTACGGTCTGGGCGAGCACAGATCGTCGATGAAGCTATCCACGGAATGGAAGAGATTCACGATGTTCAACCATGATTCAATCCCAACCGAGGACGTATGTAGAGTTTAATCTGTACGAGAGGAGTTTTCGTAATGTCTTCTCGTATTGTTGCAGCTCAATTTGTACGGAATGCATCCTTTCTACATGAACGTGGAAAACTCGACAAAGGCGCACGGAGTTTTTCTATTGAACAGCAACGCGATGGAGGTTATTCTTCAGCCGTATCCTGCTATAACGTACAGGACTATTGGAGGAATCTTGGATTTCTACATAGTTTTAGGTCCGAGTCCGCGCGATGTCGTCCGACAATACACGGAGATCATCGGAAGACCATTCATGCCGCCCTACTGGGGCCTTGGTTTCCATCTCTGCAGGTATTTCCAATCCATTTCCTTTTCTGGTTTTTAAAGATCTATTAATATTGACATTATTACAGATTTGGATACAAAACTTTAAATGAAACGCGTAAAGTAATGCAGAGAACCATCGATGCTGGAATTCCTTTGGATACGCAATGGAACGATCTGGATTACATGAACAACAGCAACGATTTCACTTACGACAAAACCAATTTCAAGAATCTGCCCAAATTCGTGGAGGAATTGCACAAAAACGGAATGCATTACATTCCTTTGATTGATCCCGGAATTAGCGCGAGCGAAGTCAAAGGAAGCTACGTCCCGTTCGATAAGGGTCTTGCCATGGACATATTCGTGAAGAACTCTTCGGGTTTACCATTCGTGGGAAAAGTAAGACCATCTCATTTTATGTATTGCATCATCTAACTGTCGTTAATTGTTTAGGTTTGGAATAGGGCTACAACTGTTTGGCCTGACTTCACGAATCCAAATTCTGTTGATTACTGGACGTCCATGCTGAAGATACTTCACGATTCCGTACAGTTCGATGGAGCTTGGATCGATATGAACGAGCCGTCCAATTTCCTCTCCGGCTCATTCGACGGATGTCCGAACAATCATCTCGAGCATCCGCCCTACCTTCCAGCAATTGACGGTGGAATGCTCTTTTACAAGACCATCTGCATGTCTGCGAATCACACAATCGGACTCCACTACGACGTACACAACCTATACGGATTTAGCGAAGCGATCATCACCAACTTGTAAGTTGTAAATATTCTTAAGTTTACCGATGTATACGACTTTTTATTTACAGCGCATTGGCCGAGATCAGAGGCAAAAGACCAATGATCATTTCCCGATCCACGTTCCCTGGTCACGGAAAATACGCTGGACATTGGAGCGGAGACGTTTACTCAAAGTGGACGGACATGCGATATTCCATTCCTCGTAAGTTATATCTCAAATTCCTTATTTTTTTTTTTATCTAAGTTTTATATGCTTGCAGAACTATTGAGCTTCAGTCTGTTTGGAATACCATTGATGGGAGCAGACATTTGCGGATTCAATGGAAATGCGACGGCGACATTATGCAATCGTTGGATGCAATTGGGCGCTTTCTATCCATTTTCCAGAAACCATAACACTGATGATGGAATTGTGAGTATCACATATGCCTCTTTTATGATAAAGTGTATCTAATTTGTTTCTTGTTTAGGAACAAGACCCGGTCGCTCTGGGTCCGGACGTAATCGAGTCATCGAAGAAAGCTTTATCAATTAGGTACTCGATGTTGCCGTACTTGTACACGCTCTTCTGGGCCGCTCACACTAGAGGTGATACCGTCGCTCGACCACTCTTCTTCGAGTAAGTCAATATTTGTTTGTTATATGAAGAGATGTTTCTAATAGTTATGTTTGCTTCTCTTTGCAGATTTCCTAATGATTGGATAACTTATGATATTGATAAGCAATTCCTGTGGGGTTCTGCGCTGATGATCATTCCCGTCTTGACTGAGAATCAAGTGAGCGTGTCGTGTTATGTGCCTGCTGCGACTTGGTACGATTTCTACACCTTCAAAATGCTGAACGTGAGCGAAGGAAAGACCATGGAAATGGCAGCACCATTAGATACCATTCCGCTTCTGATCCGTGGCGGCAACATAATTCCTCAGCAATCGGCGCTCCAAACCACGACTGCCTCAAGAATGACCAAATTTCAGCTTCTTGTAGCGACAAACGAGAGTCAGAAGGCTTTCGGTGAACTGTACTGGGACGATGGTGATTCGTTGAATTCGGCCGAGGAACGAAAATATTGCTTGTTGGAGTTCACCATGGACGGGCAGAAGTTGACATCGGATGTCATCCATTGGGGATTCGAGGCACCGCCCAATCTGGGCGTGGTCAAGGTTTTGGGTATATCCGCCGTGACGAAGGTATACGTGAACAAGGTGGACCAACCGTTCGATTACAACACCATCAACAAGGTACAAATTTATTTATCTTACATTAATGACAATACATGTGTTAACGCGCTTTGTTTCCAGTATTTGTTGATCAAGGACTTGAATGTAGACTTAAAGAAGCCCATGGAAGTTACATGGACATATTAGGAATCAGCTTCGAAGAGCTTCGTCATGCCAAAATTATTATTATTAAACTTAACCTCGTTGTCTGATTTTTATTCCTTTAGCTGTAGTGATGCGCGTCGTGCCAAAAAATATATTACTATTATATTACATGTATAAGAATTTAAACTTTAATCGATTTTAGGATATCTGAAATAAAAAGTAAACAGAAAGACAATTAACATATTTCAATGTTCCACACTCTGCAACTTACTCTCGATAATCAAGTTGATAGCTTTGATTGCAGGCGAATCCGGGATTTCGGTGATGAAATCTTTACCTTCATCGCAGCATCTCGCTATTCTCGGATCCAGTGGTAACTGTCCCAAAAATGGCACGTTCAAATCTTCGCACATCTTCCTCGCGCCTCCTGTATTCGCTTTGAATATCTCGGATTCCACTTTGCAGGATGGACAAACGAAGCCGGACATGTTTTCTATCACACCCAGGATTTTGATGTTCACCTTCTTACAGAAATCAATTTCTTTCCTAACGTCCAACAGAGCGACTTCTTGCGGAGTAGTAACAATTACGGCTCCCGATAAATTCGCCTCCGACAGATAAGTCGAGGCAGACAAATGCTCGTCCGAAGTTCCAGGAGGCGTGTCCATCAGCAAAAAGTCCAAATTTCCCCAATCCACTTCGCACAGGAACTGCTTGATCATCCCATTCTTCTTTGGACCTCTCCAGATTACGGCAGCATCCTGTGATCCCAATAGGAATCCAATTGACATCACCGATAAATTATCCTCCACATACTACAATTTCCATCATTATATATTTATAATTTCAAATCAATTTATTTCTATCTTACAACTGGGGACCATCCTGATCCAGACTGATGAACTTGCTCATTGAGGACACCAAGAAGCCTTGGCTGTGATGGGCCACAAATGTCAATATCTAGCACAGCAACCTGCAAATATTGATTAACTGTTATGTAGGCCGGTGGGGATTAGCACAGGATGATACTGGCTTTTGCAAACATTTCATATTTCATTACATCAAATGATGCTGTTTGGTTGTAGTGAAGAGAGGAGAAGCCGTTACAATAGGGTTTGATTTACTTACATTTCTATTTGCATCTGCTGCTGCAAGTGATCTGCTCAGCATTGCAGTCACTGTACTTTTACCCACACCACCTTTACCTGAGAGGATCAGAATTTTGTTTTGCACTTGCTCCAATCTCTCCTTCACCAGTTGAATGTCTGGGTTTGGTCCCTTGACTGCTCCGGATGCACAAATACCTTGATTTGGGCACCCAGCACATGCAGAGGCTTTACCTGCATCATCACTTTGGGTCCCTGGACAATCTGCAATACAAATTTAACAACCAAACTATAGTAAACAGTATTAATAATAACATGAAAGCTACTTACGTTCAGGAGCATTATTTGGTACTTGCACCTCAGACATTTTATGGATATTATCTAGAAACTATAATTTCATAATAGTACATTATTTGTTTTAAAGATCTTTGTCATTACAATAATTATATTACCTTATATCTATGTGACCACGTATAAATATTCTATAGTTATGAAAATATCCAATAATATTGTATTCACTGAAATTCTTATTTTTTTTATTTATCTTCGCACAAGGTCATTAAATTTAATAACATATAAATCTGTAACATGTGTTGCCTATAACTCACTTGAACATAATCAGTGTATCTAAACATGTAATATAAAATTTAGTCATGTTTATATAATACATGCTTGTAATCTGCCAAATACAAAAATCCAATAAGAATTCTGATTGGATAGTCATAAGGAAAATAAATGACTGTGTCTATTTACTGTATGTACCTATTAAAAATTTGATCAGTATTAGATTTCATAATTTAAAAAGTTTATATATTGAGTTATTATTTTCTGATAGTTATTAATTTGAAACAATTGCTCAAATGAGCTAATCAAATTGTGTAGAAAATTTGTCAAGAAATTTAACGTTTCGGCCTGATCGTACGGCGTTGATTTGTTTTAAATGATAATCAAACAGAAGCGAAAATGACTTCGCATTTGGGAGATACCGTTATGTACTCTGTAGGTCATCTCTTTTCCTAAATTTCTGTATAGTTGTGATAACGATATTAAACGTTTCTTCAAATTTTTCAGCAACTCCAACCATGGAGCACCGTTGCCGCAACACCGGTGATGGAACAGGTGGCTGGACCACCTCTTCCAGAGAGGATTGGCACCTACTACCAGACACCAAGACCCCATCCCTGGAGACCAACGCTCGGATACGAAAATGTTGAAGTCACACCACTGTAAATATACTATAATTGGTTCAACTATCCAAAAACTTCTTTTAAACGTTTCTTAGAAACTAGTTAAATTAAGGATATTCTTTGTTATGTTTAAGTTAAATTCTCATAATGTAGATTGAATGATTTAATTCCTTAGGCCTACCCAACCGGTGACAAACGCACTCATGGATCCTTGTTACACTCCGCACGGTATGAGCACTGAACCATTGAAGTTCCCGAATTTGGTCACCGGCTTCGAAAGGAATCCAGCTCATGCAGCAAGAGCCGCCCTCTACACCAGATACACCCCTCTGGAATGGACGCACGGAATCCTAAGAACGTACGGTGAATCGGACACCAATCGAAATTACTCGGAGAGACTGCGTGGAGAGTTCATCAGGGTGATGCGAGAAACTGACGAGAAGACAGCAGGAGGTCAAAGGGAGTCCGGCAGGAGACTGGGCGAGCGAATCACCGACACCACCTTCTGGAGGAACGAGGTGAAGACAGAATTGGAACGTCTGCTGGGATCCGCGCATTGCCTGCAAGAAGGAAAAAGGATGATCGCGAAAGCCATTGCAGATATCGAAGGACCTCTTCACATAGCGCAAGAGTGTTTGTATCTGCGAGAGAACAGACACGGCATTGATTTAGCGCACGACTCGCCCGAACAGGCGCTGCTGAAGGAAGTCGAATTGTATAGAAATTCGCAGGCAACGCTGAAATGCTTAGGTGATAAGGTTACATCGCAACTGTTGAACAATCGTGCGGCTCAGCACGAGTTGGAGACGGACGTGAGAAGCAAGGAAGGCGCTTTGGGCATCGACAACATGTGCCATCAATTGAACAACTTCTCGAAGGGCATCAACTATTACGGCGGAATCGAAAAATTCAATCCCACGTAAATCCTTCTAAATTATAAATACTTTTAACTAGTTGATGTGTTGTTTTCAGAGTGAGCACGACGACCACTTGGGCGGAGAACAGCAACCGCATTGTGTTGAGATCTCAGAGCGAAAGAGCTAAATCGTCGCAGATGTGCTCGGACGTCGAGAACATGATTAACAGTTTATCCAGCGAAATTTGGGATTCCTGGAGCGTGACCAATAACGCTTTGGCTAGAAGAGCAGCGGAAATGCTGGAGGCCAAGAGCAAAATCCAAATGCATTTGGCTAAAGTACGCCCATCATAGATTTGTTTTTTTTATTCATATTTTTTCATTCGAATCTCAACATTCCAGATACAGCAAGAGATCTTCGAAATGGAGAAGAATATCGAATTGCTGCGGAAAGCGATCTTGGATAAGAGCAACCCTATGAAAGTAGCTCAGACGAGACTCGAGGCACGGACGCATCGTAAAGAAGTGGAATTGTGCCGCGACATGGCCCAGGACAGGTGAATCGAAACATTTCTTTAATCTTCATAGAAACTATAAAGAATGTTTTAGATTGGTGAAGGAAGTTCTCGATATGCAGGACAGCATCGAGTATCTGCACAGGAAACTGCAAGAGGCCGAAGCTCAACATCAGCAGCTGCTGAAGACGCGTTCCAATCTGGAGACTGAACTGCACAGCAAAGTCAACGCTCTCTTCATCGACAGGGAGAAGTGCATGGGGATGCGCAGGTCCTTCCCCATCACCGCCACAATCAAATACTAACAATCGCAATCGTCTCATCAAACGCTTTAGTAAATTCTCTTTGTAGTTGTCTAACAATTAAATAAATATTTATTTAAACTCCATGTCATCGCGCGAATGCCGGCACCGGCAACTTCAGGCCTTCTCTTGCCTCGAAGAACGTGTACGACAATATAATCTCTTCGATGAACTCCATTTTCGGATCCTCCACGAATTCCGGGTCAATGTAGAAGAATACCGGCATGTCGACCTGCAAAATATAAATTAACCGCAATTGCAAATACATTTCTAATTTCTTGATTTAAACCTGTTCATGTGGATTCAACTGCTGCTCCTCAAAACAGAAGCACTGGATTTTATTAAAATATTGTCCAGCTTCAAAGGGAATCACATTGTATGTGCTGATACCAGTGACTGGTTTGTCTGTTGGGTTTTTGGCTGTGTAGAAGGCCAAAGCTGTCTCTCCTGGGATTATCTTCAACAAAACCATTTAATGATATATTTTTTTAATGAATATAAAATAAGAAGCTTAATTAACTGTGATTTCATGCTGCTGTGGCTTAAAGTTCCACCTCATGCTCGCCGCTATATCTGCATTAAACTTTATCCTGATTGGTCTGTTCTTCACTGAGGCCATTGTCTCCACTTTGGAGACATCATGACCTGTGGACGTGGTGCCACCATAACTGTACGCTTGACAGAACATCCTGTACAGGGGAACTGCTGCATAACTCAATCCCACAGTCAAGACACCAGCAGCAGTTACATAATAAACAGTGGACCTGATCTTGTGCTTCAGCGATTGCTTATCGGATGTATTGTGCAGCTGATTAAGTCGAACACTTGTATGGAATTTATTGCTGAGGGAACCCTTGAAGGTGGTGATGTGTTTGAACAAACTGCAACAGTTTCTTATCGACATCGCAGCAAATACACAAACATTAATTAATTCAGAATTGTTTATTTAAAATAGCACTGGCCAAACATAACCACAAACATTTAAATTAAAGGGACTAGAGAAATGTCAAGAAGTTCCTGGTCAAGTTCACAGATGGATCTATCGAGAAAACTGCAGATGCTCAATAAACATACATTTACATTTGATTCATTCATCCTTTCCATTTTATTTGTAGGCTTAATTCCAGCAATACATACGACTTAGTTTGCTTACATGATTATTACATAATCTTTATTTTACTATTGACCGGTTTCTGTCTTCCATACTTTCTTCGTTTGCTTAATCGACCAGTTTGACCACGTGCTCTTTTTACCGCGTGTGCTGTGTAAGATTTGTTACTCTAGTTACAAGAGTAAATAAACTCTGTTTTATTTGAAGTTCTTTTGCAAATGGTATCTACAGCATTTCCTTCCATTGAGTAGATTGCAATATCGATTTCATATTTACATGTTTCAACACCTAAAACTGCCTGTCTTTAATGTTACACAATCGTTTTGTTTCATACAATAATATGTAACGAGGGTTATCGTTACTAGATGCATTTAAATGTGTTTATTTTGAGCATAGTTCTTTTACTACACTATTAATAATATCAAAAAAATATTATTTTCTTATTAGATTATTTTAATTGCAATAAATATGTGCTTAACTTAAAGTGATTGAAGTATTTTCAATAGTGAAGGCGCTGATTGCAAAGTGGAATGCGTAGGAACTAACCATGACGTTTGTAATAAATGCGAGTGCGTGAGCAGCGGCCCGCGGGCCACGTTTGGCCCTTTTGTCAATATTGATTTTAATTTAATATTTCTGGGTATACATTCCAAAACTGTTTATAATATACATACTTTTTGTTTATAATAAACAATCTCATTTATCTCAAGTATTAGTATTAATCACAGGATTCCAAATGCTTCTACATTAGGTAAGTAATATGGATACATTGTCAATGGTCATATTTAATTAAGAAAATAATGTAATTTATTGATGTCTCAGAAAAAGATTACATATTAATATGTAAATTGAAACTTAATATAGCGGATACATTTTCTTTGATTCATTTGTTCGTAAGTTTTTTTGTAACCATGACAAAATTTAAAAAATGCAATTTTCTACGAGTGTGCGATAAGAAATTGTCACGTAATCAGTTTGTGTTCGTTAGTTTATTTTTACGCTCAATCATTGAATGGAGAAAATCGAATATATTCATTTTCGTTAAAAGCTTAAATAAAAAGCTAATATAATACATTGATATTAATTATATTAAAGTTGTTGCTAATAGCAATCGTTAGTATTACTATAGCAACTTACTTTAGTAACTGTAACGATTGGAGCGTAAATGAAGTTTAGCGAATCATCCGGTATTTGCACCGTTCGTACGAAATTAAACGCGGAGTACTAGAAACACACATATAGAGCTCAAGGTAAATACGTAGGCTTACATAGTAGCAACATCATATGACTTTCAACGGTATTGCGCAATCTTGCAATGCACCTGAAATCGTGCGAACAAGAACCGTTCAATACTCTTCAAAGTGTCGGATTCGCATCGTGTCCAGTTACGCACTGGAATCAGCGATTTTTGCAATTCGAAACTAAAACTATTCAGGCAAATCTACCGATAAAATAACGTTCCTTCAACGCATATTTGCCTATCGCAATTGATTAATTATATAATTATTACAACAAAAACAACAAAAAAAAATAGTTACACTTAACTGCAGAGAAATAAAATGCATGCACACGTATAGTACGATAGTGCATGTAATTAACGATAAAAAAATTCACGTGTGCGATGTGGGACATTTTGTAATTTCGCGGATCGGGACAAGTCGCAGTTCGATCGGTTCGCTCTGATAGCAATTTGCTTTTTTGAATTTGTTTTATTTTTGAAAAAAAGAGCATATAGCAGCCCTTGCCTCGCAGAACAACCCACGTAAATATTTACAATATTTAAGTATACATCAAATTTAACATGAATTACAAGTTTTGATCATCGCTGAAATACGTTCGCTTGAAAAGCAAGTTCAATTAACTTTACAAGCAATTTAAATTCAAGGAGAAACTGTTCTCTTATTGACAATTTTAAATTACCGGATCGTAAAAGTATAACTTATTGCGATATGATGAATTATCTGCTTAATTTCGTTTCTTTTCTTTAAATTTTCATTTTAGATGCTAGAATGGAGAGCTGGTTCAAGATCAGTTTGCTGCTGTGCGTGTTCGGATTCATCAAGGAGTTTCGGCCGTCCGAGCCATTCATCTACGAGTACCTTTCTGGACCATGGAGAGATCTGGACGACGACGAGGTGACCCAGAAGGTCTACCCTGTGGGTACCTACAGTTACCTGGTTCATCTGCTGCTTGTCTTCCTCATCACCGACTTCTTGAGGTACAAGGCTTTGATCGTGATCCTGGGACTTTCGGGCATCATCGTCTGGAGCATGCTCATATGGACGACATCGCTGTTCCATCTGCAAGTTCTTGAGGTAAGTCTAAATTGAAAACATCCAACTCTCTTCATGTCTGCTGCGATGGCCTTGTACGTTATCAGCTCGGTGCAACTTCAAGCTAATATTGGGATGCGCTACATTACTAGTGTGTAATCTCTAACGATAATGAATCAAGATTATTTTCCTGCCGTATACCATCTATCTAGCAACATTATAGCTTAAAATAAACTCGAAAACATATTTAATTGTTTATCATGATTATCTAGTATTGTTACAGATTATTTCCTATAGTAGTAATTAATACAAATTATATTTAGAAAATAAGATTGATTTATCCGAAAAAATATATTTTTGACTGATGCTGGGAATTGTTAAACATTGCTAAATATTAAATAGCACACATAAACACAAAACTTAATAAATTGATATTAAAAAAAAACTTTTTGTCTGAAATAATTTGTTAAAATTCTTGAATTTTCAATTTGTTTTACTTATAAACAATGTTTCATTTTTTTAAAATTTTGTTTTAGGGCGTCTATGGAACTTTTATGTCTTGCGAAGTGGCGTACTACACGTATATTTATGCAAAAGTGGATACTAAATATTACCTGCAAGTCAGCTCGCACACAAGGGCTTCGATTCTTGCAGGAAGAGCGTTGTCGAGTATTGTCGCTCAACTGCTCATTTCCTTCGAGCTCATGGATTACAAAGAACTGAACTACATTAGTTTGGGCGGTGAGTAAGAAAAACCAGGAACTCTATCTGACATATAATGTCTTTTGTTTTTTTTTTGAGTAGCCATGATCATAGCCAGCTGCTGGTCCCTATTCCTACCGAACGTCAAAAAAAGCATCTACTTCCATCAGGATGGCGTCGAAAAGGTGCAGATGTCTTCGAAATTCCGCGGCGCCTTTACTCTGATGAAGACCCATTTCCTGGAGTCATTTTCAAACAGATACGCGCTGAAATGGTCAATTTGGTGGGCTTTGACTACAGCCGGATTCATTCAGGTGCAGGTCTACGCTCAGCCGTTGTGGGGCGAGATCTTGGACTCCAGCGAAGGGAGCGTTTACAACGGAGCCGTTGAGGCTGCAGCTACTCTTCTCGGCTTTTTGAGCGCCCTCTTCGCCGGTTACCTGAAAATCGAATGGAAGGGTAAAGGTGAGCTGGTGCTCTCGATTTGTGCCATCATCGCCGGCGGCCTCATCGTTCTCAGCTCACAAACCGAATACGTTATGGTCAGCTACATCTGCTACGCTCTTTACTGCTGCATTTACCAGTTCATGATCACCATCGCCAGCTCCGAGATAGCCAAATGCATTGCGGACGATAGCTACGGTCTGGTCTTCGGTATCAACACCTTCATTGCTCTGGTTTTGCAGACAATACTCACGCTTATCTTCGTCGAGGAGAAGGGCTTCCACATGAAACCCAGAGATCAGCACCTGGTCTACGGTATTTACCATTTCCTGATTTCCATCGTCTTCATCATCATCGGACTTATATCTCTAGCGAAAAGAAGAAGAAATAACTCAAAACGTTCACTTACTATACAATAAGGCAAAAGACGCAGTACAACTGCCGAATAGAATATAATTTCAGTACTTAGGACATTATATACTTTAATTAGTTTTAAACTTCGTTACTTAATTTTACCTATAAGACCCTAACGAATTCCTGTAGTTGCATAATCATTCTTTTAAATATTTGAAAATTTATTCCAATCTGTGCATTAATACGTAAAACTTTCAAATATATTTAATTTATCTCTATATCTAGTTAACTATATGAGCAACCCTGTATATTTCTTTCATCACTCGTAGAGCCATCTATTGGCTGATGATTAAAACTTGCATTCCTTTTTAGATGCTTATAATATTGCCTAACTTTAATAAATTTATGTATTTGCTTTAAAATGTTCATGTTTTCTAACAATTTGATCTTTCAATTATTAATGGATTAACATTCTTAAACGCAATTAAAATAAAATAATTTTACATGTATGCCTGATGTAATTATATTGCCTAACCGCGATTCATTTTGACATTTGACAATTGTTCAAGTGTCAAATCTAATAGGAATATCCTTAGTTTTTAAATAATTTTAAAAGAAAAATACAATGTTATCCTCGGTCAGGAAGGCTGGCTGCTCCTTGGTAAGCAAATAGTTGTGTTACCAATAAATTATCTGCAATTTGTTTAGTAAAAATGATCAGTTACATAACATTAACCTCTTTTATTATTGTAGTGGAGAGGTGTTGTGGCTCCGAGGTCTATCCAGACATCTTCAGCACTCCAGCATGACAGTCTCTTTGTGCACAGGGATTCGGCTGCAGATAATCCAGATATTAAATTTGAATTCACCCCTGACAATATCAAGGTAAGTTAACAATTGGTTCAGTAAAGTTACATATGATGGATTGTTGTTGTTGTAGAGGGCTGATGCCATCCTGGCCATTTACCCTGAGGGACACAAGAGGGCTGCCATGATCCCATTGTTGGATTTAGCACAGAGACAGCAAGGATGGTTGCCATTGTCCGCTATGCATGCAGTTGCTGATATGCTGAAACTCCCCCGCATGAGAGTCTATGAAGTTGCTACCTTTTACACAATGTTTATGAGGTCTGTGTTTATTTACAAAATTTGTATTATATGAGTTGAAGTGTTTAATCTAATAGGAAACCAACTGGTAAATACCATTTGCAAGTGTGCACAACTACTCCTTGCTGGTTGAGGGGATCTGATGAGATTCTGGAGACAATTTGCAAGAACCTTAACATGAAAGTTGGAGAAACGTCCAAGGATGGTATGTACACGATTTCCGAGGTCGAGTGTTTGGGTGCTTGCGTGAATGCGCCCATGGTGCAAATCAACGACGACTACTATGAGGATCTTACCGTGCAAGACACGGAAGAGATTCTCAGCGACCTGAAGGCCGGAAAGAGACCGAGGGCTGGACCCAGGTTTGTCTAATTGAACATCAACATTGTCTTTTACGTTTTATTCATGATTTCATCCTTTATTAGGAGCGGCCGTTTCGCTGCTGAACCTCTTGGTGAGCCAACATCTCTTAAGGGAGAGCCGACTGGTCCAGGATTCGGTGTTAGAGCCGACTTGTAAATAAATATGAAACAATAAAAATAGATTTAATTTATTATTAGCACCATTCATTCAAATCCTGCTATCAATTGAATTACATTTAGAATATATAAATATGATAATTATTATTGATTCTGTAAATTAATGTGATCTAAGAAATTTATGATTCTCTATTAGAATTTGTTGTTATAATGATTTGTTTTAATTGATCTTAATAAATGTCAAACTTAATTTAATGTCAAAGTACTGACATAAAGTAAAGATTCTTGGTTCATTTTTTTTACATAAAGAAGTATAGACATTTGAATTTGACAAATGTAATACTACATTTTCTTCAAATAAAAAATATATTTTTTTTTCTTTCTTTCTTAATATTTATAACGTTTTAATAATTTTAAGAACTTATCAAATTCTCTATTAAATTGACGACCGTAGAAAACCCTTCTGTATTCAAATGACAGTATCAGAGTAGTGAGTTTCTTCCGTTGTAATCAAATTGTACTCTTAAAACATGCTCGGTACTTTCGCTAATTATTCAATACACTTGAAAATAGCATAAAAGTGAAACAGCAATGAATAAATAATGCTTTTATTTGGATCTAAGTAAGTTTAGATTACAAATAATTGTAACCATTTTCGATTTTAAATATTAATTAATCATTGTACATTGTTAATTCTTCGGTTGAGGTATATATATATAATAACCATGAGTGTTTGTAGAAATCAGTAGTAATCTGTTTCGAAATCGTCTGCGGACGGTGGACCGAGTCTTTTGCAGATTTTGAGAGGCGGATGCCTGCTGCGGATGTGCCTCGTCAGATTTGGTTTCTGTTTCGAGGTGTAAATACAAAAAGGGCACCTGTGACTGCCCATCTTTCCGCATTCGAACCTCACGTGCCTGTAGAGCGACGAATGAGCCTTGTAGATTCTTCCGCACTTCGTGCACGTGAATCTGTTCCCTAAAAGAATGCACGTACTTTAATATCGAATCGCAGGTCGTTTCAGAAAACAACAACAATATAAAAAAAAATTATATAAAATGAACATTAAAGACACCGGACGTGTACATAAATCATAAAACAAAACATTTATTATGACTATCTAGTTGACTGTTATTATTTTGTGTTCGTATAAATGGTAAATGCACGTCTGCAGGAACGAGTGTTTTTAGTTAACTGAATGGCTTCGTTGAATTGTTTATTTAGGAAGAACGTGATCGATCATTGATGTCGGAAAGTGTGCAACCGCAAATCGTTCTTGTAGTAGAACCTGTGATTGCAGTAATCGCAAACGAAGGTTTTCTCTTTGCCGCACTCCACGTTGATGTGTCTCTTCAGGTTCCTCAGCAGGGTGTAGGCTTTGCCGCAGCAGTTGCACTGGAAGCGCTTCCTCAAATCTAAAACCCAAAGACGACGAAACGCACTTAATTAATATTTAAATAAGATATATGCATATCTTCTTCAACAAAACAAGAAAAAACTTTCTACTAAATCGCAGCTTCTTATTTTTTTTTTGCAAAATATATAAAATTAATAATTATTCCTGATTAAAGTGAATAGATTGTTACTACTCAACTCCATGGTTACTCCTTGGTGACCATAGTTTGTATGACCAAACACAGTTGTTGTTTTTTTATCAACGAAAATCAACGCCTACATTGAGCTGAAATCATGAATATTAACTTTTTATTATTTATTTTCTGATCTATAATATAGAATGTGCTAAGATTGAATTAAATATTGTGTTTTCTATCCAATAAGACATCAGTTGTAATGTTTTTCTTTTACTTATATCACTATTCTATGCAGTGAAGTATTTTGTCTCTTCTTTAGCATCAAGTTTGTAAAGATATAATCTATTGTTCATCAACAGTTTTTAAATATTTTGTCAAGAAACGCGAGGTTTGCAATAGTTGAGTTCTTACAAATATCTCAAAACCAATTTTTGGTTTATTCATTCATGGATGAGGAATAATCAAGCGTGATGTATGTGTGTGTAGCGATGTCTTTCTGAAATAAAGATTGTAGTTGTAGTTTCATTCTGTTTTGATATTTGTTGATCTGTTTTTTTTATTATAAAATATAGACATGTTAAGAAAATACATCGAAGGGCACATGGTGTGTTTCGGGTGAGATTAGTTGAACTGCTTCATTTCGTGTCGCATAACGTGGATTCGATGGTCGCTCTTATAGTAGTAGGACCGCGGGCAGTAGGGACAGTGGAAGGTCTTGGCCTTTCCGCATTCGATCTTACGGTGTCTCTTCAGGTTGTGGTAGAGGGTATAGGATTTGTCGCAGTTGGGACAGGCGAACGCTTTCCTAGTTTCCCCATACAATCCTCCGTCCGAGGAAAACTCTGAAAATTGAGCGGCGTTAATAAAAGAAGATGCGACGTTCTACCACGATCTACAGAGACGCGCGTCCTACACGACGTCGTGGTGGGACGAGAGAGGATGGCGAGGAGAGTACGAATCTACAGAGATGTACAATACAATACGGTTGCTCAGAGAAAAATGTTATGTTTAATTTTCATGTGCTCTTTGAGGACATATTTTCGGGAGCACTGGTAGTTGCAGATCGTGCACCGCACCAGTTTTCCGCAATCCTGGGAGATGTGCGACTTCAGAGTGTTCGCGTTCTTGTACGCCTTGTGGCACATCGGACACGTCGGTCGTTGGTACATCGAGGCCGGAAGATCTGCAAGACAACAAGAAAAAACCCAAGTCAAATAGAGACGATCGCAACGCATCTTCTATTGATTTTTTATTTTCTTTTGGTGTGTGTGTGTTTGTGATTTTTATCAAAGTGTTTCTTCTTTTAGATGCAAAAGAGATTACTTAAAGTAAAGATTAAATAGTTTCTATGTACGGGCTTATAAATGGATATTGGAAAGTCTGTGCTTGATCCGCAAGTGGCACTGCAGCTGGTATTTCCTTTTGGAGCTGTAAGGGCACATTGGGCATTCGAAGGCGCGGATTTTGCCGCAGTCCTGAGACAGATGCGTCTTCAGCGTCGTCGCATTCTTGTAAACCTTTCCGCAGTTCGGACAGGCTGCTCCTCCGTCACCGTGCACTAAAACGAATGACTTCAGTTAACGTGTTCATCGTTCGCACTTTAATAATAAATATGCATGCTGATATATAATGTAAATGACTAACATTAAATTGTAAACATCCATCCCAAAAGAATTCATCACACATTTATTTATTTTTTTCTTCAAGATATTCTTCGATTATAAAAAAAAAAAGTTAGTAATTCCCAGATAAAGAACGTCAATTTCATTGAAACATACTAGATCTTAAATTATATTTGTTCCTAATTTATTACACTCTGCAAAAAGTGGTAGGGTTGTGAGTAAATGATTGTGATTATTTCTAAAGTTGCCGAGTCTCATCTGGAAATTAACGAATAGTTCTTTTATTTAAAAAAAAAAACATCAACAATTCAAATAGAAAATTCAAAAGTCTTAACGACAACGAAACCGAAACGTTCAGTTTAGGTAGCTCTTGTGTTGGGTGAAGGTGTGCGTCTTCAACACGGACTTCCTAGAGAACCTCTTCCCGCAGATTCTGCACTGAAAGAATCCGGTCGTGCTGCACTCGTACTTCATGTGTCTGTTCAGGTCACCCTTGTGCTTGTAATTTTTCGGACAGTACAAGCAATGGTATCGCAACGAGTCGTCTGCAAGCAGAAAGAAGAAGTGGAGGAAATGTTGTGAAATTTTTTGGTTTTCGAACACGCTCCGTTCTTCGGCAACAACAAAAACAACAACACACCCTCAACCCCCAATCATAACCCACAATATGTTTGTTAATTCTGTGTTTATGTTAAATACACTTGCAGGAATTTATGGTTGACGTATGTGTAATTTTTTTTTATTTTGCTACTGATGTTGATGCAATTTCCTATTTTGCAAGTGATCTGGAAAATGCAAGAATTAAAAAAAATACAAATATTGACATTTAACTGTCATTAATCAATAACTTTCAGTTGTTCTGGTATAATTAAGTGTTATCATAACAACATGATGAGACAAATTAGACATTACTAATCGACTGTTTTAGACAAAACAAAAATTTAAAAAAAAAACTATTATTAACATAAGTTGTCCTGAGATAGAACAATGTTTTGACTTGGGGCACCGCGGAAAAAAATTGATATATTAACCACTGGTTCATTGAACAACTTTTATATATACCTTTATGTCATTGTATATTAATTTTAAATAACAACATGTTTTTTTTTAAGAATACTAAAGTAATATTTTCATAAATAGTGTAATTAGTAGTGACTTAAATATTAAATTAGTTTAAATCAAAGTTTTATCACTAATTGTTCATGTTGGTTTTACTATACAGTGGAACCTCGATAACGAGTTTAATCCGTTTCAAAATTTCCGGATTTTTACTCGTTTAGTAAAACATATTCAAAAATATACATATAATAAGTGTACATAAGTTTTAAACATGATGTAGCAGGCGCGCAATCTGGGACTTCTCTTATCGTCACTCCTTATACGAAACATCGCTCGTTAAGCGAGTCATTTTTCTTACAATTCATTTTGCTCGTTAAGCAAGGTACCACTATATTTTGTTTTGCAATGACTTTTACACAGTTGTCAAAAATATAGATGTTGTCAATAAAATAATATTGCGAATAGAGAGAAAATTAAACCTTTGATTTTAAATGAAATATTCATTAATTCCATAAATAATTGCAAAGTATAATAGCTAAAAGATGTATAAAGTTCTCAAACTTTGTTGTTATAGAAATATAATACATTTTTGATGTTGTAATCGAATTATGTTTATATTAGTTTTCAACTGTTTTTTTTATCTCATAACACACTTGAAACTATTGTTGAAATTCGAGGACATTGTTGTCGATTATATATATAGAATTGTTGATTGTACCTGAAATAAATTACACCGAATGAATTCAACTAACGATTTGAATTCGTTTATAACTAGAAGATTATCTGAAAATATTGAGTTTCTTTATTGAACAACAGTATTGATAATTAACAAAAATAATAAGTATTAAGTCTATCAGCTAAGTAAATTACGATGAAACTGAAGATATTGTTATTGTTAATAGACTAAGTAAACAAGTAAAACATTTATCAACTACATTAAAATATATGTATATATATGTGCGTATCTGTTGTCTGAAGGCAACGGATTTCATTGTGAACCATCAGAGCGGTGGTCTCCGCGGTCCTCTTGGGCAAATCTGCAAGTGCTGAATCAAAATGTACTTTGCCGTGAATCCCTCGAGACAGTGATCGCAATAGAACTTGGAGATAGAGTTCTTGGCGCATTCAGATCTCAGATGCACCTCCAGGTCGTGTCTGGTGTTGTACCGCCTACGACACTCCTTGCAGAAGTGCACTCTGCTCACGGTAGCTGAAAGATAACTGAAGGTAAATACGGACGAACGGTGATATTGAGAGATGTATGCAAACCTGCATCATAATTCGCGGTGCAGTTAACCATGTGCTTGTTCAGATTGAGCTTCGAGCTGTAAACCATCTGACACCTGCTGCAGGTGAAGAACCTCTTCGTGCGTTTCCCGCAGTTCAACTGATGCCTTTCGAACATGTCCGGATCCTGGATGAATTTACGACACTTGGCGCAGAAGAGTTTCGTGTCTGGGGGGATGACCTCGCTGTCGTTGGGCTCCGACTTCATGGGGTCTAAAACAGAGAAGGGAGAAGGATGTTCGAGACATGCGATTAATAATTTTGAAGACGATGGGATGTGGATGTAAGATTTTGTTCGTTCGTTTCTTTCTTTCTGAGAGAAGGCTTAATGAAAGAAATATGTGTGCTTCTTTTTATTGAGTTCATATATATATATATATAGTCGAACATGAACAAACTAAAGGAACTAAAAGAGAAAAATAAAACAAACTAGACTAAATTGATTGATATTTCTTTCAGTGATAGACCGAGATGTTGTGCTTGTTGGCGATGTGCGAGTTGAGGATGTGCTTGTGGTAACAGGCGTAATTGCAGTAAGGACAGATGTTGCGTTTCTCCTTGCAGCATTCCACGTTCCTGTGTCTGTACAGGTTGCTCCTGTGGAAGTACGATCTGCCGCACTTGTCGCACGGATACTTCACCCTGATTAAGTCTAAAAAACAGAAGAACAGAGATTATTACGTGGAAATCGAGAGCTGCTCGGAAGAAACAGATCGAACCCAAAAGGAAATATATCGTCATAAGCACAACACAGAGAACAGAGAAACTTGGGAAGCGTTTTATTATTATTATTAATTCGTTTTAGAAAATAAAACAACAATCGGAATATCGCATATAATCACAATTACAAGCTGCCTTAATGATATATTATCAAATTTTACATAATAAATTGATTGATTCTCTTAACGTAACACGCGGTAGTGCTTCCGTTTTATGTGCTTGTCCATCACGTGCTTGTGATACGCGGCGTAGTTGCAGTACGGGCAGATGTTGCGTTTCGTCTTCTGGCACTCGATCCTTCGATGTCTGCACAAGTTGCTCTTGTAGGAGTAAGACTTTCCGCAGCGATCGCAGCAGTACTTTTCCCTTGCAACAGACACTAAAAGCAGAGAAGAAGAAAAAACGGAGCCAATGAAAACTGGTCGTCGCACACTTACGTCTAAAATACTACACAAAAATAAAAACAAATAATTTCATCTCTTACATCTTTCAATTTTGTTTGTTTGTTTTATTATTATAATTACAAAAAAAATAAGGAAAAATTTACGGAAAAAGAAAATTATTACAGTAAACAAGAAATGTTTTAACCTACTTGATACAAAATAATAGAAAAGAATAGCTAAACTAATTAAAATGTCTACTATGTGAATTGAGTAAACAATAATAATTGACTTAACATCAAGATTTTTATAGTGGAAAAGATTGAATAAATCGAGTGACTCGTTGAGAGGAAATACAAAAAGTTTCCAATTTAAATTAGGACAAAAAAAAAGTAATTATTTTGTAATTTATATAATTATATTTGCAACTTCTCTCGTTATAAATTGCATTTAAATTCCATCAACCCAAAAGATACGTTAATAAAGCAAGACACGAAATATTTATAAAATGAAACTAATGAAATTTTGATTATTTTTGAAAACTTATGAAAAGAAAAATATTGAAATTATTTAATACTACAGTATAACGCGGTACGAATAAATCGCGTTATCGTTAAAATGATTCATATGTTTTTTGTTTGCTTGTTGCAAGAATAATATTTGGATGAATCTATTAATGCGAGTTAATTGGAAACAAATGAATTGTGGTAGAGTAGAATGGAAATTGTAAATACTAAATAAAACCATTCATAATGGCTACAGGTAGAGCGTTTTTTCAACAATAATCTTCATAATTCTACTTTTTACTCGACTCAAAAACAATTTTAAACTAAAACCATATCATAAAGCAAAAAAAAAATAAACAACGTAATAACATATTTGTCAGAAAATAACAGAAACAAAATCTTAAAAAAAAAAGTATGCGAATTCTTCAAAACGTCCTGTCATTTGGATGGAAGGACGTGTCTGTATCACATTTGTTGGCTGCATTTTCTATGTGTTCGTTGTAAAACTATCTACTAGTTTTCCGGACCTCCTTGTAGTGCAGATTCTGCACGTGCCTTTGAACATGGGACGTCCTGAACCCGGCGTAACTGCAATAAGGACACTTGAACTTTCGCTTCCGATTGCAGACGTTGCAGAAGTTGTTCATTCTGTTGATGTCGCCCGCGAATCGTTTCTTGCACCTTCTGCACTTGACCTTCTCCCATTCCGTATCTGAAAAGAGAACATATTGCAACAAAGAGGCACAGGCAAACACAAAGTTATATAAAAAAAAAAAACAAACAATAGTAAAACAAATATAGCGATGGAAAAATGCAGTTGAGGTTTTTTTTTTTGGATTTGAGGTGCAATTTTCAATAAGAGACTGTTTTTTAAATCTTTTATTAGTGAAATTGCGTTAACATGTCTAGGGGATTTCGGAAGTGCGTCTTCCTGTGTCTGGAAAGACTCGGCTGGTGACTGTAGCATTTACTGCACAAGTCGCATCTGAAATTTTTCACTTTAAATTTCCCATAGAACGGACCTAAAAGAAAAAGACGTTTTTGCTAATTACTCTGCTGGAAATGCCGCAAACACAAAAGAAGAGAAAAAAAGAAAATAAATAATTTGGAAATATAGGACATACAGGAACGATATTTAACATCATGCAACACGTTCATTTCTTTTTTATTAATCTTATTATTATAACTATGGACACATTTCTTCTGGGTTTCATTGTAAAAGGGTTCTGTGTTTGAGTTTGAGGTGTCTTTCGGTGTGGACCTTCTGGTAGCCGATGTACTTGCAATACGGACATTTGAAGGTCCTCTTCTTGTTGCACTCGTAACGGTAGTGTCTGTAGAGGCTGGGCTTGTGCAAGTACGTTTTGCCACATAATTTACAAGGGAACGTCTTCCTCTCGCCCCAGCCTAAAACAGAAACGTTCCCAACGTTAACTGGCCTACATCAACAAGTCGCCTGTTGCTTCTGTCAGATTGATTGCGCCCTTTGCGATTGTCTAACTTTTCTTTTTATTATTATTATCATCATAATTCTTTTCACACGAAACACGATACAATCTAACTATTTGTACTTTCGACAGATGTACTTATTCCAAATTCTACACGTTCAGGCAGTTGTGGACTTTGAGCATGTGTCCGACGAGCGTCGTGTTCCTAGTGAACTTGCTCGAGCACAGCGAGCATTGGAACATCTTCTCCTTGTTACATTCGAACTTGATGTGTCGCACCAACGAACCCTTCGTCTTGTACGACCTTCTGCACGTCGCACACTCGAAGTATCCTTCGTGACTGTAATATCCATTACCTAAAACAAACATAGATTAATGAGATGAACACACACACACACACACAGCAATTTCAATCATTCGCTAATCGGCACACGACAAGAACAAAACGAAAAAACAATTGTTTTACTAGCATTTTCATTCGTAAACGACAACATCAACAAAACAAAAAACGGAAAGAGGATCAAAATAAAAAGGATATAGTTGTATGCATAAATAAAGATATCTTTGTGTTTATTTTCAATTCGTTTATTTGTTCTTAGTGTGCCATGCTTTGAAGTGTCGGCGGTAATTCGATTTGATTTTCGTCACGTACGGACACAGGTGACATTTGATCGAAGCCTCCTTGCCGCATTCGTATCTTACGTGGGACGACAGAGAATGCTTTCTCATGTAAAACTTATCGCAGTTCGCACACTTGAAACCTTAAAAAAAGGAAATTCCAATGTATTTAAGAAATAACGAACACACATTAATCAACGAAACGAGTTGTATTCTACTGATTTCAATTTTAACATTCAATGTCTGCAAACAATTGTTTCATTGGTATCAAATACAACTAAAACATTTTATGATAGATGACAAATTAAGATGCAAATGTAATTTGAAAAAAAAAACTTAAAATTAATACTCATAATAGATAGTATAGTAAAATGAGACTGTAGAAAAGTGTTTTGTAATTACCAAAAAACTATAACCTTTTACAGAAACTTCATTGACAATAATTTGAAATAAAAAATTGCACAAAAGTAATACTCACCACAATCACCATCACTTTACGTCTAGTAGTCGTTTTATAACATTGTTGATAATTTTTATTAGTCACATTATTTCAAATCTCACTTAATTATACACAAATACTCCAAAGAAGAAAAAAAACACACAACTACATAACCAACAATCTGAAGGTTGCAATGACAGTTGCCACATTCACTTTTAGGTTAGTTGAGTAACTAAAAATTCAAATTTTGAAAAACTTTGCAGATTTCTACAAACCCGATGATCTACTAAAATGTTTACAAATGTTTACATTATTGAACATTTTTAACAGTCACATTATTTCAATTCTCACTTAATTATACGCAAGTACTTCAAAGAAAAAAAAACACACAATTACATAACCAACCATCTGAACGTTGCAATGACAGTTGCCACATTTACTTTTAGGTTAGTTGAGTAACTAAAAATTAAAATTTTGAAAAACTTTGCAGATTTCTACAAATCCGATAATCTATTAAAATGTTTACAAAGTGCACACAATACGTATTTGAAAGTTATAAACAACACTTAAATATACATTATTCAGTTATATTTTGATAGGTTAGGTTGGACATTTTCTTCATTCCTTTGTCGCTTATCTGCACCAGTCATGTTTACTAATCCTAAGTAAACAAACAAATGTTAAACTGCATTTATCATTATTTTTGTATTTACAGAAATATAATTCAAGGTAAACTACCAGAGATTAATTTATTCGGGTTCTGGTAGATATTACTTGAAATCCAGATTAAGCTAAATGAAAAAAAAAAATATTGATGTAAAAAAAATATAATTACATAAATAATCAAAAGTGTCAAAAAAGGATTATTATACAAATTATATGATTTATGCACGGTTTTGACGTTTGACACTGATAGGAGTGTCAATGTTTATATAATTTAAGAGACATTAGGACAAAAAGACATTAGGTCTTTAGACTGTTGATGTTATTAAGTTAGTAACAATTTCAACTTCTATTATCGTGAAAGACATAAAAGCCTTTGGTTATTATAAAAAGAAGATATAATTAATAGAAAGGGGAGGAAATAAATTAGTAACGGTATATCATCTAACAAGTCATATATTTGTTATCATTCTCATTACCTTTGGACAAGTAAAAAAAAACAAACTAAATATTAATACGCAAAATAAATATAAAAAAATAAATCTTCTTTTAATTTCCACTGAGAAGTATCAATCTGACAAGTGGTGTTATTTGTTTTAACAAATGATCGACGGATGTGGCGAAACGATGTTACTTTCAGAACGGAGGACGTGCTTGAGCCTCATGTGCTGCTTGACGTTGTTGTGTCTCTTCGACTTGTAAGGACATCCGGGAATCGAGCAGCTGAACCTCTTCGGTTTCCCGCAATCGAACGTCGTGTGGTTGTAAAGCGAGGCCGCGTGTCTGTAAATCTTGTGGCATGAGTTGCAGCTGTACATCCTTAATCCTAAAAGCAAAAGAGAAGAAAAACGAATGGATGTGAATGAAAATGTACGAGGCGCGCTACATCAACATCTCAACAGTACGAACAAAAGAAAATAAATCAATAACAAAAAAAATAATAATAATACAGTAGTAACACATACAGAAGTTTTGAAAGAGAGAGGATAGAGTTGCGGCGGTGGCGAAGAAGAAATTATTAAAAAAAAATGAAGAAAAGAAAATCGTTGCGTTTACTTTTTGATATTTCTTTCTTTTTTTGTGTGTTGTTGTTGTTATTGAAAAATCGAGTGCCTCCTGTGGACCATCGTGTAATGCTGTTTCAAGCTCGACTTCCGCTTTGTCATGTAACCGCAATGGAACTCGCAGATGAATTGCGGCAGTTTTCCGCACTCGAACGTTCGATGATTGTAGAGGGACGCCTTGTGCTTGTACCGTCTGGGACACGTGTGGCAGCCGTAAATTTTCCCGTCACCTAAAAAATAGGCAATTGTTATTTGCGAACCGACTGCAAACCGATGCTCATTTAAAAGCTAACCATAACCATAACTTATTATTCATTTTTTTTTGTTTTGTTTTGGTTATTTACGAACAAACAAAATAAACGGAGTTTTAGTTTACTTGAAGCGATTGCGGTAGTTAATATGATTATTGTACATTTAAGCTGAGTGTGCTTAGGAGGATTATCGAGGATTCGAGACGAACAACGTTGATTTCGTTCAAGGAGTTATTTCCATCACCTAGCAACGAACAGTAACATTCGGGACAGATGTACCAAAAACAAAACAAAATTACAAAAAAAAAACTGTTTTCGAAAATAAAATAACATTCGACCGTATTGGTCATTACCCAAAAACAAAATCCTTATTCTAGATATATTAATTTACACATATTAATCGAATTTTGACAGTTGTCGCGAAATGACAGCTGTCACAATGCGTCAAAACACTTATATTATAAACAAATAGGTTGAAAAAACGCCGCTCTATACTACAGACTATATATGTAGAGCGGTGGCAATCGCAAGCCCGACAACCGAATTCCCGTCTATCGAAATCCCGGCTGGCTCAAAATCTCAACGTTCGAAATCCCGACTATGACAAAATTCCGACTACCATAATCCCGACAATCAAAATCCCGTCTATATCGAAATCCCGACAGTGTCTTTTATTATTATAAATTTCTACAATAACATTTTTTTATAGTAGTCGGCATTTCGATATAGTCGGGATTTTGATTGTCGAAATTATGGTAGTTAGGATTCCGATATAGTCGGGATTTTGATTGTCGGGATTATGTTAGTCGGGATTTTGACAAAGTCGGGATTTCGAACGTTGGGATTTTGAGCCAGCCGGGATTTCGATATACTCGGGATTTTGATTGTCGGAATTATGGTAGTCAGGATTTCGATATAGTCGGGATTTTGATTGTCGGGATTATGTTAGTCGGGATTTTGACAAAGTCGGGATTTCAAGCGTCGAGACTTTAATACAGTCGGCATTTCGATACAGTCGGGATTTCGAACGTCGGGATTTCAATAGTCGGCCTTTCGGTTGTCGGGCTTGCGATATGTAGAGCAGGGTTTCAAAAACTTTCTTTCCAACTGACCACTTCGTAAATCCTGAAATTTTCACTGAAAACCTTGTTTATTTTGTAGGCTAGGTAAAATAACACATAATCAATAACATTTAAAAAGAAATTGAGAAAAAATCATTCAATATTTACTTAGTAATTATTTCATTCCAGGGTTTCACTGAACACATTAACTTTCCACAAGTGATCCGCAAAAAATAGTTTGGGAAACCCTGCTGTAGAGAATAATTTTACAATTCAATCATAAAGCAAAACAAATCTAAAAAGAAATACATGAATCAATTTAATAGAAATAATCACATTATTTCTTTATAAACCTAAATCTATTTTATAATTTGAATTACATAATTTTGAATGGAAGCGATCAGACGATGATAACCTTCATAGAGTTAAATAAATGCTTCAGGTTCACGTTTGAAATACGCTTCGATTTGTGCGAGCATCTGGGAATTGAGCACGAGAAAATCTTCTGTTTTCCGCAGTCAAAGTTCATGTGCTTGTAGACAGATCTTGCAGCTGTAAATCTTCTGCTCTAAAACAGAACGGATTTTATTTGTAAACTGATTGTGGCGACGAGAAAACGTATACTCGTTTATTTTAATCAAATAAAATATTTATTTTTTTTATATATGGTTTTTTCTTTATTGAAAATCATTAATCTAAAATCCTAAGCATAAAAAATGTGTCAACGAGTTAATAAAAACTTCTGTTTATATGATGTAACATATTCAAATGTGTACAATAATTTAAGAAGCAGATGATACAAAAATAAGTTCGAAATGAGAAAAGTTAAATTCTCTTATTAGTAATATTTTGTAAGTAACAAACGTATCAATAATTAAGCATATTGAATGCACAACAACTTTTTGAAAAATTAAATTTATTCTAGTGTCTTTACACTAGAAATAGTGTTCTGAAGAAAAAGAAGTACTGTTTTTGTTTTTTTGTTTTGAACAGTTGGGTTCATGTTTCCGTTTCTCAGCGACAAACGATCCATCGGTGACGGACGTCCAGATCCTTGCTTTGCAACCTCTGCTTTTATTCTTGCAACGCCAAAACTGTATGAAACCTTTCTTGTTGATCTTGTCTTTGACATAGAAATGTCCGTTCCTGAAATACTTTTCCTCTCCTCTTTCGCTCAGATATTTTGGATGGACGAGCTCTGTTGAATAGAAACAAAAACAAAAAAATGTAAATTAAAAAAAAATAATAATAATAAAATTATTTCAAACAAAATCAAATATTTCTATATTACTATGTTTAAATACAAATTCTAGTTCGGTGCCATTTTTCAGTTGTTGGGACGTAAATAATATAACTATACGTAATTTGCAATTTGTTTATTTTGACAAATTTATTTAGATATTTCCTGCAGAAAATGTTATAGAACGTAGTTATAGAATACAAAACAAAAGAATCCTAAAACAGATATAGTATAGATAACGATTATAATTGTTTGCATACATACCTTTTAGTTATTTTACACGTTTGTATCTGTAAGAAAGAAAACATTAATTGTGTAATAAATCAACTAAATAACAGTAGAAAATGCAAAATATTGTCAATTTTTTATCGCAATTCACACAGACTACATCCGATGCATACAATAAGTTGATAATCAACCAGCAACTTATGCTTGTAGCAAGTGGAAGCTAGATTACGACACTGCAGCATCTAAGTGTTAAATAAATACTATTAAGTACACTGTCTTTAATCTAGACTCTTCCATAAAACCCACTAGGACTCCAGTGTCCAGATATATTCCATCCCGGGACACGACAGATTTTCTTCATTACTGCAAGTAACTACTTTATATTATTAACAATTTTCTAATATAATTATCATTACATAGAACAATTGCATTCTGAGTACTTCTTAAGAACATAAACAATCAACAATGGAAGCGATCAGATGGAGATATGCTTCATATAGTTAAGTACAGTGAAACCTCGCTTAACGGGTTGAATCCGTTCCAAAATTTGCGGATTTTTACTCGTATAGTGACACACGTTTTCCCATATAAACCAATGTAAATTACGATAATGCGTTCCATTCCGGAGAAAAAAAGTATAACTTGGTCTCGAGTTTTATTCGGAGACATTCCAGTGTTATTAAATTTTGTACAAAAATCACAAATAACATTTTGTGATCACAAGTTTGGAAATTTTGTGATCACAAACAACACTAAGATGCAACTGGAATGACCACTAACACTAGGAACTGTTTTCCAATTCACACACGGTGAAGTGAGTTTATATTTGTTTATATTACTTGTATCAATTTGGGGACTTGGTGTTTAGGGACAATACATTTGTGTTTTGCATTTACAGCAAACACAAATTATATTTGCACACAAGTTTTCAAAATCGTCACTCGTTAAGCGAGTCATTTTTCTTACAATTCATTTTGCTCGTTAAGCGAAATGCTTGTTATCCGAAGTGCTCACGTACTGCCTCACGTTGGAAACACATTTCAATTTGTACGATCATCCGGAAATCGAGCACGAGAAACTCTTCGGTTTTCCACAATCAAAGTTCATTCTGTTCACTTCTTGCAGCTGTAAATCTTCGGCTCTAAAACAGAACGGATTATATTTGTAAGCAGTTTGTTGAAAACATATACTTGTTCATTTGAATCAAAGAAAATCAGTAAAAAAAATATGTTTTTTTTTATATAGTTTTTTTTTTCTTTATTGAAAATCATTAATCTTTTCCCATGAAAAATCCTAAGCATAAAAAATGAGTCAACGAGTTAATAAATACTTCTGTTTATATGATGTAACATATTTCAAATGTGTACAATAGAATTTAAGAAGCAGATGATACAAAAATAAGTTCAAAATGAGAAAAGTTAAATTCTCTTATTAGTAAGTAAGTAACAAACGTATCAATCATTAAGCATATTAAATGCTCAACAACTTTTTGAAAAATTAAATTTATATGTAATTATTCTATCGTATTTTCCTTATAGTTGGCTATAGAAAAATATCTATTTCTTAGTTTTGTTAACTTTCGTGTCGATCCATTTCAAGAACAGTTGGGTTTGTGTTCCCGTTTTTCAGCGATAAACGATCCATCAGTGACGGACGTCCAGATTCTCGCTTTGCAACCTCTGTTTTTATTCTTGCAACGCCAAAACTGTATGAAACCTTCCTTGTTGATCTTGTCTTTGACATAGAAATATCCATTTCTGAAATACTTTTCCTCTCCTCTTTCGCTCAGATATTTTGGATGGACGATCTCTGTTGAATAGAAACAAAAACAAAAAACGTAAATTTAAAAAAATAAATAAATAAAAAAATAACTAATTCTAGTTTGGTACTAATTTTCAGTTGTCGGGGACGTAAATAAAATTAATAATCGTAATTTGAAATTTGTTTATTGTGACAAATTTGTTTAGATATTTTCTACAGAAAAGGTTATTAAGGTTAAAGAAAACAAAAATATCCTAAAAAAAGATTTAGTATAGATAAAGATTATAATTGTTTGTATACATACCTTTTATTTATTTTGCACGTTAGTGACTGTACACGAAAATTGGAAACGATTAATAAAGAAAACATTAATTGTTTAATGTAAATCAACTAAATAACAGCACAAAATGCACAATGTTGCCAATTTTTTCATTCGTTACATAAAATAAGGTAATAATCTATATTTTTGTGATAAAAAGGATTTTCTTCTTCACTACTTTAAAAGAAATTACTTTATATTATTAACAATTTTCTAATATAATTATCATTACATACAACATTTGCATTCAGAATACTTCTTAAGAACATAAATAATCAACAATTACATACAATTATATTGCGATTTTTGTATTTCACTTACATTTCTGTTTCTGCTCTCAAATCCATTATTAATCAATGCAAGAGTTTCGAACGTACGATAAGTAACGAATTTATAATTGGTAAAATTCGTGCACAATAACATTAAGAAACACATTTTTTGCAACATATTTATGTTGATACACTTTTTCACACAGCTATTTCAACGTTTTCACTTTATAAATTCTTCTTGATTAAAAAAACAAACATATTGAGTTTTAAATCAATCACTGTCACTTTCAATAATTAGCAACTTTCTATTGAAATGTTTATAACCTTATTTCTAGCACCAACATTTTAAGTTGGTTACTTTTATAGGTTGGAATATCAGACAAAACGGTTAGTCAATTGTCAAACTCAGTAAATGTCACTTTTTTACTTGTGAAAAACGGTATCGTTTAATTGTAACTTCTTTTTGGAACAACGTAGAAAAGAAGTTGATAGTTGGTTAAATTATAATTAACATACAATTGAAACAAAACATTGAAAAATGTCATATTTACGAAACAATTGCTTTCCACTTAACAACTTGACAACAATACACAAGCACTTCACTTCCTCTTTGGCTTCGTTCATCACAAACAAACAAAAAAACACTAAGTATTATCAGTTTTAATCACGAAGTGGCGTATAGAGAATAGACATAGCATTCATGTCCATACAATTCTGACTGCACTTTTGTCCCTTCTACTCCGAAGTAGTCGGAACGCATGCGTGTTCTTGACAATGCGAAGACAATGGCATTTGGCGCGTGTAGACAATCTTGTGCCGCTCAAACGCATAGACAATCGTGTTTGGTTGTTCACGTGCTCGGACATATTATTTTCACTTGAATGAATGAGACAGCTGAACCGAGTGTTACGCGACGAGTAGGCGACGGTCAACTGGGAAATTTCTAAAAATTGTTTTTTTTCTGAGTATCTGTCACCCATTTGGCAGGTAACCAGCTGACCGTCTCCTAGCAATACAACTTAACCATATTAATAGCAATACACTACTACGGTCTAGTTTTAACTTCGTTGAGTTGGAAAACTGGATAAAATAACTAGTCCGTTGCCAAATGTAAAAAAGTCAAATTAATGAAAATGAATATTTGTTTTTACTTAAAAGAATGTATGCAGTGACATTCAATCAGAGTGCCAGTATCTTAAGATGAAATATCTCTAGGATTAATACAAAAAAAAGTCTTCTGTTTGTATTGTACCCTATTATACTTAAAACTCCTTTTCTAGTGTGTTAGGGCAGAACAAAGTTACTTTTTCTAGATCTTCTTGTTCCATAGTAATTTTTAAAGCTTCTATAGAATAATTTGGATACAATCATAATAATATTTGTCCAGATAACTTAATGATTTTACCCTTCGAAACTAGTAGAAGAAATACACTAGACTTCTTGTCTAGTTTAGTAGTCATGAATAAGACTTAATTCCTTCCCTATTTTCTGTTTGCTTCATAAAACTTATTATTTAACAATATTCTCGTTTTATACCAGAGATTTCTTAATGAAATAATTAATATATTCTTATATTTTAAGTCTTGTTTTCGAATGATATAAATTAAAAAAAAAAGATTTCTTCCATTCCTGTACTCAAATCCACAGCTGATCTAAAACTAAAAAAAAACAATTAATATTAATTATAACTAATACAGTCAATCAATGCATGGATCTTCGGTTGGAAAGTTAAGGAGCAATAGAAATGAGCAAAATCGATTAATACTATTTATTACTTATTTAAAAAAATCGGATGCCCTTTGTGTACCATGATGTAGTGCTGCTTGAGGCTGGCCTTCCTCTTCGTCATGTAACCGCATTGAAAGGCGCAGAAGAACTGCGGAAGCTTTCCGCACTCGAACGTCCGGTGGTTATACAGAGAGGCCTTGTGCTTGTACCGTCTGGAACACCTGTCGCACGGGTAGATCTTTCCGTCGCCTAAAACCAAAAAGAGAAAAAGAACGAAAATAGCCACGGTCATTATTTCTGAATCTTGAGTAGCGGGAGTTTTAGTGGAGGCGACACAAAGAGTTTAGTTTATTGTGGATGAAAGAAACTGATGAAACGGACTGTTCTTTTTTTTATTAATTTAAATATAAAATTACAAAAAAAGAAAAAAATAACATCCTTAGGAATTATTTATTTGTTCTTCTCGCGTTATAATTGATAACGGATCCAGTTGAATATATGTAGAATAAGTTGGGAAGAAAGCTTTCCTATGGTAAAAAAAATATACAGTATGTGCAGAGTTCTACTTAAGAATTAGATGCGTCGGTCTTGTGACGCGAATTTGGGGGGTTTGGGGTTGATGATACATAAGGTTTATATACTGATTTGAGGCTCTGAAATTGAACGTAATCTAATTTACGTTGGTGTTGTAAATTCTGTGCTTCGACGAGGACATGTGGTAAGCCAGATGATGCTTGAGCTTGGCCTTGTACGTGCAGTTTCTGTACGGGCATGGGAAGCTCCTGCCCAGCTCGCACTCGAATCGCACGTGCCTCATCTGCGTCGATTTGTCCATGCAGGGGATGCTGCAGTTCGGGCACGGATAATTCCCTAAAACCGAGCAAGAAAAAAAACACCAACCATTAGCATCCTATCTATCAGATTGACCCGAAGATCTTAGAGAGCAACCTCTTTGCTATCTCGCGACGTCAAAGATTCAGATTAAATGGGTATGGTAGTAGTAGTAATAGTAGTAGTAATAGCATACAAATAAGTGAGAATAAACTGGACGAGAGAGCGTATTCTTTTTGTTTGTTGTTTGTTGTCAAAAATAGAACGAACTTTTCATTTTTATTCAAAGAGACTCAGAGAAGAAATAAAAAAAAAAGAGAATAGAATTTCTTTTTGTAATAAATGTTTTCAAAATAAAAAATAATCTCATGTTGCGCTTCCGTCGTCAGCGATTTGTCAGAGGAGGATCTGTTTCCTGCATTCGATCGAGTGTCTGTGTCTGCTTTGTCTGTGCCGGTATCTCTTCGGGCAATATGGACACTTGTAATGCGGACCTGCAACCAACACGCAAAGATTTACCAACAACGCTCGCCGTTCTTTAAAGTTTTTTTTTTTTTTCGCAAGCTTTAATACCCAGCACCGAGAGAGAATAGGAAGAAACAGTGTGTGTGTGTCAACATGTTAAAACAGTTTATTAATAACAATATTTATATTTCTTCTTCGTCTTTAATTTGTTGTTGATTGTCGATTGCTGCTGCAAATATCACCTCAGATTATGATCTCCACACCTGAAAGAATAATTACAAATTAGTATAAATCTGCAAAAATATCGATGTATTTCATTATCAGTGCAAATTATATACTCATCTTTACAGGTTTTCACCTTTTTTTTTCCTAAGGCACACTTGAATTTATATGCTTTGGACTTCAATTTTCGCGGCACACCTAGATCCTTAGATTCTTAGACTGTTTCACAAAACCTTCAATTTCTCGAAACATACGTTTTGAGAATTAACGAAATTCAGATAATTGATAATTACATGATATTCAAAGTTCGTTTTTCATCAAGAAAGATATTTTCTTAAATTGAAGAATGTTGTTGTATTCTACCATTTACCACTCGTGGAAAGTCACATGTCTGTTAATCTCGTTAAATGGACATGCAGCTGGTAGAAGATGTACGTCGATATTGTTGATATGAATGTGGTGAAGACATTAAGTAGATGTTAAAGAAGGTCTTAGATGTGTTGCAAGAGGAAGATGTTATAAAAGGTGAGGGAGGTTGCAAGATATAGATGGAGATAATGTGATAGGAAGAGGAAGGACAACTTCAGTTTGTAGGAATGGAAGAAGAGTGTACTCACTAAGTTTTTTTTTTAATTTTCAAACCGGACTATAGTGAATACGTATTGATTGAATCCGTACTATGCGAGGTATTGATGTATTCATTATCTGCTTTAACAATTTTCAAAAAGATCTGTTTTTTTTCTTCAATATTACCGCAATATTTACAACTTCAGATAATGTTAATTAATATAAGATTAGACAATATCCCAAAATTTTATGTTCTTTTTCTTTGATTCATGATTCATTGATTTCACAAATATCTGCACGTGCAAGTTTTAAATTATTATTTATTACAAATCTTTCTGTGAAACCAATTTATACCATATTTTTGTATTGATTTCCCCAAAAACTTAAATAATTTTCAATTCAAATTTAAAAAAGCATTAATTCACTTACGATTAAATAGTTTTTGATTTATTGCAAATTCGGTGTGCGTCCTTCACGCATAGTTTTGATTCGATCAGTCCGGATTTGTACTTTAACAGTTTGAAAATTTCAAAACAAACTAAATTCGAATTGATGAAAATAAAACAAATTAGTACACGAAAATTGATCGGTGTAAAGAGGCAATAAACGTCTCTTCTTGTCCGTTTTATAAGTTCTCGATTAGTCCGGTTTCAAGCAAGGATATTAGCGAAACTCGCAGCGCAGTGCTATGATTATGCATGGATCTAATGCTTAAAAAACTAATCACTTTTATTTCAACAATTCTCAATTACATTTACGTTTCAAAGACTATTGTACACAATTAACTGTATATTTAATTTTGATAACTATAAAAAAATAAACACTTTTAATAGAAAAATGAGGTAATCAATGGTTTTTTGTTTTTAAATTAGAAAATAATGAATTTGAAGTTAGTGCGTTATATATAAAAAAAAAAACAATTAATGAAAAGTGTACAATTAAGAATATAAAATAAATTATGAAATTTATTTGTGGTAATTTTATTTATTTTTTAATTCTATTGTGAATTTTTGTCATGTGAACGATCCAATTTCCTTTCCGTTTAGATATAAATTTACATCCTTTGACGGTGCATCCGTATCTGGGCTTCTTTCCGCATTCGAATTTCCTATGGTTCTGCAAACTTCGCAAATGCTTGTAACTGCGGTAACAATTGTCACAGGGAAAACCTGATACTGGAAAAGAGAAAACGGTAAGTGATTATGAACTGAAGAATTGGAGACACGAATCAAAACCAATAAAAAACAAATAGGTTCATTTATTATAAACCAAAACCTAAAATTAAGCAGATTTATGAAAAAATATGAAAAATCGACACGAAATTTGCGACACAATATGAAATCAACAATAATTGTGATTGTTAACTTCAATTTTTTCTAATTAATTTCATTTTATTGCAATAAGGACATATGTTTTATAAAAACCTGAAATTAAGCAAAATTATTGAAAAATCATGAAAAAATATGAAATCAACAATATTTTTTGTTGATAACTTCAATTTTCTATAAATAATTTTTTGTAATTGTAAGGAAATTTTTTCTTACAAATTATGAAAAATCGTCAAGGAATTTATGGAATAATATGAAAACAACAATATTTTTTGTTGTTAACTTCAATTTTCTATAAATAATATATTGAAATAAGAACATTTCTTTCTTATTTACACTGAAACTAAACAGAATTTTGAACAAATTATGAAAAATCGTCAAGAAATTTCTGAAACAATATGAAAACAACAATATTTTTTGTTGTTAACTTCAATTTTCTATAAATAATATATTGAAATAAGGACATTTCTTTCTTATTTAGACCGAAAACTAAGCAGAATCATGAGATTTTTTATTATAAAGCTATGAAACTATACAGAATTATGAAAAATAGACATGAAATTTATGAAAAAATATCAACAATATTTTTCACTTTCTATAAATAATTTCATTTCATTCAACATCTGAGATACGAACATTTAACGTAATTTCTTAACTTTTCTTTTTGAACCTTTTTTGTAATTTGAATACTTTGAATTCCATTCACTCGATTTGTAAATATTCTTGTGCATGTTCCTGATATGTCTGATGATGTTTCCTTTCTGTTTGGATTTAATCTGGCAACCTGGAATAGGGCAGGAAAACTCCGGTTCCTTTCCGCACTCATGTCTCTGATGATATAGCAAAGTTTTCTTGTACATGTAAGTTCTGCTGCAAACCTTGCAATAATATAAATTATCTAAAACAGAAAAGAAAAAAATCATTTTACGAGCACGATCTGATACTTTTTCTTTATACTGCTAAATACTGAATGGAAACTGACAAATCTACTAGTTTTGTAACAAAAAGATTTGGTTTAAAGGTTTTATACACTAAATATATATAGTATAGATCAGTGTTTCTCAACCTTGTTGTCCCGCAACTAAACACACTTGTTGGTAGTTATAGCAGGTTTATTTTTTTTTTACTTTTTGACAGCTGTCATTTTGAAGTTATGACAGCTGTCATTTCGCTATTCATTAAAAAAAATATTATATAAAATTATACAAACAAATGAAATAAAATATGTTCTACAATTTCATCAAATATTAACTAAAAAAAGATTATTGTTGAAACACCATTTTACAAAATTTCTTTATTCCAACGAAATATATATCACAATATTTGGATTTCTATTATAATCCATATAAAAAATACCAAAAAAAAGAAGCTTTCACATGATATAAGTTTTCTTTAATTAAATGATGTTTTAATAACAAACAAAATTTGTGACTATGAAAATAGTAACCACGGAAACAAAATTGTCATGTATCATAACGATTCTTCAATTGTGGAAAAAAAAGAAAATCAAATACGTTGTAATATGTATTTGTCTAACACTGAATAAGATTTTCAGTTTCAGTAGTTAAAGTCGTGCTTCAAGGACAAGTGTGTCCTCAAGTTCCATTTCCTTTTCGTCTTAAACGTACAGTTGTACTCGGTACAATAGAATTGCGGATCTTTGCCGCACTCGAACTTCAAGTGCGTGAATCTGCTCTGGCTGTGCCTGTACATCTTTCCGCACTTCGGACACGTATAACCTGCAAACATACGAAATGTCAAAATTCACCAAAAAAAACAACGTCATCGTGTCTCTACAAAAAAAAAACGATTGATTTAAACGTTTCATATTTCCGTTTATGGTCATGTGCAGTATCAAAACGGAAATAAGAAAATACACATACTACTTTTAGATGTTAGTAATGCGCATACAGAGTTAACCATCGTTTGACATTGACATGTGTCAGAATGTGACATTTCAATTTGAGTTTTAATGAAGAATACCTAGAACAAAATGGTTGTTAAATTTTGGAAAAATCAGTTTTGGAAGTACTTAACTGTAATGTAGTCGATCTGCAATAAATTTATTATATTTATATAAAATTATAAATTGTGTTACTGAAATAGTTGTACATAATTAAAAAGAAATAACTATAAAACAAAATTAGTTCACTGTATTTAGACGAAGGACCAAGTTTCGCGGGCGAAAGAAGAAATCGTTGGGGTTTCAACATGACAATTTATTACTGCTTACAACCCTTATAAAACTATACTTAAACCTATTCTCTACTAATACTTAACGGATAATACTAATTCTCCCTGCTTAACTCCCCCGAGCTAATCAGAGCTAAGCTTCCTCGACAGCTTCATGGTGTATATTTTACCACTTACAACAGTAATGTAATATATCTAAGGGCGGCTGTAGCCATGTGGCTATGGTCTCCTGTATCACGAAAATCTGATACGAAAGGTCGTTAGTTCGTTTCCCAAAAACAAACAAAATTTGTTGTGGCTTTTAAACTCGAAAGGGGGTAGAAATAGGGCTGAAAGAGATTTATATCAATAAATAAATTGATATAAATTTCTTAAAAAATTATATCTACAAATATACAATTATACCATACAACTTTTACCAGATTCCTGTTTTTATACAATCCAGTTACTCCTAGATATTGGTAATATTCAGAGTTAATCATCTTTTGACATTGACGTATGTCATAAGGAGACACTTCAAAATGAGTAATGAACAAAGATTATATGTTTTTTCAACAGTCCAATTACTTTTAGACATTGGTAACTTTCAAACAAATTCAATTATATTTTGTTACTGACGTATGTCAGAATGTGACACTTGAACGTATAATCTTGGGAATATTTAAGTTTGCGTTTCAACGTCGAATATCTACAACAAAATGTTTATTAAATGTTTGGAAGAAGCAGATTTAATTAAAGCGAAACACTTCTATAGGAAATTTAACTGTTACCAGATTTACTTAGATGAACAGAGTTAATCATCGTTGACGTATGATAAGATTTGACACAAGCTATACATGTGTGTCAGCGATGAACTACTGCAAATTTCGCTATTAAGCATTAGTAGTTGTTCAAAATTTTCAAAAACAACAGTTTATGTTCGATTGTCAATTGTATAGAAAAAGATCACTGTTTACAACTATTCATTATTAATTCATAATATTTAGCTATTAAAAAAAACAATAAAATTATTGTTAATTTCATTAAAGAAGACGGAAACTTAATAATGATAGTGTTTATTAAAATTTGCACCTATTTCTTTCTAAGTTAACATTTAAGTAAGTGTTTAAGTGGATTCCACGTGTTTTCCACGTTCAATCCATTCAATTAATAATTGTCGCTGGATCGTCGCTCATCAACTGCGATTAAGAATGAGACTCGAGGGTTTCTTGATTTTATGTCTGAAAAGCAGATGCTGCTGCAGACAGAACTTCCGTTTGGCCTTGTAAGGACAATCGACGAACGGACAGAAGAACGACGGTGCGACGCCGCACTCGTACCGGACGTGGTTGTTCCTGCTCTTCTTGTTCTTGTACACTTTGCCGCAGTTCCCGCAGACGGCGCCTGCAAAACGAGAAAAAGAAACGAAAAAAATAAAACGTAAAGAAAGCAATCAAACACATAAAAAAAATGTACAGATCATTTAAAAGAACAGAAAGTAATAGAAAGGATATAATGTTCGTTGAAGGTTTATTCAGTGTTAATTATCATTATTATTATACATTATTATGCAAAGTGTTTCCTGATCATGTGCTTCTTCATGTCAAATTTTCTGCCCGTCGTGTAAGTTTTGCAGATATTGCAACGGAATTTTCTCTTTTTGCGACCGCAATCGTACGACATGTGCGCCCTCAACGTTTCAAAATTCTTGTACACTTTTTCGCATTGCGGACATCTGATCTTGCCTGAAACAGGAAGAAGAAAAAAAGCAAATCCAACTTTAGATCATGTCTAGAAAAAACTCGAAGAAAATTAAAAACACACGCAACGTAAAAACGTAGAACTACTCACAAATTTTACTACACCCAAACCTCTTAAACACTGTAAAAAGATAGTGACAAATGTTTGTTTTAAATCAATACTATTCGGATTACAAAATTCTGTAATAATCCAAGAAGATTTCCTTCTTCGATTTTTTAGAGTCTACAATATTGTTTGAGTCGAAAACAAAACAAAATATTGGTATTAAGTTTCAAGAATACATATTTAGTTGTTTAGTTTTAATGAACAGAGTTGCAGTAAGCCTACGACAACCTAAATGCGATCCTGTTAACAATTTCCATATATTTTTTTGAAAACTCAACATTTTATTACGCTTAAAACATGGATAACACTTAATCACTATATATTATAAGAAGGATACCTGTATTTAATCATTTACCTAAAAGAAGTATACAATGTTTAAAAAAAAAATAACTTTTATTCTATAATATTATTGTGTAACATTCATTCATTCGGTCTTCTAAAAACGATAATTTTTATTTTATTTTGTTATGACGCTACTCATCTATAATGGTATAAAATCTGCATTCGATGCATAATAATAATACAATGCAGAAACGCATGATCGCAGCGGTCTTCAAACTGTGTTCGTCTTTGAGTCAAAATCGAAATTTTAAACTTGTTTCGAATAAAAAAAAGTTACAAATTCTTTACTTTTTCGTACACAGATCTTTTAAACAAAGATTATCTGTGAAAAATAATTGTTTTTTCAACAGTATGAATAATAGTAGGCTAGATATGGAATAAAAATAAAATTGTGTGCTTATAAAACAACATCAATGAAGCCTTGTTTTTGACATAATTGCAATACCAGATGCAATAGATGAATTTGAAGACCTCCGCTTTCAATTACAATCTGTCTAAATATTTCGCTGGGCTTTTGAATAATGTTTAATTAACTGTTGATTTAGTTTCAGTGATAAGTTGCGTAGTGAGTTTTGGGTCCGCGTATGCGTTTCGGTGCAATGTTGTGTTTGCGGAACATGTGCACGCCGAGCTGGAATTTCCTGCTGGTCTTGAACTTCCTGCAAATGGGACACGTGATCCGTTTCTCCTTGCCACAGTCGAGGGACATGTGCACCCGAAGACTGTTCTGGTTCTTGTACTTCCTATTGCATTGCAGGCACACGACTAAAATAAGGAAAACGAGCGAATATTAGCTTAGCTTAGCTCTCCGAAATGCTGAAAGAAAATAAACTCTACTAATTTGACTAATTTGTATACACAGGATTGATTATTCAAGTGATATTTTGATGTGTTGAATCTACTCTACTACTTCGTATGAAAAGGATTGGAATGAAACGAAATAAAGCGGTGTTTTCAATTGCGTTTATGCTGTTTGTTTCTTAAGTTCGTTTATTTTTGCTCTTCAGTTTTCTGGGCAGGACAATCGAATGTTTGCGCGACATGTGATTGCCCAATTCGAAGCGTCTGCTGCAGTAGTACTCGCAAACGTCGCAGCTGAATCGGTTCCTCTTGCCGCAATCCTTGCCCAGATGACACCTCAGACTCTCCGCGTTCTTGTACATCTTCGAGCAATTCGGACAGGCCATCTTCTGCGTTCCATCTAAAACAACAAAGAAACCGAATCACGACGCTGCTGCATCTCAGCGCACTCACTCAAAACGCTGCTTCTTATCGGGTGCGGGGAGAGAAAGTGAAACATTTAACAAGCGAATTAAAGCAAAAGGAAAAGTACACTTTATTGGTCGATTTCGAGCGGATCTGGTTTCACGTCGCACGCCACAAACTCGCTGCTGGTCGGTGACTTTACGCAGTGTTTGGCCAAATGGGCGTACAGGATCTTCTTCGTCGAACACACCAAATTGCATTTCGGACAAGACACCTTGGTTCTACCTAAAACAAGAGATTCCACGTGGTCAACAACTGAAAACTGTTTGTTTCATATTATTACAAAGATGAGAGGTTGAGAGGTTTATTTTTTTTTTTGTTCGTAGTTTTAGTAAAGATGGGTGTTGAGAAACGGAGCAAAATTATTTCGTTTTTTATTGTCGAAAACATAATATATATATATTGTCTATAGTAGTCGGAGACATGTTAACAGTAATACGGATTCGATGTGGGATGTCGCTTGAAGAAGTGCTGCTTCAGGTTGTACTTGCGTTTGCTTTGGTAGCTGCAAACGGTGCACGAGTACGTCTTCATTTTGCCGCAGTCGAAGGCCTGATGCACGTGCAGGGTGTTTTCGTTTTTGTACACCTTCAGACACTGCGGACACACACGATTGCCGTCTAAAAAGAAGAAACTGCGGTGAGTACATCACAAAATCACGAACAGTGAACAATCATTAGTTTAAGATTCGAGAGAGAGAAAAAAATAATTGGGTTTCATTCATTCATTCAGCCAAAAAAGTCACGTATTCTCCCATTGATTAATACTTTTGTTAATTATATATTGTTTTAGTTTACATTCGTTTCGAATTAAATTTATTTAGCTTTTATGGAATCTGGCCATGTGCCTTTTCAGCGTGAAGCGTCTCTTAAAGACGCCGTCGCACTCTTTGCACGTGAACCTCGAGCTCGTCATCTCGCAGTCCAAGTTCAAGTGACTGTACAGAGACATCTCTTTGGTGAATTGCCTGTGACATCGATGGCAGCTGAACACCGAAACTGAAACACAGAATACGCATGAGCTTTGCTTATACGCGTGTTTCAGAAAAAAAACATCGATTACAGATTGAAGCGAACGTAAAAAAAAACGAAGAAAGAAGGTTGTTACTACATTCGAATTATAATAACGCGACACGTTTATTTTTGTTTTGTTTATTACACTGCTCTTGTATTATTGCGTTCAATACAAATACATCTTGATTGATTAAAGTATGGACGAATTGGAGACTTTGTGGAAGCCCCTCAGGTGCGTCTTCAGCGCGTACTTCTGGTAGAAAGCCTTCGAGCAGAATTTGCAAACGAATTTCGGTAAGATTCCGCACTCGTACGTTAAATGTCGCTTCATCGTTTTGTGCCATTTGTAAGTGCGGTCGCATTTCGGGCAACGGACTCCACCTGAAACTGAAACATTAAATAAATATTATATACATCAACAAACAAAACCAAGAAAAATACACTTGCAAAATAAACGAATTCAAAGGCTAAAAACGTAACAGAGAGGAAAAAGAGAGCAGTAATCATTGTGTTTTATTAATACATAAAAAAAAGAACATACATATTATTTATTGCTGTGTGTGTAATTTACTCGTTTCTAAATTGTGTTTCTGTAGTTGATATATTTCAGTGCTTCAGCATGATGTGTGTCTTGAGTGAAGACTTCTGGTAGAATCGTTTATCGCAAACTGTACACCTGAATTGCGGCTGCTTGCCGCACTCGTAACGCAGATGCCGTTTGATGGTGTTCTTCCTCAGGTAGAACTTCGGACACTGCGGACACAGATAGTAGTTGTCCCTCATCATGAACTGGTCTAAAACTGAGAACAGACAGAGACATCGACGAATTAGTGAATGCTCCCAAACAGTACGAATCCGACACCAGATTAAGATTTAAAGATAAAGAGCTGAAAAGAAACAAATCGTTTTGGGGGTTTTCAGTAATGAGAATCAAGAAGGTTTTTCTTTTAAAAAACTAAACGTTTTTGTTTATTTTTCATTTGCGATACATTTGCCGTGTTTCTGGTGTCTCGCCAAGCTCTCGCGATGTCTGTAGCGTTTCTGGCAATGCACGCACGAAAATCTCCGCGGAGCTGAAAATCGAAATCAAACAATTAGTTTTTAAAATGTTCGTGTGTTTTTTATTTCTCAATTTGATTCTAATTGTGTTTTACCGTCGCAATAGAACTGGACGTGACGTTTCAGCGCCTTCTCGCTGGAATACATTTTCCAACATTTGAAACATCTCTTATCTAAAACCAAAACAATTCGTACATTAATTACTTAACGTAACAAAACATAGCATAGTTTGAAAATCTAAGAATTCTACTAAAAAAAAAGAAAATTAATCAATTTGCTTAAATAATCCATATAATTAAAGTAATAATGTTTACAACGTTTATTGCACTCATAAATTAATTAACAATTACAAATTAAGTTTTTTCAATTTTAAGGAAAACTTTTCTTATTTTTTTTGTTTGATTTTACATTGCACTATCTAATTGTAAATGAACTAATGATGTAAATCAAACATTCAATCAAAAAGAAGTCTGTAAAAACTATTCAATGATTAATATGTTTTTGATGTCCAGGAAACCTAGAAGAAACCTTATAATAAAGTTTATAGAAAATATTAAGAAATTTTACACAATTATTGTCCAGTATTATCAAGATTTTTTAACCGTTAAGAAAGATTTTAACTTATTCATGTTTCTTTTTTAATTATTCATGTACAAAATGTTACGAAATGTTACATAGTATTGACTTTTAAGTTCAAGAAACCTATAAAACCTTTAAATTTTCTAACTATTACACACAAAAATCTTGTTAAATACACAACTAAAAGTTAAGAAATGTTATACAATAATCAATATATTTTATTGTTCTGTGTTTCCTAGATTATTTTATTAACCTTCAAGAAAACTTTGAACTTTTTCATATTTTTATATTATATCATAAAATAAATTTTATATTATATCATGTATGCTTGATATATTTTGGATGTACAAGAAACCTTTAAATTTTCTAATTATTACAGAAAAAAAGTGTTGTTAAATACACAACTAAAGGTTATATAGAACGTTAAGAAATGTTACACAATCAACTTAACTTTTTCATTTTTTTAATATATCATAATAAAGATCATCTAACTATTCATGTATAAAACGTTATAAAATGTTACATAATTTTGAAGATGTTAAGACTCTTCAGTTAATTTTTATTGTCCTGTATGTTTGAAATCTTTTCTTTGTTACAAAACAATATTTCTTATTGTGAAGTTTTTAATGATTATACAAGAAAGTGTAGTTAAATACGCAACTAAAAGTTATGTAGAACGTTAAGAAATGTTACACAATCAATTCAATTTGTAAACAAAAGTTTATACAGGGTGAGCCAAAAGTCACTTTAGCATTAAAAAATGAACTAACTTGTTTACTTTTAATCATTTTCCTTTTAACAATATACAGATTTGTATAACCCCTAGTTTCCTATTCATAAAGACGAATTTTCTATATCAAATGCTTGCAGTGACTGTTTATTATTCTAAAGAACTTCAAAATTTCACTTTTTCTTTTTGAAAAACTATAAATCTCATAAATTCCGAAAGAGCAATCACCCTGTAACCAAACTTTATGTAATAAAAATACTGAAATATAATTCGAATTTCCTGAATTTCCGAATGATATATAATGCACTAAAGACTACAAAGCAAACAATTAATACTAGAAAAGATACGTATATTATTTCTAATTGTTAAGTTTAAAAAGTCAATAAAATATCAACAACTAATTTTAAGTTTTAAATATACTAAATTAGATTGTCTATGTGACGAATTTATCTTTATTTATGTGCATAACACAAAAATCTTCAATATTTATCAATTGACAATTTACTAATATCTTTCAATGTATTTTTACTCACCAATTACAGTAAATTATTACATTTTGAAGATAAAGACGAGGATATTAAAGAATCTAAGTTTCATATGTTTCCCAAACTTTACCTTCAACGGAACACTTCGTAAATTCTGAAATTTACATCGAAATTTTATTTTGAAGTATAGATAATACACATGATCAAACAAGTTTTTACAAAAATGAGAAAAAGCATTCATTATTTACTTAGTAATTACACTTTAGTTTTTCACGGAACACCTATTAACTTTCCACCAGTGTTTCGCGGAACATAGTTTGAGAAACGCTGCTCTTTAAAACTTGCACCGAATAGGGCATTCGTACGAAAAAGGTAGCGGTTTCTTCGCATTTCGATGGGGAACAAAGGAAGAGTTTTTCTCTGATCGCAAGAGTTTTTCTCTGATCGCAAGAGTTTTTCTCTGAATTTACACCGAAATTTTATTTTGAAAAACACATAATCAATAAAGTTTTTAAAAAAATGAGAAAAAGACATTCATTATTTACTTAGTAATTACATCACTTCAGGTTTTCACGGAACACCTATTAACTTTCCACCAGTGTTTCGCGGAACATAGTTTGAGAAACGCTGCTCTACGCTCTTTAAAACTTGCACCGTTGATTCGTAGAAAAAATGTAACGGTTTCTTCGCATTTCGATGGGGAACAAAGGAAGAGTTTTTTCTCTGACCGTTTGAAAGAAAGAGACGATTTCACGGATAAATTTATTTAGTTATTCCTTACACATTCCATCTATATAAGTAAACGTAATTATGTAAAAAATATATATATATTTCTATATTATATATGTTATTTGATGAGTATATATATAGGTGTTCATTGATTACAGGTGCACCTTGAGTAGGTGCTTCTGCAAGGTGACTTTCTGATGGAACCTCCTGTCACAGATCGGACACCCGAACTTCGGCTTTTGCCCGCACTCGTATTGCAGATGTCTGCGCAACGTGCTCTTCCACATGTACGTCTTTCGGCATTTCGGACACTCGAAGAGTCCTACAAAAACACAGAGAAAAAAAGAGGCGCATTATTACGACTGTAACGACTAAAACTGATAAAATAATATATGTCAAATAATAATAATAATAAGAAGATCGGTTATTGTCTAATTAGTACGTTTACATATACATATATATTTCGTCGTAAGTTTAAAAATTTTACACGTGTCTATGAACAGAAATGGAAAAGGGATGTTTTCTTTGCTGCTGCCTGCTGCTGCTGTTGTTGTTGGTTACGATGTGCGGTTGTTTCGTGGAAGGGTTGCTTGATTATTTTATCTGTTTGTCAAATTATCAATTGTTTATAATCAAGAATTTGTCGCTATGTTTTGTAAGTTTTCAATTGTTTTAGATCGCTTTCAGTATGACCCCGCCGTGGTACTTTTTGACGTGCTTGGTCAGCTGGCAGTTGTAGTAAAAGAGTTGACCGCAAAAGTGGCACTTGAATTTGGGACTCAGGCCGCACTCGTACCGCAGATGTCTCTTCATGTTGGACTTGTACTTGTACGTTTTCATGCACTTCATGCATCTGAACTGGTTCAGGCAGCCTAACGAAAATGGAACAGACAGAACAGAAAAGGTTCACGGTTAATAATAATTTCGCATTTCGTCGATTCGGAAACATTCAAGGCCTCTACTGTCTCTACTTACGAAATCAAAAATAAACAAAATCAAATCAAAATCAAATCAAAATGAAATAACAACCATAGCAACGACAATATAAAAAAAAACAATTGATTAGTAACAAAATAACCGTCGCAGCCGGCTCCTCGTCATGCTCAAGGAATTATACCAAAGGATAAACAGCGTGTGTTTAGTAACAGCAACAGTTTTATTTGTTGATACTTTTGAAGGACCAAAAACTGTAGTTGTAGTTTATTTTTTTACTTCAAGTAATCATACATTGATGAATCGGATACTTCACCTGAAAAATACAAAATTTGAAAGATCCATACAAAGGACAATATTAATTAAATTCCTTAGATTACCTTACGCTCTTCACTATTTACACCTATTTTCAGTAATAGTGGAAAATTCTGTATTCTTTATTAAATTTTCAATAACTAAACATTGATTCCTTAACTCTTGCATTGAATTGAATCAAATTTAATAGTTAAGACTGACTTAATTCTATTAAATGTCAATGTGATATCAGTACGGAGAAGTAATCAAAACACCTAAAACAGAATACAATCAATTAGTACAAAAAGTAACCTAGCTTAGTTTACTTACTTAAAGTTTATTTTTAGGCCTTGAAGGTTTATACTCCAATGAAGACTTTCTGGACTCGACCTAGTATTGTACTTTTATGCACAATTAAAGCTATATAGTTGGTAAAATAGAAAGTAGAAAATCTTAATAACTAAATACAGTTGATATCTCATATATTGTAATTGTCATTTCTCAACCTATTGGCCGGATGATAATTTTTAATGGTTCCTGAAATGACAGCTGTCACCTTGTGTCAAAGTTGTCTTACTCTGAGTAATTGGATCGCTGTGCAATGAAAAACAAATGTTTTACATATTAAAACACCCAATAATACCTAGAAGTTTCAAAGTCTGTGAATTCGGTCGTAGATTGAGGTAGAACATTATATATTATATTCGATTGCATTGAAAATGTGTCATTTTTCGCTCAATAGAAATGTAATTAAAAAGTGTGATTTAACGTAAATTCATTAAGAAAAATTAGACTTTATTCACAACAGCATTGAATATCGTAGAAAATATATAAAAAAATAAGTTGTTAATCGAGTAAAACTGTAAAACTAAATCTTCTTTGGCTAGGATAAACACGAAAGTTTTATTTCTAAGCTACGCTTTTTTCTTTATCGTTTTCTCGTTCCTAGTTTTGAATCAATTTCGATGCGGTCCGGACCTGTGCACCACGTGGATGTGCCGTTTCATGTCGGACTTGTGTCGGAACCTCCTGGTGCATTGGAAACAGCTGAACTGCGGCGGTATGCCGCACTCGTATTTAATGTGTCGGTTCAGTATGAATCTATGTTTGTACCTTCGTGGGCAGTTCGGGCACAGAAAGTCTTGAAAAAGAAATTAACAATAGTTATTAACACGACCAAAATAATAAAAATAATAATAATTTATGGTTGAACACTGGATTAGTGTGAGCATATATAAAAAAAACATTAGTAGGGATTACGATTTAGATAATAATAATACGATCCACGCGTTTCTTATCCTTTCAAGCAGCAAAACAAACACAATTTTTATCGTATTTTACTTACATAGACTTAATCATCTTTGAAAACTGTTTCAAATTACATTAAATAAATGTAATGAATATTTAAAGTTCTTACAAGCAACGAATTCATTAAATCTTGTGTTTTTGTGGTAAACTTCCTAATTTCCTAAAATATATTCTAAATATATGAAAATCGAACAACATTTACAATTTTCCTTAAATTATTTAATAAAACTATTAAGTTTATCATTGTTTTGTTGCATAAACATAAATTAAATGTTTTCTTTATGATCACAAATATTGCATTTATTTATCTGAAATTAATATAATTATTAAATGACAAAGATACAATTGTACATTGCATACAGTGGAACCTCGCTTAACGAGTTGAATCCGTTCCAAAATTAGCGGATTTTTACTCGTATAGTGAAACATATTCATAATATGTGTACACAAGTTTTAAAAATGATGTAGCAAGCGTGCAATCCGGGACTTCTCTTCTCATCATCACTCGTTATGCGAAACGTCGCTCGTTAAGCGAGTAATTTTTATTACAATCCATTTTGCTCGTTAAGCGAAATGCTCGTTATGCGAGGTTCCACTGTATTTTCTTCTAAAATCAATAATCTAGAACAATTAATGATCTAATTATTTATAATACATCAAATTAACAAATATAATATATTAGTTAAGAAAAACATACTATTTTTTCAATCTATTTTGGTCACGTTTCTACCAAAATAACACTTTCTTGAGGTACCGAATGTTCCATGATGAAATTGTACAATTTACACTAACAAATTACAAAAGAAAACAAAAACATAATCAATAACCTTTTAATTGTTTTTTTTTGCACACTCTGAATCGAAAGCTGAAATGAAAGTTGTTTTTTTTTTCGTTTCTAAGATCGAAGATAAATAAAATGTCACAGCTCGTTTCATGTTTTCTTCAAAATACTTTATTATCCGTTAAACTAATACTATTCTTGCTGCTGCTGCTGTTGTTAGCGTCGCCTACTACACATTATTATAAAATATACTGAGGCTGGTAAACGATTATATGGGCACGTCGTGCTTCTTCAGATAATGTATCTTCAAGTTGACCTTCTGGTAGGCTTTGTACGGACACCGATTGCACACGAACTGCGGTTCCTTGCCGCAATCGTATTGCACGTGTCTGCGTAAAGCCGTCTTCGACGAGTACTTCCTTCCGCACTGACACCCGAAACCCCTCTCCTTGCCGCACTCGTAAATCAGATGTTTCGTCAGCAGATTCACGGAGTAAAACGGTTTGGCGCATTGGGAGCATCGGAAAGTCTTCATAACACCGTCGATCACTAAAACAGAAAAAGATAGGGTTTTCCTTTTAGTTGAATTATTTATTTATTATTTTGCAAAGTGTAGCGGATGGGTGGAGAAAAGTTGGCTTTCGCTTTATTTTCAATCTGCAGGAGGAGTTTTATTACCACTACTCTAACGATTCTATGCATGCAATCAAACTTAATCTAAATTGTTTTGATTGTACCTAAAAAGATAATATTTGTATTCGAATTGAATTCAATGAAAATCTTCTATTTTGATGATGGGTTACCTTTGCTTCTCAACTATATAACAAAAAAGATAAAGAAATGTTTAAAGTAACAACTATTATATTTTTATTATACATTCACATTTTGGATTCGCTCTATTTTGTTAAAAATAAATAGAAACAAGATTAGAGAATGCAAATACGCATTATCTTGTTGCGTAAACATGACTTATAAATAAGTATAAGCCAAATCCTAACAAGGAAGAATTTATAGACAGTTTTTGTTTTGACAACATATGACAGTCAACTACTAGATTTATTTATGCTGAAAAGAAATACATATATGATTATCAAAAAATAACAATTTGTTTGTTTTCTTTCGTTTAAAACTATAAGAAAACTTAATTTCTTTTAATTGGAAGTTTTTTATTAGCAAAGTTTAATAGTAACTGTATTTGCTTGAGAATTGAAATTTCTTTACTTGTTTCGATTTTCTGTTAGGGAATAAGTTAGAGATGTAGTTGAATGTTGACAGAAATTTATTGAATTTTCTTTCGCATCTTATTTCTTTTGTGTCGGTTGGTGGAAGTTACAAAAAAAAAAGAAATTAGTTGTTATTAGTGTGTAGCTTATGTCTTTTGTTGGTGGTGAAAGTTGTAAAAAATTGGTTGTTATTGGTAGGTCTGCGTTGAGCACATGTAGTGTGTGGTCATGTGTTGCTTGAGTTGATCCTTCCGCTTGAACTTCTTGTCGCAGAGCTCGCACGAAATGGACTTGTCCTTGCCGCACTCGTACTGGATGTGCCGCATCAGAGAACTCTTGAACTTGTAATAGTGTCCGCATTGGTAGCAGACAAAGCTGTTCGGGCCTACAATCAAAAAGAAACAAACAAAAAGCTCATTTGAACAAAGGGGGAGAATTCGCGCGCTCTTCACTACAAAACACAAACGCAACAAAAAGAAAACACGAAGGACTTGTGTGTGTGTGTGTAAGCTACAGGATAAACTCTACATAAAAAAAAATAATATTATAATAATTGGGGATAATTAAAAGACGGATTCGTCTTCGTCATGTTGAAAGAGCGTGAAATGTAAATGATTTATTCGACACGAAGAATCGCTAACAGTTGATATAAGTAAAATCTATAAGTAAAAATGTATGTATTGCTTTGATTTTTCTCTTCATCCTCTTATTTTACACGATCAATGCTCGCTCACGTTGATGTAATAATCGTACATAGTGTGCGTCAATCTGTGCTGCTTCAGGTGGTCGTTCCTCTTGAACATCTTCCCGCACTTTTCGCAGCTGAACGATTTCTCTTTACCGCATTCGTACTGAATGTGCCTGATCATCGAGCTCTTCGCCTTGTACCAATTGCCGCAATTGAAGCACTGGAATTGGCCTAAAACCCAAACGAATCTCCATTAATAACATAACATAAAAACAATTACGATCATAATTTTGTTTTGGTTGCAAGACCATGCTAGTTAAGCGAAGTTAATGATAATTCTAGAACGTTCTCGATATATTATTATTATTATTTGTATTTATTTAACGAATTAACAAATTTATACGACTTCGAACATGTTGCTCGTACTACTACTATTACTGCTAATATGATGATGAAGATGTTGATGATTTAGATCAGTTGAAAGCGTCTGTGGTAGTTCAGAACGTGTCTCTTGAGGGCCGATTTATGCTTGGTGAGGAACGAGCAGTTCTCGCATTTAAAGGCCGGAGCCTTTCCGCACTGGTAGGTCAGGTGGTAACGAAGCGAGGCGAAGTGCTTGTACTTCCAGTCGCATTTCGGACACACGAACTTACCTAATAACAAAAAAGAGAAAAAGGAAAACGGTAGCTAGTACACACACACGCCCTCAACAATCTAACAGCAAAGCGCAGCAGTATTCACAAACGAACATGACAAAACGAAACAAGATACAAATAACCAAGATGACAAAAGCTTGACAATAACAAGACGATGTTCCGTTTTGTCCGGTTACCTTCGAAAACCTTTTTTATTTTATTCTACAAAAACTTAATCAAATACAAAGAATTAATAAGAAACAAAATTAATGAAACTACAAGAACTGAATCAGAACAATTGATTTGATGAGACGCGATTGCGAATGACGTCGAACTTCTTCCTGCCGATGCGGAATATGCTCAGGATCGCGTTCTTGCAAATGATCTTCCTTTGTCCTTTGACCTTAACGAAGTAGTTGTACATCTTCCGTTTGTTCTCCTTCAAATCGGTCGTCGGTTCCATCATCGAGCCCAGATACATGTTCCTGTCGTACGCGTCCATCTCGCTGTAAGTCTTGTACAGAAGCCACCTTTCGCTATGATCGAATCTCCTCGAACAGTTGAACCGACACGCATCCTTGCACAGCTTGCTAAAACCCGTGGGCGCTTCCAAGGCCTCGCAGTAATCCACGTCAAGTTCTGAAATCCAAATGAAACGTCAATTTTAATGATCGATTTCCGGCAAGTTTCAATTCAATCAAACGTATGAAGAATATTTATTAAAATACCACACCAGTACACAAAAAAAAGAGAAACTAAAACTGATTTTTTCTATTTTCAATATAAGTTAATCCAATTACTCGTTCGGATTTTATGAAACACTCGTTATACAAAAATAATTGATTTGAATACTAGTAGTTCTTTTTTTCAAATAATTCTAACAATCTAAAACAAATCCAATACACCAGAACTAAACTTATCAACCTTTTCAAACAATCTGCAAATCAAAATTAAGCAACAAATTATTTATAAAATCACTATCATTTCAAAGTAAAAATTCTGAATTTCATGGTTTCAAGCATTTCTAACAAATTTTGGATTCAAGCATTATACAGCAATACCTCACATAGTCCGGCTTTTGATTTACTTTGAAAATTTCAAAATAATCAAACTTATTGTTAAAACATATCATTAACATTTAGTAATTATTTAGTTACAAAGATGTAAATGTTTTGTGTAAACCTGCAATAAAATTATATTTACAAAAAAATAAATAAATAAAGACATTCGATAAGCGTTAACTATATTTATTTACAAAGATTCGTGTTCAAAGAATATATGCAAAATATGCTTTATGCTGCGTAAAATTCCTTCAATTCTTTTTCAAGTCCGTCAACAGTAAAGTCCCGTGCACGACTGCGTGATGTCGCTTAAGAGAACCTTTGTGTTTCGTTTTGTAACAGCATCCGAATGCCGGACACATCAGTTTCGGCTCTAAACCGCATTCGACTTTTAAATGATTGTACAACGATGTGTGGTATTTGTACGTTTTCGGGCATTTCGGGCACACGTACGGACCTGAAACAAATCGGACAGCTGTCAGTACACATCCGAACTTGATTGTAGCAACAAAAAAAATTAGAGAAAAATATTATAAGAAGGAAATAAATAAAGAACGAAAAACGTATTTTTTAATAAACAAATTCATAAGATACAAATTAATTCCGTTATCATTCAAATTGAATGATTCAGTAATGAACATTTGTCTGTAAAACGGTAAAACTAAAAAATACAAAAAGAAAATAACAATTTTTATTTACTGTTTACTGCAGAACGTTACTTACGCTGAAGACACTGCAATTATTTCACCACATATCAACCAGATAACTGATTCTTAACTGCTCAAAGTAAGAATAAAATTCAAGCTTGCTTTGCACACCGGTTACTCTAAACAAGAACCCCCTACCATAATCTTATGGAACCAAGTACCTGGGAACGCACCTGTCGGTTCAGCCTCACCTGGAAACGTTAAGTAAAGGCAAAGAGGAAACAACTGCCACGACAGGTTGAATAATTGTATTGCTTAATTGGCAGAGACACGCACATTTCTGTTGTAAACAAAATTTCAATTTGTTCCCCATATGGATCATCCAATTATGGGGAACTGTATGTAACACGTGATTCAGATATACCAATCACAAACGCTGAGAACGGCTCACCGTGGTACGTCACAAATGATGATATTCATTCCTTCACCACCTCCAACCTAGTCAATGAAGAGATAATACAAAAAAGAGAGATAATACAAAAAAAAACATCACCAGAAAAATCAAACTGTAAAAGGAATATCCTTACCTTTGTTCATCGCCTACTAAACTTAAGTCTAGAAACGCAGTATATCTTCAGTTTTTTTTTTGTAATACACCAAAAGAATCAAACTGTAAAATGAATAACCTTACCTTTGTTCATAGCCTACTGAAAGTGAAAATAAATAACTAAAACAGCAGTCTTTCTTCTAGACAAAAAGTAGATTTTCAATGATATTTGACTTTTAAGTCTAAAAAAGTAGTATGTCTTCAGATTTTTTTTTGTAATATTTGATCTTCCTCTTGCACTAAAAGCAAAGAATGTTAAAATTTGCAATAAAAAAACATCACCAGAAGAATCAAACTGTAAAAAAAATATCCTTACCTTTGTTCATCGCCTACTAAAAGTGAAAATAAATAACTAAAACAGTAGTCTTTCTTCAAGACAAAAAGTATATTTTCAATGATACTTTTTCTAGACTTTTAAGTCTATAAAAGTAGTCTGGTTTCAGTTTTTTTGTAATATTTGATCTTCCTCTTGCACTAAAAGCAAATAAAGTTAAATAAAAAAACATCACCAGAAGAATCAATCTGTAAAAAGAATATCTTTGTTCATCGCCTACTAAAAGTGAAAATAAATAAATGAAACAGCAGTCTTTCTTCAAGACAAAAAGTATATTTTCAAAGATAATTTGACTTTTAAGTCTAGAAAAGTAGTTTGTCTTCAGTTTTTTTTGTAATATTTGATCTTCCTCTTGCACTAAAAGCAAAGAAAGTTAAAATTTGCATATAAAAAACATCACCAGAAGAATCAATCTGTAAAAAGAATATCTTTACCTTTGTTCATCGCCTACTAAAAGTGAAAATAAATAACTAAAACAGCAGTCTTTCTTCAAGACAAAAAGTATATTTTCAATGATAATTTGACTTTTAAGTCCAAAAAAGTAGTGTGTCTTCAGTTTTTTTTTTGTAATATTTGATCTTCCTCTTGCACTGAAAGCAAAGAAAGTTAAAATTTGCAAAAAAAAAAACATCACCAGAAGAATCAATCTGTAAAAAGAATATCCTTACCTTTGATCATCGCCTACTAAAAGTGAAAATAAATAAATGAAACAGTAGCCTTTCTTCAAGACAAAAAGTATATTTTCAATGATACTTTGACTTTTAAGTCTAGAAAAGTAGTCTGTCTTCAGTGTTTTTGTAATAATTGATTTTTCTCTTACATTAAAACCAAAGAAAGTTAAAATTTGCAAAAAAAAAAACATCACCAGAAGAATCAATCTGTAAAAAGAATATCCTTACCTTTGATCATCGCCTACTAAAAGTGAAAATAAATAAATGAAACAGTAGTCTTTCTTCAAGACAAAAAGTATATTTTCAATGATACTTTGACTTTTATGTCTAGAAAAGTAGTCTGTCTTCAGTTTTTTTGTAATACTTGATTTTTCTCTTGCACTAAAAGCAAAGAAAGTTAAAATTTGCATAAAAAAAACATCACCAGAAGAATCAATCTGTAAAAAGAATATCCTTACCTTTGTTCATCGCCTACTAAAAGTGAAAATAAATAACTAAAACAGCAGTCTTTCTTCAAGACAAAAAGTATATTTTCAATGATACTTTGACTTTTAAGTCTAGAAAAGTAGCCTGTCTTCTGTTTTTTTGTAATATTTGATCTTCCTCTCGCACTAAAAGCAAAGAAAGTTAAATTTTGCATAAAAAACATCATCAGAAGAATCAAACTGTAAAAAGAATATCCTTACCTTTGTTCATCGCCTACTAAAAGTGAAAATAAATAAATGAAACAACAGTCTTTCTTCAAGACAAAAAGTATAAATTCAATGATGCTTTGACTTCTAAGTCTAGAAACGCAATATATTTTCAGTTTTTTGTAATAATTGATATTTCTCTTGCGCTAAAACCAAAGAAACTTAAAATTTGCAATAAAAAAACATCACCAGAAGAATCAATCTGTAAAAAGAATATCCTTACCTTCTTTCATCGCCTGCTAAAAGAATATAAATAAAACAAAAGTCTTTCTTAAAGACCAAAAAAAACCATATTCTTTTGTTTGATCATTTTTTTAATAAACCCAATTTACCCAAAAAAAAATAAAAAATAAATAAAAAGAAAGAGAGAAAAAATAATGTCTATATCTATATATAGAAGAGGAAGAAGAAGAAGAAATAATAATAAACAATGGAGAGAATATTTGAATAAATTTCGAAAAAGTAATAATAATAATAACAAATTGAAAATAAAAAAATCTCCGTTTTAAAATTACAACCACAAAAATGCAAATTCTAACTAACAACAACAAAATAATAATAACTGCATAATTACATAACGATATCTCTTTGTACCATAATCTCGCTCTTGCAAATGAGAGACAGAGAATAGTAGTAAACGTTTTTTTTTGTTTTTAATAATAAATAATAAATTTTCTGCGCTTTAAACAAAACAAAAAAATATATATAAAAAAAAAAATAAGAAAGATTTTAAATTAAAAAAAAAAACGAACAGAGAAGTTCGGCGTTTTCATGCAGATGGAGCTGCTCGTCTGTTAGTAGTTTTATTTGGTTAAAGTCCAAGAAACGAATATTAATAATAATATTACTAATAATAATAATAATAATAATAAAACAAATAACGATTTTTTTTAATAATAGTTAAATTAATTTATAAAATATTAATAATAAAAAAAAAAACAAGAATGCCTCTGATTCTTCTCTTGCGTAACAGGTAATAAAATAAAAATTGAAATAACGTCTATAGACTATATATATATATAAATGTATATAATATAAAGTAGTATTGCTTTTGTTTCTATATTTCTATAGTGAAGGCACTAAATATTGTCGATTGTTTTTATTGTCTCTTTTATTTTTTCTTGTTGATTGATTGCACTGCTTATTTGGTATTTTATTAATTAATTAATCGATTAATTGTTGCATTCGCGTGCGGCACCCGCCGGCAGACCAAAAATCCCGTTTATAATTAAATTAAATAGAACAAAAAAAAAACATAATGACTAAATGTTTAAATATTAGCTTTACCTAATGTATTGTACTTTTGGTTAAATCGTATCTTTCGAGGCTAAAAGTATGTGTTGTGGTGGTGTTTTTCCTGTTCATTTTCTTGTGTTGTTAAATATATATATATATATGATTTTTTTTTAGTTATTGCGTTTAGTATTTGTGTTTCTTTTGAAATGTCCGTGAGATGTCGCTGTTCCGCTTCTCCGAAATTTCGAGCGTCCTCTCGCGGGGCGACGCTTCGAGATGTATCATTGGTTGTTGAGGGCGGAGGAGGTGTGGTGCTTGCGCAAGTGCACGCCCAGATTGCCCTTCTGCTTGGCCCTGTACGGACAGAGCGGACACTGAAAGCTCGGCTCTTTGCCGCCGCACTCGACCTGCTCGTGCCGCCTCATTGTCGACTTCCATCTGTACCTTTTGCCGCAATGTCTGCACGCGAATTGACTCTCGCTGCTGTAACCGGGTCTCATCTGTTCACTGACCAGCGTGAACTTCCTCATCGACCGTCCGTTACTGTCCTTCCGGATCCGGACACCCTTCACCGGATTCCTCAGAAGCGACCTCAGCGTCTCGTTGCCCTCCGGCGTCATGATCTGATCCAACTCCAGATACTCTGCAAATTCAATTGCCCCACATTTATTAAAGAAACAAAAAAAAAATGATGAAAAAAAAAACAAAAGAGTTTAAATAAAACAACAAAAGAAAAACAGAAAAAAAAACAATAACACAAATGATGAGAAAGATATAAACAAAAAGAAAGAGAGATAGAGAAAAATAGAGAAATTAAATTTAAAAAAAAAAACGGATTTGTTAAAGTGTATGAAACCAAAGAAAACCCCCAGATCGTTTTGTGTGAAACATGAAAAAGCTTTCTCATTATTGTATTTACACGTAGATGTGTTGTTTGTGAAACAGATGAAGAAGTAAATCATAATTATATAAATAAATAAAAACAACGGAAGCGATGCAATAAATTAAGGAAATTAATTTATTCGTAATCAACAGAAAATAAAAAGGTGGTAAAAGTAAAAAAAAAATCGTCGCGTCCATGAAACCTAAAAAATATTTGCATTAGTTTATTACATTTAAATTCGACCATAATTAAACTTACCTTTAATTAAATTTAACACAATCACAATACTTTAGTAATAATTTGGAATTGCGATTATTAGAAAGTTCAAAATCAAACTTTTTTCTAAATATACAACCTATAATATTTATATTATTAACTTTATGTGAATATTTTCTTTATAATAATCTTTTAGATAATTTAAGATTTTTTTAAAATTTAAATTGAATTGAATCATTTTTTTATATGAAGCAATCGTTATCGGTTATTTATTGTAAAGATCATAATTTCAGTCAAATTTTATCACAAAGTGACTTAAAATCAAGTAGGTTACATTCTAAAACAAAACAGTTTTTTGTTATATAATTTTTTGACATTAAGAAAAATCATGATCATATAACTAAGGTTAATGAGATTTCCTAGGTTACATTCAAAAACAAAATAGTTTTTTTTTTTATTATTTCAGAAAATCATAACTAGGTTAAGGCTATTTACTTGAGAATTAGGTTACATTCCAAAACAAAGCAAAAATTATCAAAAATATTTTATATTAAATTTCAATCAGTTATTTTCTCTATTGAAAGTAAATTTAATTTAATTTCTTTGAAAGTTGAGATTAAAGTAAATATTTCTTAATAACTCAATAATATAATGCGATGAGCAAACTAATGTACATTTAGAAGCGCTAATACTGAAGTGTCAATGTTAAATTGTAACGTTAACTCGCATTAGTTAAATCTACAGACTTTTCCTATTAGTAAGAGTTGAAGATTCGCTCAAATCGAGACGTGGTGTTTGAGGAAAACGTGCATTTTCAACGTTCCTTTGAGTTTAGTCTTGAACGGGCAATCGGCGATCGGACACTTCAAATTCGCTTCCTTCCCGCAAACGTATTTCAAGTGACTATACAGAGACGTGTAATACTTGTACAGTTTCGGACATTTCGGGCAGCGATATTTGCCTAAAACTGAAAGAAACCAAGTCAAAAAAAAAGATTCAAGAATTAAGACATTTCAACATACTGACATCAATATATAATCAAATTATCTTACCTTTAGTTTATTAATTAGTTAATACATAAATTATGTATTTGAGCTGAAAACTCACAGTGAAACAAAAATGAAAATCATTTGGAATCAATGAAACATCGTGCGAACGTTTCCTAATGTTTATTTACATGATCAGAACAGTAGATTTGCGATTTTGTTTCGGAAATGTGTGGCGAGGTGGCTTTTCAAGTTGAACCTCGTGCGGAATTTCAGATGGCAGAGGTCGCACGGAAACCTGGGCTCTTTGCCGCAGTCGAATTTCATGTGTTGCATGAGGTTCCTGTAATGTTTGTACGATCTGCCGCACGAGCAACTGTACTTTCGGACACCTGAAAACATATCTCCAATTACCAACAAATTGTCAGCGTTTCTTCCTTCGCAAAGAAAAGTTAACACACTGCTCATACTCATTAGTCAATATGCATTGAAGACAATTATTTTCATTGTTGCATTGTATATAGAAATCAAGTGAATTTGTATCTAGTACAATTAGTACATTAGCTGTCAAGTATAATTTAATCAATCAATTATCATTGGTTTATCAAATAATTGCAGTGTAAACTTCGAAATAATTGTAACTGATTTAAATTAAAAAAGAAAATGGAAATCAATTTTGTAAGAATTTAGTACAAAAACAGTGATTTCCTTAAAGTTAATTCTATTCATTGACATTTAAAAAATCAATAGAAGTTTTAGTTAATTTTTGACATCAGGTTGTCAGAATGATATAATCAGGTTAGGGTAAAAAAAAATCTATAGTTTTAGCACACTTTGACATTTTGAAAATCAGAATTACTTTAACATTATTTATATTAGATCTCTATAAGATCTATATAATCATGGATAGAATGTTGCATTTTGATTAATGTAAATCACCTAGGTTACATTCCAAAACAAAGTTTTTTTTTAATCTTTTTCAATATTAAATTTCCAGTTAGAATCAAATAACTAGAATAAAATTCGCATAAAATTATGAATGTTAGATAAGATATGTTAATTCCATTTGTATTAATCTCAGAAAACAATAACTGGGTAACAAATTATGGATAAAAAAAGGATTAATTTCGTAAAACGAAATTTCTCAAAGTATAAACCCATTTACCATAAACGCAATGTTTGCATATAAACCCTAGAATGGCAGAAAGATCATAAGTTAAGAATAGAAAGAGAATTAGTAGCTAAAAAATGATAATAAATCATTCTTCTCTAAAAAAAAGTCAATATTATTATATATAAGTAGTAAGAACAATAAGAAATTTAGAAAAAGATTTTTATTGTGCACTAGGATAGAATTATTCTATAATTATAGAGTAAGATATATAACCAGATTAGACTTTATTTCATATTATATATTTTTTGGTAAACATATATTATATTAATATATATATATAAAAAAATAACGAAATATATTCATAACAAAAGGAAAAACAAATAGAAGGAAACTTCTTCTTCTCAGCCTTTTTTTCACTTTAACTAAATCCTAAAAATAATTGAAAAAAAAAAGAAAGAAATTAAATCGCCACGAAGAAAATGAATAATAATCAAGAAATAAAAAGGATTTTCGTTCAGTACATCAACATCCGTGTATCAGTTTGATATGTTTTTTGACGGAGCACATCTGCTTTGCCCTGTACGAGCAGAATTGGCAGAAGAACGAAGGCTCCTTGCCGCACTCGAACTTGACGTGCCTGAGCAAGTTCTGCTTGTACTTGTAGCACTTCGAGCATTTCGTGCAGTAAAATTGGCCGTCCTTCGTCGCCCTTCCATCGGCAAGCAACAACGCTACAAACAGAAGAGAAGAAAAAAAAACCATAAAAGTCAACAAACGAGAACTACTTGAAAATACAATTTTCTTTCTTTTTTTTTTAAAAAAAAAATCGGTAAACGAGGAACAGTTAACACAACACAGTGGATTAGAACAAATGTTGTTTTCGTGATGATGATGATGAAATAATTTGTAATGTTTTTTTGTTTTGTTTCTCTACAGCTTTTTATTCAACGTAAAAGACATCGTTCTCCAAATGTTTGGTTCGAATGTGATTGTTGAGGGTGCACTTCTGTCGGAATCGGCTCATGCAAATGTTGCACTGAAATTTCGACTGGTTACCGCACTCGTATTTCATGTGACGACTCAGGTGAGTGCGATGCACGTAGGAGTAGCCGCACTTCAAACACTCGTAACGGTTTTGATCGTTTACGTAAAAGCCTCTACCTAAAAAACACAGAAACAAAGAGAGAACAATGAACGCAAAGAATTATTGATTTTATTGGACTACGAAAGAAAGAGGGTGGTGGGGTGTGTGGTTGAAGAAGTTCCGGATTGGAAAAGAAAATGAGCGAAATATTTTTCATTACGTAAAAATAGCGTAAATTTTTTTTTGAGTTGAGAAGATTGTTGGGTTTAAAAAAATAGATATGAAATGTTGGCCTCTGCTACTCAACAAAAAAAAAAGAAAGAATAACAACAAGTCAAAAACGAAATAAAAATTCATCTAAAACACACAAATCAATATAAAAAATAATAATAATATACTGGAAATAAACACACGCAATTGCTTCGCACTGACTGTTTCTTTACAAATCTTCAATACTAATCTAAGAAAAACTGCACACCTTATTTGATCAAATAGTAAAAGACTCAAATGCACGCAATGTTGACTCGTTGTAGCAGAAACAGAATTTCGCACGAAAATATTTACCTGTAACAACGTCATAGCAATAAAGTCACCAAATTAGTTTTTTAACAAATATAGTTTGTTAAAAAAAATCACAGTGATGCTGAAAAGTATTGAGGAATAAATTTCTTGTGAATGCATTACGAAATGATTAAAACTATTCATAATATATTCATTGTTGAAATACACCCATACCTCGCTTTACGGCCTAGATACGTTCCACGAAACTTGGCCGCAAAGCGAAAAGCCGTATAAGGAATCAATTATTCTAATACAAATTCATACAAATTCAATGGAATCGGTTCCAAATTTGTTAAATATGTAACATGGTTTATCTTCTATTTCATTTAAATCAAAAATACATACATAACAAGTACATACATTTGTACATAAAATAATAACAGACCCCAAAAAACAATAATCTATAAACAAAAATGAAACAACTTCATGTTACATAAAATATGTGAATGTTTACATACATATTTTTTTTAAATGGCTTTAATCTGAAGACGATGTTGATCACTGTTGTCATCATTGTTCAATGTTGTTTGTCTTGCCTTCTTGTCTATTTAATTTTTCAGTGATTTATAACAGCTAATGGCTGAATTAATTCCTCGAGAAACTTTAGCGCTACGTTCGACGTTTTCAAGGAGAATGTTTATTCCTTGTTCGAAACTGGAAAAAGCTTTCGACAATTTTCGTTTATGTTAGCTGTTTGGATACAACAGGCTCTGTCTCTTCATCAAATGCCGGTTCTGCTTGCAACTGAATGAGTTCGGTTTTTGAAATGTACGTGCGATCAGGCATTCGCTTCCAATAAAGCCCTCTTTCGTCTACGTTAAACAATTGTTCCGGTTTATAGCCACCTCTTTCAATAATTCCCTTTATATTATTGGGATATTCCTTAGATGCAGCCTCATCGGCGCTAGCTGCTTTCATTTGCAAATTATGCAAATTAAATCTATTTTTAAATTTTTCAAACCATCCTCGACTTGCTTGGAATGTGACATCTTCAGTAGATTCATCGGTATCTCCATTCTTCAACATTTCGAAAATACTTAAAGCTTTTTCCTGGACAGTCATTTGACTCATAGGCATTCTCCGTTTGTTATTGTCCTCAATCCATATAAACATTAGTTTTTCCATTTTTTCCATGATCCAGTTTCTTTGGCGTGTTAATCTCGAGACATTTAAAGGTGCAGCAGATTGCAAATATGCTTTAATGTCTTCTTTTTTATCGCGGATAGTTTGAATGGTAGATTTCGCAAGTCCCATTGCCCTGCAAATTTCAACAATCTTCTCTCCAGCTTCTATACGACGTAATACTTCTAGTTTAGTTCCTAGCGTGACTGATTTTCGGCATCTCTTTTTATTAGTCTTCGAAGTTGTTAATCGTTTCGGTTGCATTTTGTCTAAAAAAATAATGAAATTATAAAATAAGTTTAAGAAAAAAATACATATTAAATTTTATTAATTTGTACATACATACATATGTACATTGTTTCCATTGTTTTCCAGATAATGTTTAACAATCAGTAATAAATATGTACATAAAACACTCACAGATAAGTCTAAACCAGCCGCTTTATCAGCACATACTGAATAACGCTCGTAAACAAGAGGAAATAGAAAAGATTGGCAACATGTAGATGTATCGATATAAAAAAAAAATGTTTTTGCTATTATAGCGAAACATTTTAGGCCGTAAATCGAAAACGTGCCTTAATTGAATAAGGCCGTTATAGCGAGGTATGGGTGTATACACTTTGAAACATAAATAACATTACGTTTTTTTTTGTGTTAAGATTAAAAAATTACCTAGAAAATAATAAAAGACATTCACTTTTATTAAGTTATATTTTGTACGCCTTATTACTCATTTAAAGTATTAATTTGATGTAAAAAGTCACCCATCTGATTGCTTAACTATCTCACTCACATGCGGATCTAAAAAATCAGAAAATGTGTTAATTCAGGAATAATATTTCAAACATTTTAATTTTATCAAATATATTTCTATACTAAACATATCTGAAAGAAATAAGATATTAAATACGTGTATTTTGGCACTTAACAGATGGATTTTGGTGAGAAGGAGTGTCCAAAAATTGTTAGATTTTCTTTTACATTTTATTGGAAAATATTCACCAAATACAATATTTGAATTTATGAAATTTACATTTTTAAACATTCAATTCAAGACAATAGTATATTGTCTCGTTCTTATCATTCTTCTGTGAGCAACATACTCAACATAATAACTGTCGAGTTGGCCGTAGTTGGTATAGATTCTATAAAAAGTCTAACAATCAAACGTAATGTTGATAATGGACGTCCTGAAGATCACCAAAAAGTAGATAATTTTATTGTCCCGAGATATTGTGCTTATTTTACATTGTTCCATGTTTAATTAATAGCTGCAAGAAGAAATAATGTAAAGACATTTACTTTTTAGTCACTCATTCGTAGTATTATATACAATACAGATATTCTCCAACTTACGAACAAAATTCTATAAGCTCCAAATAGAAATTGATAATTTCTTTAAAAAAATATATTTTTTCATATGTATGCAGTGTGTAATACGGAATTTAACATATATACAAGTAAAAACCATGAGAAAGTGTGTATAAGTATATTATGAAATTTTTAAAACTCCCCCGACTTACGAACAAATTTGACTTACGAACAACCCTGTTTGGGATACCTGTAATGGGTAAAAATTTCTCAAGTATTTTCCATATTCCATTATTATATTTGCTACGACTTATTACTCAAATAAAGTATTAATTTTATGTAAAAAGTCACCCATCCAATAGCTTAACCATCTCACTCACAAACTGACAAATATCATCACTAAAAATGTTAAAATTAACTTCACAATTCAAGAATAATAATTCATCGATTTTTATTGTATTACAAAAAAGAAATCATTTTGTAGATAAATTGATTCACCTACGATATTTTCTTAGTTTGTTCCATTTTTAATTAATAGCTGTAACAAGAAATAAGACATTTAAAAACCATTTCTCAAGTAGTTTCAATATTGCATTACTATATTTGCTAGATCTTATGACTCAATCAAAGTATTAATTTGATGCAAAAAGTCACCCATCCGATAGCTTAACTATCTCACTCACAAACAGACAAATATCAACACTAAAAATGTTAAAATTAACTTCACAATTCAAGAATAATAATTCATCGATTTTTATTGTATTACAAAAAAAAATCATTTTGTAGATAAATTGATTCACCTACGATATTTTCTTAGTTTGTTCTATTTTTAATTAATAGCTGTAACAAGAAATAAGACATTTAAAAACCATTTCTCAAGTAGTTTCAATATTGCATCACTATATTTACTAGGCCTTATGACTCAATCAAAGTATTAATTTGATGCAAAAAGTCACCCATCCAATAGCTTAACTATCTCACTCACAAACAGACAAATATCAACACTAAAAATGTTAAAATTTCACAATTCGGGAATAATAATTCATCGATTTTTGTAGTATCAAATAATTTTCTAAAAAAAATCACCATTTTGTAGATAAATTGATTCACCTAAGATATTTCCTTAGTTTGTTCCATTTTTAATTAATAGCTGTAACAAGAAATAAGACATTTAAAAACCATTTCTCAAGTAGTTTCAATATTGCATTACTATATTTGTTAGGCCTTGTGACTCAATCAAAGTATTAATTTGATGCAAAAAGTCACCCATCCTATAGCTTAACTATCTCACTCACAAACAGACAAATATCAACACTAAAAATGTTAAAATTTCACAATTCAGGAATAATAATTCATAAAATTTAGTTGTATCAAATAATCACCATTTTGTAGATAAATTGATTCACCTAAGATATTTCCATGAAATAATGTATTTTTTTAGGTCACATACAGGGTGCGGCATAAATAACTCACACATTAGGAAAAAAGGAAATCTTCTAAGAACAGCTCGAAAAAAACTAAAAAAAAATTGGAAAATAAAAAAAATTTGGTACCATTCGTTTTCAATCACCCACTTTGAAATGTGGGAGTTATTTCTGTCGCATCCTGTATAATTAAATTGTAAAATCTGTAAATCATATTAGAATTTCGGGAATATTAGCAATTGATTAAGTGTAGGTAAAAAGTAATAGTTTTTAATAACAAAAATACAAGATTGTTGGTATCTTAAAGGATAATATATAAAAAAAATAAATATAATACATAATATATAGATAATAAATACTATATGCGTAAATAAAAATTGTATAAAATCTTCATAAATAATGTGTATTATGTCTTGTCTTTAATACTATATAATTCGTTAAGGTAGTATGAAAAAAAAATAATCCCAGACACCGGAAACAAAAGTGTGATGAAACAAAAAAAAAACAGTCAGTGATACATACAAAGATTTGTATGTTTAGAGCCAATTCTTTTTGGAGTTGTTAATGAACGACGCGTACTGATGCTTGTACTCTTTGTGCTTGGCCAGCAAGTGCATCGTGAAGTGGATCTTTTGTCGACCCTTGTACGGACAATAGCAACACCGGAATTGCGGCTCTTTGTCGCATTCCCATCTCATGTGATTGTACAGGGATGATTTCCGCTTGTACTCCCTGTTGCATTTCTTGCAGACGAAACCATCGTCTAAAACAGAAACGCAAAACGTTCACGTATTTAGAACAAAAACAAAAATACATCTTTCGTTCGAGTAACGTTGAAACAATCGCATAAGTTAGTACTTAATAACGAAGAAGATTTAGGATGCGAATAAATAGATGTAAAGAGAGATGCAGAGAGAAGGAAAAAAAAATGATAATAACCACAAACCGTTTCTCAATTTTTCAAAACCCCCATTTTCATCTTCATTACGTTGAAGGAACACAAAAACCAAAGAAAAAGTAAAAAAATTAAAATATTTACACGTGTTTTCAAACCGTTTTCTCGTTTCCTTTTAAAAAGTCCATATATTTGCAATTTAACTACATTCGGCTCTTCCACCAAAAATAAAAATATTTATATAAATATATGTATATATGTGCAAAACTATTTGTTTTCTTTTTTGTTGTTGTAGTTGCGAATTAAAACTTGGAGTTCAGTTTCTTCGTGTGCGAAATGGAGAGCAGATGTCTCCGGTACTTGTGGTGGAATCTGCAAGAGAAATTGCACAGAGCGCAATGGTACTGAGGCTCGATCCCGCAAATGCTTTTCAGGTGTGTATAAACCGAGGACTTGAACTTAAATCGCTTCTCGCACCTGGGACACACGAACATCCCGTTTCCGTCGGTGGCGATCCTAAAAGCTAGACAGAGAAAAAAAAAGATAGAATGAAAATTCCGATTCGATGCGTTTCCATGTGAATAGAAGAAGAAAAAAGAAAACAAACAAACAAACAAAAAGTAAATAAATAAACAAAAGTACGTATAATAATATAAAGATCAATCAAGTTGCGGTGAAAGAAGAAAAAGAAGAAAGTTTTGTTGCGTTCCCGTTTTAACGGGAATTTCGTTTGTTTTTTAATCACAGAATAAAACATATGGTAAACAAATAAAATCACACACTCTAGCGAATATTATAAATAAATAAACTTAATGACTAATTTCAGTTTTCGCTTTTTCTTTTAAAAAGAAAAATCTTCGCTAAGATTCCTAAGGACTAAAGTTTCTTTTTCCTTCGCTTTGGTTTTGGTTATCATTACTAAGCTTGCGGCCATCCACCGCGCGATTACTTTTACCCAAGTGACTTACTACTTGGCAAGTATCGCGCGATGAGTGCCCCGACCTCCAGCAGCGGCACATTCATTATTAATTTTTGTATTGGTAGCTTTAAATCGGTGACGACGTTTTATGGACGTTCATGTGCCTTTTGAGGTGATGCCTGTAGAAGAAGACCGCCTCGCATTGGTCGCATATGAAGGTGGGCTTCTTGCCGCACGCGAATTTGGAGTGGTTGTACAAGCTCTTCCTGCTCATGTAGGACTTGCCGCAGTCCTCGCACACGAAGACCGCCCTTCGTTTCCGTCGAACTAAAACTGAAGAAACGTGTTTGAGCATCATCATCGTCCCCTTCGCAATTGCTCAATTGCAACAACAAAGAAAAACCAATAGAGAGAGAGAGTAAAAAAACATCAGGCAAAAACACAAAACTGAACGCATTACTAAAACAAAAAAAAATAAAAAATAAATAATAATCAAAAATAGCTAGCAGACAAACCACACGAATGTAAACTGATAAGTTTTGTTTTCAGAACACCTGAAATCAACTTTTAAATACAATTTAAATAAATCCCTGAAATCAAATTGATTAGTAAATTATTATTATTGCTCAAATTCAAACAGGTTTCACTTTATTTCGATACACAATCCAGATATACAAAGTAACAGAACTCAGATTTAGAAGGAACTTTGCAGGTATAAGAATAAGAAAAATCTATATACTTCACTTTCAAGCATCGAAGGTATTTCTATCATCTGTATAATTTCACTTTCCTTATTTTATTGTTATGTTCTTCTAGTTTGGGAATCTTAATTTATTTGAATTATTGAACTTTGTGTTAAATATACAATTGAGTAATTCGTTAAGAAATTCAAGAGTAACTATTTTTTGAAACATATCTTATGATATTAAAAACACTGAACAGAATGTGTTGTAGAATGACAAATTTCAATCGAAATAATAACCAAAAACTCATAGTAATTAGCAAAACAGAAAATTTAGTCTTTAGATGTATATTTTATATTAAAATTTGCACATGCAGACTTGAACATATACTAAATCTTTTTATCAAAAAAAAAGTCAATATGATAACATTTTTCAAAAGTTTTATACTTTGACAAGAACATTCTATTCTGTTACGGACTATATAATTCATCAATGTAAACTTATTATGTATTTGTTTTGTATTGTATTGTTATTCAATAATTATTTAAAAAGATTAGTTAGTGTATGTCTAATATCTGTAAATTAATATCGCTTTGCTAAATCACGTATTGTTACTTTATAGACTTATTCTATACCAGCGTTTCTTAACCTGTTTGCTGCGATACTTATTTGTAGTCGAAATGCGACCAAATTGTTTATAACATACTATTTTGACAATTTGACGTATGGCGACACCTGTCATTTTGCAGCTCACTAAAAATTTGAGAAACGCTGTTCTATACTCTGTATTACAATTGTAGTTGAATCTAATGGATTATTTCATTAAAATTATAGATTTGTATATCATATTTAGGTCATCAGTGTGAACAAAGAAAAATAAAGACTTTTTCACTTTATCTTAAGTATTTAAGTCGAAATAAGTAGAAATACCTTCGATGCGTTCATATTGTCCAACAAGTCAATTGAAATGTCGATCGAGGTTAGCTGTGCAAATTTGGCATCTGTCAAATTCGGTTTCGGTTAGTAGTCCAATGCCACCGTAAGTACTCAGTCTCTCTCACCTGTTAAAAACTTGTCACAACAACAAATTGTACTCATATCTTTGCAATTGCGGATGTTATTAATATATTGTGTTTTTCAAATGTAAGATTTCGTTGGCTCAGTGCTTCGATTTAATGTGCATCTTGAGCAGATTCCTGTACTTGAAGCGCTTCTCGCAGAGCTGACACGAGAACTGCGGTTCGATGCCGCACTCGTACCTGATGTGTCTCTGCAGATTGTGCTTGTGCTTGTACCCAAGTCCGCAACGAAAGCACAGGAAGTATCCTGAAAGAAAGACCAGAGTCAGAATGGAAATTCGAAAGCAAAAAAAAAAACAACAACATATCACCATCGAGTCGTTCCGTTTCTTCTTCAGAAATCACCTATACTTACTGATTTTGTTTTTTACGACCTACAGGTAAAATGTTTGCAATTAAGGATGATTTAAACGTAAAGGTATTGTGATCTTATATTACATATTTCGTCAAAATTAAACGTGCTTTTTCTTTTTATTTCAACAACAGGATCGGCTTTATCTTATTGTATATGGTGAGGAATTCGGTTTTCTTTTCGAAATGCCGACGGCCGACGTGCAATTGCAAATTGTACTTCTGCTTCGTTGAATAGCAGCAGTAAACGCACTGGAAAAACTGGCAGGAATCGCACTCGAAACGCAAATGTCTGTTCAGGGAATGCCTGGATGAGTAGCATTTCCGGCATCTGTCGCATCTGTAAATACCTGGAAAAGAGAGACGGGAATTGTGTATTAATACTGTGTAAGTTTGAGAGCGACAACAACAACAACAACAAAACGAGTCGTCGGTAACATCCACAACCCAAAAAAAAGTTTATATCTGCAAGATGAGAAGACGTAAGAGGAAAAACAACAACAAATGATATATTGGTATTTGCGGATAGCGTTTATTTTGTTCAGCTACAAAGGTCCGTGTCTGCGATTCACGTGTCTCTGGAGGTTTCTCTTATGCGAAGACTTGTAGTCGCAATTCGGATAGAGGCAGTCCAACTTCTCTACTCCGCATTCGTGTTTGTGGTGTCTGTACAACGAGGATTTGTGTCTGTAGCTCTTCCCGCATTTTAGACACGTTATATCTAAAACAATAACAATCTGTCAAAGCGAGGAACAGAGTGTCAGCAATTTGGGACTCACTGTACAACTACAAACAAAAAATATATATTGATAAACACTGATGTAATAGTTAGAAGGTGAAAAAATAAATAAATAATAAGGTTGCGAAATGACAGCTGTCACTAGGTGTCAAACTGTCAATTTAATACTTACCACTTTTGTAGTGTCATTTAATTAGAGGTTATATTAAAAAAAAATCATACTACTCTATGTAATTGTGTTATAAGAAAACATTTTTTCCTCATTTTTCAATCAATTCTTGTTTTATACAAGTTTTCCTACAAAAAAGAAATAAGTTTCATGTAAAAATAGCTGAAATTGAATGTGAATGATGAAATAGAATTATGGTTTATAGTCTCGTATAATATAATAAAAAATATATAATGAATCATAGTGTCTACATTATAGCCTACAACCATGCCCATCGACTTGTAAGTAAATATAACATTTTTTTTTTCTTAACTTTTTGTTGTCGTTTGGTCAATTACAAAAAAGAAATGCTACAAACTATATGGAAGCTGCTGCTGCTGCTAATTCTCATCACTGATACTTGTAATGGAAGGGCGGATCGTACGAGTAGAACTCCGGATGCAATTTGTAGACGTGCGTCCTCAAATTGGCGCGTATCTTGAATTTCTTTCCGCAATTCTCGTTCGGACACACGAACTGCGGTTCTATACCGCATTCGAACCTCTTGTGCGTGTACAGAGATGGTTTATGCTTGTACCCTTTTCCGCAACGATCGCAGAAGAACTTCTGGTAACCTACAAATATACATAACAATATTTTATTGATCACAGTACAACGCAAAACAACAAAATATAGACTTATATCTAAACAGCAAAACATTCGTTTCGACCCCCATGTAAAATGACAAGAGTAGTTTTTTATAGTTTTAATCTTAATATAAAGAGACTTACCTTCAATATAAGATAAAAAAATAATTTAAATTGAACAAAATTTGATACACAAAGATTAAATTGGTTTATTTTGGTACAGATTTTTAAAACTTAAGTTTTATTTGATTTTTTTTTTTGTAGACTTTTTTTACATCTTCAAAAGATCCCAACAGATTTTGACCAATAACTCCGCAACTCTTTTCGAAACATACAAATTGTGGTTAAAATCCGCATTCGAACTTCTCCTACAAATTCCAATGATTGCCTGACATTTGTAGACTTTAACCCATCAATAGCAGCAGAACTTCCTCTCAAATTTATCACCTACAAATGACATTATTTTAATGATCAAGCAAACGAAAATATTTGTGCAATTGTTTATTTATTGTGTTACTTACTTGTTTTACTTTTGTTTTCCTTATTTACTTTAATATGAAAACTGCAACTGTTTGTCATGTATTTATTCTATTTTTATTCCCAAGACCTACTTGAAAATAAAAACAAAATATAATCGAAATTGATTATGTTTTGTTTTGTTTTATGAATATGATCAACATAAACAAATCAAATAACCACAAATGTAGTATTTGCAAATATATTATAATTTAATCAAATTTCAATTCATACTTACCATTAATACTATAAAACAGTGTAATTTTTAATTCTTAAGTAATGTTTTTTATTGTATGTAATAAGTGATGATTTCCTGATTGCCGAAATGTAGTTTAAATCACTTAAATCCTTTGAAGATGTGTAGTGTACACTAATTATCTAAAAAAATAAATCATCAAGTAACTCACCTCGATTGTTTAATATTCATGAACGTGTATATTCTTTGAGATAAGTGTAGACATCTTATCAATCAAAGTAAATACAGCGATTAATAAACTTACCTGAATTGTCTAATGCTTACGGAATAAACAAATAATAATTGAAATCGAATAAAATAGTAAATGATTTATTGAGTAGAAAAAAAAAGTATGAACCAAACTTAATGTGTCTGTCTGGCTGTGTGTGGGAGGGAGGGGATAAGTTGCTATCGTTAAAACTTAACTAAGTATATTTGCTTTGAGTGTTTGTCATATCTTTCTCTCCGTCTAATAAAGCCGATCGAACCGAACATAATGAACAAACAAACAATATAATATATATTTATATCATGCGTGTTTGGGGGGAATCAATCAAATTTGCGCAGGTAATTTCCAATAATTGTAGTTATTAAGTACGGTTCGTCTCTTAGATCAGCGGTCCCCAACCTTTTTGACCTCACGGACCACTAAAGTATTTACATTGGGCCTTTTATAAAGACGCAACTTAATAATGGAAAAATTGCAAAAAAAAATGGATTTAGAATATAAAATGGGAAAAAAAATATGTTTTTTGGTCCGATACATTTTCATCTGCGGTTGGGGACCACTGTCTTAAATCATCATTCTCTTAAAATGGATATACAAAAAAATCGGTTCGGTGTGCAGAGAATTGCGTCTCTTCGCCAGAAATTGCTGTTGGGTTGGTTGGATCGGGATGCTCAGAAGTAGCAGTGCCTGTTCGCAATGTGCGCTTTCAAATTGGGCTTCGTCTTCGATCTGTAAGTGCATCCATAGTAAGTGCATATAAATTTCGGCTCCTTTCCGCACTCGAACTTTTTGTGCCGTCGCAGCGAGCTCTGCGCCTTGTATCTTCTGTTGCATTTGTCGCAGGAGTACAGTTTATCTGAAAACATACGGTTCGATTAAATTCCATCGCACTTTTCGCACAACGACAATCAATAAAAAAAAAATTATAAACATTTTTCTTTGCAAACTAAGTATCTAGTTATGATTATTGTATTATACAAGTTTTATTATTATTAATTATTATTAATATGATTAATATATTAATATTAGAGAAGAGTGGTCTTTCGGCCGGTAAGAACGTACTTGGTGGTGGTGGTTTCGATTTGTACACAAACATGTTAATAAATAAAGAAATAAATAAATAAAAAAATAAACCAGATTCTCGTTCGTGTTATTCGCACACTCTGTATTTACATAATATTTATATTTGTCTGACTCTCTCCACTTGACGACTATATATGTATATATTAACAGTTCGTAGATTATAAACAACACTCCATTATTTTATTTTTTCTCGAATATTCGACTAATGATTATTCGTTAACTAGATCTAGTAAATGAATCAACATTCTCTTTGACAGTTTCAAAAAAATCTAAACTAAATAACAACTAAAAAGAAAAACAATATTAAAGACAAATAATAGAAAAAAAACACACCGCATTATAACAACACTCTAGGTTTTCAAGTCGACTGAAACGAGCGATTATCACAATTCTGATACATTATTAATTAGTTTTTTTTTAGTAAATTTCCTTTTTGGCTCAATAATTCGGACAAAATTGCGAAAAAAAACCTCTAAAATTGCTTAAGTATCATTAATTAAGTCTGTTCATTAAGCTTTTACTAATTCTTAATTAAATATAATCATAAATTCAGAGGTGACTCGACAAAAGGGTTCTTAGGTTACTAACAGCTGAGTTTTGTTTGTATTTTAAAAATACGTACAGATTCTCGTTATGGCACCAAATTCATAAATTGTTTCTTAATAATATTTGTATATGTATATAATAGATTGTACTATAACTTTGTATATAAATGTTATGAGCTTAAAAACAAAAATTGTATTTATTACTGAAATTATTTGATTTTTCCCTAAATAAAATATTCCACTTTTAACATTACTTGTTAATTGACACTTCAAATTATGGTCAAATTAACCTAAATCTATGATACGTTGTCAGACTGACATTGACGTTGATGTCAATTGCAATCCGGTGTCCAATATTAACTATACAAAAACATGATATAATATAATAACTTGATTATTTAAATATTGCACATTGTATTTTCAATTGAGTTAAAACGTATGTAATTATATCTACGTTATTTTTTTTTATAACAGAATATAACCAAATATTGCAAATTCTATTTAATTGTTATTATTGTTTTATAAACAAAGCTATCTTGTTTGTTTTTTTTTTCAATAAATGTCCTTTCATAATTATTTTTTTCGATAAAAAAAGTAACAATTTTGTTTAACAAGAGAAATCTTAAAATAAATTTGTTTAAAAAAGTTCAAAAATTGAAAAATTAAATAAGATACGATCAGATAAACTATGTTTTTAAGCAATGATTTCAGTTCAACTTAATCATAATTATTGGATACTTCAATCCATTTTCTAATTTAAAAAAATTGTAAATTTACCTAACTTTATACCTTCTAGTTTTCTAAATTTGAACATTTTCAGTTCGAATTAATCATTGAAAATGTTCGTTTTCTAATTAAAAGAATTGTAAAATTGCCTAATTTTATTTATACCTTCCAGTTTTCTGAATTTGAATGGACACTTTAATCCATTTTCTATGAAAATTTTCCTAAATTTGTATCTTCTAAATTTCCGAATTTGTTCGAATTCAGTGATGATTTCAGTTCGAATTCATTGTTTTGAACTTTTGATAAAATCAAGTATATTAAAAGGATATTTTGTATTTGTTAAAAGAATGTATGTTCAAATCAGCATAATTTGTGGGTCATCAAGAATGTGAAAATCGTTCTCGTTAAAGTCGAATTGTTAAACCGAACTAAAACTCGTAAACAAACAAAAAAGAAGTTAAAACAGGAAAAGTAAAAGTAAAGATGAAGAGAAAACTAAAGAGTAGAAACTAAAATATGAAAAGGAAAAACACAATTATTAGTGTAAACGATAATAAACGTAATATAATGATAATTATTTTTTTTTATATGTTCGTTCTGTGTCCATCGTTTGCGTGTGTCTATCTAACTTTGGCTGCTCGGTCGACTGGCGATGAGTTTGATATGTTTGTTGGTGTCTTTGAGGAGGTCGGTGTGCCGTCGCATGTGCGATTTCATGTTGCACTTGATCTTCGACCTGTACTGGCATCCTTTGTAAGGACACGAGAACTGCGGTTCAACGCCGCACTCGTACTTCACGTGCCTGTAAAGACCTCCCTTGTACTTGTACTGCCTTCCGCATTGGGGGCACGCGAACCTCTGGTAACCTCCTATAAATGAGAAGCAGAAAAGAACCACCATTTAACACACGTCCGACTCAAACATCCCTGCTGTCTTTATAATTTATTTTTTATTTTTTTAGTAAACGTACAAACAAACAAAAGTATAAATAAAAACGTTTCTTCGTCCGCACAGAAGAAGAGATTAAAATTTAATAATAAGAAACACAAAATAAAACACAAACAAATTAATAAATACGTTAATATGTCTTTCGTTGCACAGTATTAAACAAAAACAAAACGATGGAATTATTCAGAACTTTTTCTTTTATTCACCCACCAATGAAAGCTATGAGTAACAATTATGAAATGGACCAAAAAATATTGATGAAACATTTCTTGGATGAAACTCTTAAGAAGAATAAAAAACTTACAAACCTGAAAGTTAAATACAATCAAGAAACCTTGATTAATAAAAAAACATTTTATAATAACCATGGTAATGCATTGATTGTCTTAAGGTAAGCGCAACTAATACTTGATACTTGACAAGTTACTTGCCATTTATCGCGTTGCATTTTAAGTTTTCATATTTCATGTCTTAATAACAAACATGATTGAATTTTGCCTGGAAATAACAACTCATTATCTGTAAAAAAAATAAAATTTCTCGAAATTAATCGAATTCCATAACAAATAGACTAGTTTTTAATTTTTTGTTGGGATTAGCCAAGATGTCAAATTTATGGAAACAAATATTAAACAAAAGTACATTTATATTTGTGCAAAATTCGACGGTGTAAACAATAATTCTCTTCACGAAAACCAAGTTTATCTTAATCTGATTCGAACATTTCGATTGTAGACGAAATAAATTTACTTTGACTATCCTGATTTTGATTACCTAAAAAATAGAAATAAATTAATACAAAATTTCATACACAACTGAAACGATAAGAAATACAAGGCAAAAATAAATAAGTAAATTATATGTAGATATTAAGAGAAAAACAAGTAAACTTTAGAACAAATAATTGTAGTTTTTTTTTCCAAACTTATTGTGACACTTCTTTTCCTTTTATAAAAATGAATAAAAGGAAAATCATGTAACAGTGGCCACGCGAAGAGTTAAAAGTAAATAGAGGAGAGGAAATGATTTATGTTGTTTTGCGTTTAAACAATTAGTTGATTCTGTTGTGTCTGCTCAGGTGTACCTTCATGTTGCTTTTCATATGGCATTTGTAGGTGTATCCGTGATGAATGCACGACCAACGACCTTTGAATCCACACTCATATCTAATATGCCTCACAAGATTGTACTTGTACCTATACCATCATCCGCACCGGTTACACATAAAGTCGTTTGAGCCTATAATTAAAAAAAATGTTAATTAATAATTGCAGTCACATGTAAGTATGATCAACCCTTCAACATTTAAACTAAAAACGAATAAACATTATAAAAGCACAATGTTTGTTGTCAAATAGAAAAATAGACTTTTCGTCTATAGTTGCTTTCGCAAAGAAAATCTTCGTACAAAAGTCTCAACGGTAGCCAAGTTCAATTCTCTTGTGAGAGATTTTGCATTGGTTTCAACATGAATGTTTCAATTCTAAAAGACTCAGGATAAAGATTAAACGTATTTCTTTTCATCACTAATTTAGTTAGAAACCTAAATTACCAAATTTGATTGTCGTTTCATAAATTCTAAGGAAACTGAATCAAATTTTATGCATTGAAAGACAGTTCATTTTACTACTCTATAGAACAGCGTTAATTTAAATAATATTTGTTACTCTAAAAAACAGAAAATTGAAAATAAAAATGAATTTTTTGTCTTCCATTCATATCAAAAAAATGTTATTATGTAATTTTGAATTTGATGAAGACAAAACCTGTAAACACAATATACTAATTATTAATATTTACCTAGAATTTTCATTACAACCTTTTCATACCTTCAACAACAACAAATATTTCTATTTTTGTTATAATTCACCTTTTTTATAAACCATTTCTATGAAGAAAATTGATTCTTATTGGTTAAAGATAGCAATACCTAGCATAGTACGGCTTCGATTAGAGCGGATTCGTTATTACCTAGTTTGAGAATTTCAAAACAAACAAAAATTTTCCTTATTTTCTATTCAATTACATTTTTTAATAATACATAAATGATACGTTTTTAAGACCTACAGTCAATAGCCCTTTGCAGCAGTTGGCTTGATACTGTTTATTTTTATATAGTGTTAAAGTCCTCGATTAGTCCGGTTGCAAACAGTGCGGGACATCAATTACCCGCACTATACGAGGTATTGATTTATATAAATCAAGATTAAATCGTTGTTTGACGATCTCAAAAAAAAATATAATTGCGTTTCCCAACATCACTTACTTTTCTTCTTAATCAATGAAAACTCCTGAAAATTGAATCTATCTACGAAATAAGTCGTGTAAGTTTGTCCTTTTGTTACATTTAGTTTTATCTCTATATCTTTTGCAGTTTTATTAGTTACAAGCTTTCACTTTGGCATTATTACAAGAATTCATAGTTATTCAGCGAGTTGTGCTTGTTGAGGATGTGCTTGAAGACGGTGCCCTTCTGTTTACCTCTGTAGTTGCAATTGTCCATCGGACATGCAAACATCGGCAGCCTCTGACACTCAAACTTTTTGTGCCTCCACAGCGAGCGACGCGCTTTGTACCGACGGAAACACACGTCGCAACAGAACAGTCTGTTGTCGTCTGGAAAAGAAAGAGAAAAAAATACGATAAAGTCAAAACTGTTTCCAGTTTTCTAAATTATTTGTTTGTTGAAACTACTTCATCCACATTCATTTTAATTCGTTTTATTATCGTGACTTTGCTTTGCTACTACACTTTTTTCTAACAAACAAAAAAAAAACAAACAAACAAAATAATAACAATGAAACAAACAAAAAACTTATTTCGTAATTGACTTCAGTTGGTAGTGACGTAATTCCGGTAGTGCTTGTTCAAAGTGTGCGCCTTCAGATGGACTTTCTGCTTGCACTTGTACGAACATCCGGGAGCGGTGCAAGAGTATTTCGGATCTTTGCCGCACTCGTTGTTCCTGTGCTTCGACAAGTTCCTCTTGTACTTGAACATTCGACCGCACTCGCAGCTGAACTGCTTCGGATGGTTGAGCCTCGAATAACCTAGAACAGACCAACAGAACGAATTCGAATTAACACGTGCAGTGACACCAAAATAAAGACAATGCAATAATACTTAGACTTTGCCTAAGAAATAAAAATTGGAACATAAAACTTTCAGCGTTCATCAAACTTTTTTTTTGACTGCTTCAATTTGACACAAGGTGACAGCTGTCATTTCGTGACATTTGACAAGGCCCGAGAAAAGCTGTTCAAGATGCACAAACTCACACAAAAAGGTGTATAAATTTAAAAAAAAAAAGAACACAGTGTTGAGTTTATTTCTCAATTTATGAACGTGTCGGTTGTTTTTTTTTGCAATTTGTCAAAAAAAAAAATAATGAAAAAAAAAAAGAAAATCTCGTATTACTATTGTTTTTTAATTAATTATTTTTGTTGTTGTATTGTTTCAAAAGTTCATTTCGATGTAGGCCTTCTCGTGTCGATTGGTGTGACTGCGGAGCGCCGATTTCCACTTGGTTTTGTAATCGCATCCGGGAATCGGGCAGAAAAACCTCGGTGCCTTTCCGCACTCTTTGTTCCTGTGCGTCGTCCTGTTCCTTTGGTATTTGAACCTTCTTCCGCACAGATCGCACACGTACGGCTTGAAACCTACAAAACAACAGGAGAACATCACAAGCATTAGTACGAGTTCACGCATCTCAGACAAACATTAACAAAAAAAAAAGAAAATAAAACAAGAAGTATTTGTAAAGACTACGGAAATCGTCGACAGCGAAAGAAAATCAAAAAAAAAAGAATGATTTGAAGAGCTCTAACTAAAACGAAAGATAAACACTTTTTTTTTTCTTTCACGTTCGCAAAAACCCAATCATCTGAAAGATCGCGCACAGCTTAGCTTACACAACTTTCTTCACAACGTTCGGAGGTTTCAAAATTATTGTTTTTTTGGTTCACAATTTTATTGATTTATCGAATACAATTTTATTTGCGAAGAATCAATTTACTTTTCGTATACATGGTAAATTCGGACAAGTTTCTTTCACATCGAATAACAGGACCAAAAAATAAAACTCTTTCAAATACAAAAGAAAGTAAACATAACTTTTTTTTGGATCAAACATTAATAACTAAATACTAACAACTAAAACATGTTATCAATAATAATTAAAAATTCACTAAAAACTACATAAAACAATTATATTTCGATATATATATTACAATATAAAAAAAAATCTAAATCTAAAAAAGGTATTCTTTGGATTTAATAAACGAATGAATTGAAGCAGTCATCTCAATCGTAATGAAACAAGTAATAAAAACTCGTATAGCGCGGGTAATCGGTGTCATTGTAAAACCGGACTAATCGAGGACTTTGAAACAGCATGCAAATTTTATTTCACTATAGTGAATCCGCACTGATCGAACCCGCACTATGCGAGCTTTTTTCTGCATTAACAGAATTTTGTTCATTTTTCTTGAAATGACCAACTCCAACTATATAATAACACACTAAACTTAATGCCCTGGAATCGAAAAAAGTTTCCTACAAAACTATCAACACTAATTAATTGCGTACATATAATATATTAAGTGTATATATTTTCTTTCTTTAAAAAAAAACAACATTTAGTTCACTTTTTTTGTTTCATTCTGCATACAATTGTAATCTTAATCCACTATAATTCATATATTTTTATATATTAAATACACTCATTAATTAGATAGAATTAGAAAATAAAATTCGAGTTTCATCAACTGATTATTATAATTACCCAAATTAAAATCAGTTATAATTAAACTAAATTGTATAGCCTGCATTTACATTCAGTTTCATTTATGAGCATTTCTTTTAAAACATTTCAACATTTTCATTATAAAACAACACTTATTATGTGTATATATACTTTGACTATACGATTATAATAATAGTAGTTTTTCACTTTCATCTTAAATACATATTTTTTTTTCTTTATAAAACCCAAAACCAGGCTCAAAAAATAATAGTTATATATTCTTTTTTTCATATAAATTTTCTTAACCTTAATATAGATTATTCCATTAAAAAATACAATATATATTTATATTTGGTTTTCCTCTCATACGTTTCTCTTTTTCTTTAAAATTTAAAAAAAAAGTTTATTTTTCCAAATTGTTTCAAAAAAATAATACTTTTTTATAATGCGATAATCTCTGTACCAACATTTAAATATATATATATAATTATTTTGTTCTTCATAAAGTGACATTGGTACGATAATTCAGATTATCTTTTGTTTTTTTTTTTGTAAAAGTCACATTTAAAAATTTATTTATTTCTCTTCTTAATGCTACTACTAACACGTATATAAATTCATTTTGATTATACATATATATATTTGTAAATAGACACTTTTTTCTCGTTATTATTTTTTTTTATTCTTAATATTGAAAGACTCGAACTGGGGGATAATTCCGAGCGGACGTTTATAAAGACACATAAATTCATTTGTTTTTTTTTTGTTGCATGGTATGTCGATTCTAAAATTTACATTACAGCTGCACAATTGACGTAGATTTTTGCGTGGACCAAAAAGAGTCCATCAATTTCAATCTTTTATATAATAACTATCATCTCAATCTGTATACGTTTTTTTCTTAAATAAATCATAAAAAAAATAGATTGAAATTTATTGAATTCGATTAGATGATAGTTAATGATTGAATCAAATAATTTAAACTTTGTTGAAACAAACATATTTCGACCAAAATTAGAATATATCTAATGGACTCGCGTTTCAGATTATTTTTTCTCATAATGTTCTTAAATGCTTGAAATACTCCAATGTTTCATACACATAGGATAACAGATATATTAAACACAAAAAGATTATTGTTATTACATTTACGAAGACAAATCCCAAGTTTTTCCAAGTGTTAGTAATTGTTTCAGATTTCAGAATTCGCTTTATGATAAATAGACAGCAAACAACTGCATGCAAACATACGACGATTCTTAAATAAGTTTCGCAACTATATCCGATAGTTATTTTAGTATAGACAGAGAGAATAGTTAACCCTTTGAAGGGCCAGAAATTCCTCAATTGGGGCCAGGCAACTTCGTCATAAACATCATTTACTGCCCTATCAAATTCATCCCATTCCTGGACATTTTCTAGAAAATGTCCCACAATGTATGTTCAAAAGGTGGGACAATGCGTGTCCCACCGCCTCTCAAAGAGTTAAAACACACAATTATTTGACTTTCCTGAAGCTAAAACACCGACACAGATTATTACATTAAAACACGTTAAAATATTAATAAAACACATATATAAGTATACATATAAGATGAGTTTTCTACAAACTATGGATTATTTTGAACTGTAAAATTAGTGATAAAGCTCGTCGTTTTGTATCTTTTTCGTAATAACCTTTGAATTATATTAATTGATCGTTGAAGTTTTTGCTGAAGCTTAACATTGGCAAAGTAATCTTGTTGCGCAATATGCACTAAATAATATTCGATTAATACTGTAATGAAACTGGAGATTATTTCCTTTAGAAATGAAATAATTAAAAGGTACCGAGAAATGAGATAATTAAGAGCTACAGAGGACTAGAAACAGGTTACAGCAGCGTTTCTCAACCCACGAGTCGTGTCAGTTGTTTTAATGGGTCACAAAATGACAGCTGTCAAAGTATTTTTTTGACAATTTTATGTTACAAACACAAGATTACAGATTTATTTGCGGTGCTTGCGAATGGTGGCCGAGGAGAAATTGTGCGCGAGACTCAAATGATCGTGGAAGTCGCTCTCGTCTGTCGACTTGAACGTGCAATTGCCGTACTCGCAAATGAACACGTTCTCTGTCTTGCAATTGTACCTGCAGTGGTACTTGAAGTTCACCAAGTACTTGTACTTCCTGTTGCAGACGTTGCAAACGTACAGAGCGCCGACAACGCGGTAGCCTAAAAACAAAAGAAAGACAGAAAGCCAAATGAGAAACGGAGTGAGTGTGCGCGCGAAAGACACCGGCAAGTCGAAAAGGACATCATAAAAAAAAACAGAGAGACAACAATAACACACAGACAGACAGCAAGACAAACATTTAGAACATTTACGAGATGCAATTTTTACAAAAAAAAAAAAGGAAAAACAAACTCGGCGCTGCTTCTTTATTATTTAAAATTAAATGATTATTATCAGTGATTCTCTGAAACTTTTCAGTCCATTTCGAAAATATATTAATCCCTCCGTTCCAAACTAAGTGTCCAATTTTATGAAAAAATATGCAAACGTGTATTTTCATACAACTAAACTATAACATAAAATGGAAAACATTTGAAAATTAACAGTTATTAGTAACATTTAATAAATTAGTAACCATAAACGATCAAGTAGCACGTCAAGGCTACTTGAGGATTCGGAACAAACTACCTTGTTTAACAATGTTACCAAACAAACGCAGTTTGTCATTGCTCATGTGAGAGGAATCTTGTAATCGTTGAAATCCTTTATGAAGCATGGTCAATTATACTTTTTTGCCGTAATAATTAACCTTAAAATAAATTGTCAGCGGGTAAAAAACAAACTAACAATTGTTACAAAAAGTTTACCTGTTTACTATTTTGACAAATGTCAAAGTTCAAGCGGCCACTAGATTCACTTTTTCCATGCTAAAATAACTACTGATACATTTGACACTATTTCAATAATCCATTAAAAGAAAAACTAAAATCGGACACTTATTTTGGAACGGAGGGCGTTTTAATTAACTAATTTTCTTTGTTAAGGTTTATAAGAATATCGAAAGATTGGATTGTCAATTTGTCGTCCAATCAATCTTCCGGTTTTTTTTTTTATTTTATTGCAGATTGACGTTGGTGCATTTGTGCTTCTTGACCAAATGCGATTTGAAGTTGCCCTTGAGTTTCGTCCTGTAGCTGCAGCCCTCCATTTGGCAGATGTACTTGGGCTCCTTGCCGCACTCGTGCTTTTGATGGAACTTCAGCGATTGCACGTGCTTGTACCTCCGGTTACACACGTTGCACACGTTCGTGTAACACTCCGAGGAGATCTTCATGAAGCCGTCCACGTAAATGTAGCCTAAAACATTCAAAGGATTATTTCAATACAGGTTGCTAGGCGATGGAATTAAAGTTAATAGAATCCAAGTGTGCAAATGTGTGTATATTTTTTTTTGTTTTGTTTTGTTTCGTTTCTTTCGGGAAGGATGAATCAGTTTGGGGGATTTGGGAGAAAATAAAAGCTTTTGTAATCGATCGAAAAAAAATCATAAGTAAATTCATTTATCCATGTGTATTCGGTGTACATGTAGCTTAAGATTGTAAACGCGATGCGAGGCGTACGGACAGTAGGGACATCGCTTGTTGGGTACTTGGAAGCACTCGTTGTTCATGTGATGGTTCAAGTAGCTCTTCGACTTGTACCTCTTGCCGCATTTGCTACAGCGAAACGAGTTCTTCTCGCCGAAGCCTAAAAAACAAGAAACAAAAAAAAAACGACAATCCATGTAGACTGATCGATATTGATTATGATGATTGCGGGATTGCGAAATGAAAGCATTTTGTTTGTTTTTTGATATTATTTTTTCTCTCCTTTTGTTTTAGCTTTTGTTTTCACTAATTGCGTCATTTAATGATTAAATAATATATATAACAGGTAGAGAGGTGCGTGCTTCTCTGTATCTAAATGATATATTTCAGTTGTGTGCATTAGAAGTAGGTGGTGCGACGCGTGAGGCGCGGCAGCTCGACTTCGACGTGATGCTTCCGGAAGATGTGATCCTTGAGGCTGTTCTTCCGGTACGTGGCGAAAGGACAGTAAGGGCACTGTCTGCTCGGCTCCTGGCCGCACTCGCGCGTGTAGTGCCTGCTCAGGTTGTTCTTCTTGGTGAACACTTTCATGCACCTCGGACACTGAAACCCTACAAAACACAAATCAAACCCGGTTAGAACTTCGCAGCTCGATTTAGACGGGTTTTATTTTGCGCGCGGGGGGGCGTTTGCACGTTTTCACTTATATTTTTTTTAAATAATAATAGTAATATCATATAGAGTTAAAACAGAAGCAAAATTCTTATCATATAACAAAGTCAATTAACTAATATCACACACTAAGTTTATTCCCACTCTAAGACTTTGTGGGCTCGGAAGACATGCGACTTAAGATGCGTCTTCTGGCGACACCTCTTCATGCAGTAGGGACACGGGAATCTCGGCTCCACGCCGCACTCCAACACGTGGTGCCGCTTTAGAGAGTACTTGCTCTTGTACACCTTGGAGCAGCTCAGGCACTGGTGCACATCTGGAAAACACAGGTTTACAATCAATTCGCAGTGCAGGACAAACTTGCAACGGGACACCAGCATTTCATTTCTCAGATGTACAACAGACACGTACAATCAACAATAACAACAAACAATACAAATATTGTATTACAAATGTTATCAAAAAGTCACAGTTCAATTACGATCAAACAAATCGCAACAAAATTATATTTCAAATGTTATTATAACATTTGTGATTAAAGAAATCACAATAAAACTAACTTTGATATTAAATATTAAGAACGATTTTTATACCGAATAATATAAAATTATAGCAATAAAAATATTCACATTTTTACACTAGAATATGGAATAAAATAATATAATTATTCACATTTCTATATAGACTACTGTATGCAGAATAATATCAACACAAATCTTCATATTTTAATATAGTTACCATTCTTAGTATTCTTAATGTCCTATTCATAATCAAATGTATTGATTCAAATTTCATCTTTGAATAAAAAAAAATCAAGTTTTCAAACCAAATCTGAAACAGAGAAATTCATTAATCATCTTGTATTAACTAAAATAATCTTTACTTAACTGACTCTCAAAGATCATAACTTCGCATGTGTTAAAGTCATTTGATCAATGATTTTCCTAAAAAAAACACATTTCCCAATAAAAATTTATTTAAAATTACAGAAAATTTTCTTGTTATACTCACTTTCAATACAATTTTGAAAATCAAGTACATTTGAAGACAACACTTTACATGTAGATTATTCAGATAATTCATCTTAACTAAATTGTATTCAATACTGAAACTGAAAACTAGAAAACAAACTGCAAAAGCGTGAAAATGAAAAGACAAAATTGTTATTATTTTGAAATTTGGACATTCAACAGAATAATAAATGTAATTAAAGTTTTCTTCTCCTAAATATCAACGAATAACAAAAAATTATGTTAACAAATTTTTATTTTTTTTATACTTATTTTCGCAAATTATTAGTATGCTATTATTATTATTAACACAAACTATACACAAATATTTAAGGTAATGTTTCTGAGCACATATTTCATTCAGAAATTTATATTTTTTTTTTAACAAATTAGACAAAAAAAGTTATAGAAGATCTGAAATAAAAGCTATAAAAATTAAATAAGACTGTATAAGTTAAGAAAAAGTAAAACGCAGGGTTTTGAACGTAAGTTTTTATTAAAATTAAAGTATTTGTATATATTTGTCATATATATCTATATAGGTAATTACAATAATGATAATAATAACATATTAGTGTTTTTTTTTAATAGTTTTAAAATAAACTATAACTATGAGTGTTTTTAAACAAACAAATATAATAAATTATAAATATAAAAGAAGTGTGGTGCAGTTTGCTATATGTTCTGCGATTGGTGGTGGTTGTTGTTGTAGTTGTCTTTTGTTTAATATAGAAGAAAACAAATGTATGGTTGATTTTTTTTTAATATATATTCATTGCGCAATGTACGCAGCTTGCTTGTTTCGCTCATTCTGTTTACGTTTTGTTTTTATTGATAGAGATTATCGATGAGCTGGTACAAGTACCGCTGGTCGTGGCTGGTGTGTGTGAGAATGTGGGTTTTCAAGTTCGATTTCAGGTACGTTCTGAACGCGCAACTGGTAATCGGGCAATGGAACTTGGGCTCCTTGCCGCAGTACTTGGACTTGTGGCAGTTTTTCGAGTTTAGCTTTTTATAAATCTTGCCGCACTTTTCGCACGGATACACAACTTCTGTAACTGAAACAAGAAACACAACTAACTAACGTGAATAACAATAAATTCGTGATAAGATACTTGTAACGAAGTAGTAGTCGAATAATAATAATAATAATAATAAACAAAAAAAAAATGAGAAAAATCAAATAATAAGAAAAATCAAATAATAAAATTAACTAAACTAAAATCTAGGTCGAATTAATTAATTTAAAATAATAATAGTTAAAAAATAATAAACTATATTATTATATTAACAAGTAAGAGAAGTTGAACAAATCGAGTTAGTACGATACTATTGAAGAAACAAACAAAAAATACAAATAGAAATGTAAACGAAAAAAGAAGTAGTTCTTTTCTGATTTCTTCTATTGTTTTCGTAATGTATTGTTTTATTATTTTGTTTCTTTCTTGAGGTTATGCGAAATGACGAAGAGGTATTCGCGGGCGTAATTTTTGTGCACGAAAATGTGATTTTTCAGGTTGCTTTTCGTGTACGTTTTGTAAAGGCAATTCTCGATGGGGCACTTGAACCTTGGCTCCTTCCCGCAATAGTTCAGTTTGTGGTGGTTCAGCGAGTTTTTGTTCTTGTAGCCCTTGCCGCACACCGGGCAAAATATCGATTTCACGTGCCCTAAAAAAAACCATCGGAAAAAAAGCGAATTAGTACTTTAATCCAAATCTTCGGCCACACAGAGCAGTATAAAAAATATAATTATATAAAATAGTAGTAGTAGTAGTATTATTATTTATCGCTATTTAAAATCGGTTAAAATAAAGTAGATTTATTATTATTATTTTCTTATTGGATTTAACTAACGAATTGATCGTTAGGATCCGAATTTGTTTAGATCGTGATATGTATAATATTTACAGCGTTTTGCAGCAACAAAAATTATTTACAATGTAACGAAACGAATCGTTGAGAAAGTTGAAAGAGAAGAAATAAAAATTGAAAGTAGTTGTAGAAAGAAAAAGCTGAAGAGAGAAAATTTTGTTTTTTTTTTTTTGTTTGCTCGACCGGACAATGAAAAGAAGATTGCGTGTGTTGGTTTTATTTTGCAAAAAAAAACAAAATGGATAGAAAAAAAATTAAACAGTATCAAAACAAAAACAAAGAAAACAGTTAGGTTAGGTTAACTTCTTGACGGTCTCGTAGAGCAGAGGCATGGGAAACTCGCGGTGCGAGAAGATGTGCGTCTTCAGGTTGCCCTTCATGTACGTCCTGTAGCTGCAATTGATCATCGGGCATTGCCTTCGCGGCTCTTTGCCGCAGTACACGACCCGGTGTTTCCGCAACGCCGCCCAACTCATGTACACCTTTCCGCAATCGTTGCAATCGAACCTCTTGGAATTGTTGTGCGATTTTCGGTGATCTAAAACATACAACAATTAGAGAAAAGTCGAGGAAACATAATGAAATAAGTTATATTTTATTTATTAAAAAGAAAAACATTAAGGTGTTAGTCAAGTGTTTAATCAGAGGATTATTGTTGTTGTTGTTGTCGTTATTATTTCTTTAGTTTTGCATTAAGTTTATTTATTTATTTATTGGTAAATGTCAATGTTGGATGTCTTCGCGCGAAATGCGATTTCACTTGGTAGTGTCGTTTCGCCCTGTAAGGGCAAACGCTGCACGAGAACATCCCTTCCAGAAATCCGCATTCGAACTTTATGTGCCTGACAAGGGTCGCCTTCGCTCTGTACTTTCTTCCGCATTGGTAACAAGTAAACGCTGAAAAGAGAAGGGAACGAATTAATTTCGTTTACGCACTTATGCAAATTCAACTTATCTTCGTTTGATAATAAAAACTAATAACAAAAATGCATTGTAAAAAAAAACAAACACTTTGATTTTCATGTTTTCTTTGTAGAACATTCTTCGTTCTAAACAACAAATTCACAGTATTGAAGAAATCCACAACAACATTAAAAGAAACAATATATAACAAGATCAATATTTAAATGAAATTAAATGTTATACACTACGCGATACTTGACAAGTAACTCATCTCGTCGTACAAACTACTTGTAGATGCGCAAACGAAACAAGTACTTACAAGTAGTAACACAAATTATCGATTGACTTATGCACATTTTAAGTAAAAAGTCTACAAAAATTTATGTTTTTTTTATTAAATCTAATTACATTAGAAGTAAGAAAGACTAAGGAAGGACAACGTCCGTTCTTAGTAATGATGAAAAGTAAAAGAGGAAGATAAGTTCTTGTGATGAACTTTTATAAGATTTCAAGAAGGAAAAATATTTTATCACGATGTACTTCTGAATGGAAAATTCCTACGAACTTTCTGTTCGAAATGTTTTCCACTTAACACCTGATCGAAAATATGTAAAATTCACACTAAATTAGTTAAGTAGTCAAGATAAACACAGGAAATTGATAAAATCGAAAACGTTCTCCAAATTTTACTAAACTATACTAAACCGGAGAAGGATTTAGTAAATAAAACTGTAAATCTAGTTGCAATGAATTGTAGTCCAAATAACATCAAAAATATACATAGTAAACTGTAAAAGAAATATGTCAAAAGGTTACACAAAAGTCTTTACCAACTGTAAAAGTTCAAAAACAGAATTAGTCACAGATTAGTAAAGGCGAATGTTGATTTAATTGTTAAATTATTAATTTCAATTTTTAAAACGCGCTTCTAAAACAGCAAATAAAGATGATTAAACATGATTTCAGAAAAAAAAGTATTTGGAAGCGTTTTTTTTTTGTATTTTGTAGATGAATTTCCTGCAAAAAAATGAAATTATGTATTGAAAATGTAGTAATTTTGTTACCGTCTGGATTTAAACTAAAATAAAAAGGCATAGAAAGTATTTTGTGATGAGTAAAGTTTCTACAATCTTTCGGTAAAATGTAAAGAGATTATACAAGTCTTTACCAATTATAAAAGTCTAAAAACTGAATTAGTCACAGATTAGTAAATGCGAAAGTTGTTTTAATTGTTAAATTATTAATTTCAATTATTAAAATACGCTTCTAAAACTGCAAATAAAGATGATTAAACATGATTTCAGAAAAAAAAGTATTTGGAAGCCTTTTTTTGTGTTTTGTAGTTGAATTTCCTGCAAAAAAAATGAAATTATGTATTGAAAATGTAGTAATTTTGTTACCAGAAGTGATTTTTAAGTTTATCAGCTGGATTAAAACTAAAATAAAACTTTATTCACTATTTAATTGCATCACAATGAAAACATCGAGAGAGAAAAAAAAAAATAATAAAAACCAACAAGAAACTACTAAGAAAAGAACTTCGTCGATCCAAAGGATATTAACAACAAAAAAACAAAATTTTAAAAAGATCGACGTCTTCTTCTAAACCTCATCATCATCATCATCGGAGGATGAGAGGGATGTTACGAGTGCGAGTGTCTAGCCTTGATGTGGGTCTTGAGCGTGAACTTGTGCTTGGTCACGTAATAGCAACTCGAAATCGGGCAGTGAAACTCCGGCGTCTTTCCGCACTCGTACTTCTGGTGTCTCCTCAGCGTCGCCAGAAAACGGTACCATTTCCCGCACTTGTTGCACTTGAAAGCGCGATCTACAACCGAACAGAAAAACAGACACGCATTTGTATTTGCTTAATAGAAAAAGGAACATCGGTTCGATCACGCAAACATGTTTATGGTTTGTGTGTCTCGTAAAATATTTTCTTTTTTTTATGATTTTCAAATTTTGTAAATATCAATTTCGTGTTAAAAGCGTGTTAAAATTTAAAAAAAAAATATATAGAGAAAGAGAAACATAAAAAAAATTAATAGATGATGATACAGAAATGATGAGAAATGGATCGTCCAATAGTAATTAACATCGAGAATCGTAGTCTCTTTGGTTTTTTCACGTTCGTTTTATTGTAACTTTCAACAAGTATAAAACAAGCAAATAATAACAGAATTCTCGATCAAAAAATAATCAAATAATAATAATATCCTCTTCGGTAAATAAAAAAAAGTAAAGTAATAACTATAATAGACAGCAACATCAACAACTGTTTAAAGAGTCGGAGGGTAAATAAAGGAACATTCTTCAGTTTTTCTTTCAATTTCTTTTTCTTTTGGTGATTTGGTAAGGTTTAGGTTGTTACAATCTTCCAAATCTTGTCGGTTTTTTTTTTTGTGTTTGTGTATTTATTTGTAGGGTGTGTCGGGTTTCGTCATGATGACGCCGTGCTTTGCGATCATGTGATTTCTCAGGGTGAACTTGTACTTGGACTTGTAACTGCAGTTGCCCACTTTGCAGGAGTACTCGGGAGCCTTCCCGCACTCGTACCTCTGATGGCGCTTCAGCGTGGCACCACCGCGGTACACTTTGCCGCACTGGATGCAGGCGAAAGCGTTCGAAAATTGGGGCATATCTAAAAATAGAGAACAGAACGACTGTGGAAACGGTGCTTACACCCCAACAATTAAAAAGAAACAAACGAAAAAGAAAAAAAAAAAGAGAAAACTAAAATTTGAGACGATCTCGCGACGCTCACAATGTAAATATCATCGGAACTCAAGTACAGGACAGTCTCAATAAGTACTCTCAACGGACGGACAAATAAAAAAGAGAAATAAAAAACAAACAACTTCGATTAGTAAACACAGAAACTAAACACAACACGTAAGTAAACTAGGGCAGCTTTTGCACTCAATCGCTTTAAACTCAATCGATCTTCGAATGAATGAATACGTACCAACATATTTTGATAAACCTAAAAAAAAATGAATTATCTTTAGTAATAATGTCTACACGATGCGAAAACTCGTTATTAAAACCTTTGACACTAAAGCATACAAAATCATTTAAAGTATTTAATCCCTTTAGTGGTTATGACGTATATATTCGTCATGGTCTAAATCACTTATGACGTATATATTCGTCATGGTCTAATCGCTTATGACGTATATATTCGTCATAGTCTCTTCGCTTATGACGAACATATTCGCATCATGATACTAGTGATAAAATACAAGCCACTTCATAGGACATCAAACCGCTTAAGGGTTAATTCAACAAGGTACCACTTGTCAAGTGCTGCGTACCTTTTACAATATATCTTGACTCAAAGAGCAACAGACACCAAAATAATATCGCATTACTTGTACATGAATTGCGAGGCAACAACTAGGCATCTTCATAATATCAACAAGTACTTGTGCAAGTTACGATATTTATACAGGAAATGCGCAAAACTCTACACTTATCTTTTACAAATACTTGCCCAAGTTGTCAAAATTCATATCATTGCCTTTTTTCCTAAAATTCGATAAATTCGTTTCTATATTATATTAGGAATTACAAATTTAAAATCTTTAAATATAAAATTAAAAGAAAACTAAAGTATTTGTTATTAATATAGAGTATTTTTCGAACAATAAACATGTTTTCCACCTAAAAATTGTTTTACATATTTGAAAACTTAAAAAGTAAACTTAATACTTCAGATATCTTCAAAACAACTAAACTTATATAATCCAGAAGACGTTTTTATTTTCTTGGCCAAGACTCAACGCACGTAGCTTCAGTCAGCAAAAATAAAGACTTTAATTCGTCCTTGCATAAAACGTTGACTGCGACGCGAGTTAAATACAATTCGCATCTACTGTAGACTTTGACTCCGCGCGAGTTTTGTATGATTCCACTGTAGATTTCACAACAATATGCTAAAACATATGTAGGGAAACAGATACGTCCTCAGAGACAATTTGACATATTTAGCGCATCATTATAAACTGTCACTCCTATAATACAAAAAAATAACATTTTGTCAGTAGTGTTTTTATTTAAACGATTAGAAACAAACCAAATGTTCACCAAATAATAGTAGTTTGAACTAATATTTTAATTAAGTTTTAACATTTGAAATGTTTGACGAAAAAGCACTCGACGCAGTAATAAGAATTACATTTTTTGCATTTGTACGCACTTTGCTTACACCTGGATGTCGCAAAGATACGTCCGCGTTCGTTCTTTAGATTCACGTAACAAACGACGCATCTTCGTCGAGCAGACCCCATATTTTGAAGAGTGCATTCTTCCGTAGCATTTCCATCGGCATGCAACAATTTGCGATCGCCTAAAAAAAAACAAAGTTTATTAATATTAATAGTAGCAACGAGACGTGAAGATGATTCAATAGCAAAAAAAAATAAATAAGACCCGGATCGCTTCTAGAATTTCCATTTATTAATTATAATAAATAACAACAAAAAAAAATAACGCTATTAATAAGAAAAAAAAATACTATTAAATACGTTTCTTTGTTTCAATGTATTCTTCTTGTAATAACTCTGCTGGAAAATAAACAAGAGCAATTGCATTACTATAGAAACAAACTATAGTATTTTCTCTTTCTACAGCTCAACTCAATCGTATGTATAGATTGAACGAAAACCTGGTTTCGAAAAATTAATGTAATTTACATGAGTTTATGTTGTTTCTTTAGCTATAGAATTGCAGGTAACATCATCGGTTTAGGGCTGACGAGTTTCGTGTTGTGCCTGTGGATCATGTGCGATCTCAGCGAGTCTTTTCGTTTGGCCTTGTAAGGGCACATGATGCAAAAAAACTTCGGATCCTGTCCGCACTCAAACCGCCTGTGGTTATACAAAGATTGATAGTGACGGTAGACCTTGCCACAGACGCACTGATACTTCTCTAGAAGCAGACAAAGCACACAAAACGAATGCAATTAGTTACTTTATTCACCTTCTCCATTTCGACGACAACAATAATAATCATATAACAAAAATAACAGTCAAAAGTGATGAGATAAATGATAATAATAGTATATTAATTGTCAAGATAGTTTCAATTGTATAAATAAAGAGATATTTGAGAAAAGTTAAAAATTAAGATTCAAAGATTGGATGTGTTTTTCTTTGTGTATGTTTGTATGTGCGAACGATCGTTTCATTATTTTCTTTTTTTTTTAATTATTTACAACTTAATTCCTGGCAGGGACCAGCTGATGTTGGTGCATCTTGATCATGTGGTTCTTCAGCGTCGAGTTGTACTTGGTCTTGAAGCTGCACAGGCGGCAGAACACGCGCGGCGACTTTCCGCACTCGTACTTCTGGTGCCTGTTCAACGAGTAATAGGTCTTGTAACTTTTTCCGCACTGCACGCAAACGGGACGACCTAAAAGCACGGCAATTCATTAATACTTGATTCCATCAACGAACTGTTAATCAAATACGTTGCGGTACAAACAATACAGGATCTGGATGAAGATGGAGAGCTCCGAGAACGATTAGATAACTTTCTTCGTTGCAAAACAATAAACACTCGCATGCAGTGGAAGAAGTGAATCGAGGAAGCAATAACGCTTGCATTTTGGGAGCAGAAGTCCGCTTATCGACATTTTACAGTACATTATTAGTTGCCTCTACAAGCTACTTGCAAACGTCTATTAGCGAGTACATGCTTCGTTCCTAGTAGTAATCGTATAGTACACATTAAAAGTACAGTTTCAATACACATTTTCTAATCTCAAAGAGTTGATGTTGACTATTAGGAATAATTAACTATACCTCTTAATAAAGCTACTTACTTGTAAATTTCAAGAAATAATATTCGAATAAATAACACTAAACACAACAATTAATATACTATTATTGAAAAACTACTCAAAAAATCATTATAATGTACACTAAAACTAACATCTAGATAATTATTAATTCTTGAAGTATTATTACTAAATAGATTAAAGCTAATGTTTAAAAGATACGAAAAAAATTAAAAGTAAATCACAAATTTCTGTGTAAAATTTCCTGTAAAATCTATTTTTTTGTCGTAGATATAGAAATTATACATTTGCGTCGTCACGTGTGCTGCAGACTAATTTCAAGAAGTGCGAGTGCAACAATATAACTATTATTAATATTCAAGTTAAAGAAATGAATACGCAATTAAAATCTTCTCAAACGATGGACCTGAAACTAAACTTTGATTAATACAAAATGATAGACACAATAAAATTACTTACAAATGGAAAGAAACATCTTCTCAAACTTTAGTTTTATCCTGAAACAAACTGAATTAGTCAACTAACAATATTTTTTAAATTTTTTTTTTGTTTCTTTCAGTTTTATTTCCAAATAAAAAACATGATTCTCATAATTTCTGTTGATTCTTCGTTATTTTTACATATTCACAATTATTATACAAAACGTACAAATCTTTTGATTTTATTTTTTTTAAGAGCGCTGACACAAGGACATAAACAATAATAATAATAATAATGCGAATTATTCAATTGAAATGTGATTTAATAAACTGAGAAAATATTAAAACAATAAAAACAAAACGAGACATAACAAATTCCCCCCCAAAAAAAAATAGTAATAATAATAGAATTGATTAAATAGAAAGTGTAGAATCTTAACGCGAAAATGATTTGAAGATGAGGTAAACAATGATATCGGGAATTAAACTAATTTTCTTTGATTATTGTAATTACTTTCGTAATTAGAGGAAAATCATGCTAAAACTACATTTTTTTTTCTGTTAATTTCGTATAGATAGTTTCCTTGTTATTCTTGGAATAAGGATGATCTGTCCAAATCGTTTTCCATTTGAAAACCCCGTCCGACTTTGGTGGCTGCTTGCGATCCATGTACAAAAATATATATTTATATACATTTACATATATGTAGAAAGGGTAAAGTAATCTAAATTAATGCTAAAGGTTTCGTTTCGAATATGAAGAATTACGAGAAGTGTTATTCTCAAATGTACTCCGACTTGACGAATTCGGTCTTGAGGGCCTGCTGCATCATGTACGGTCTCCAGTGGCTCCTGGTGTGCACGGCCAGGTTGTCTTTCCGCTTGCATTTGTACGAACATCCAGGCATAGTGCACATGAACGTGGCCTCCTTGCCACATTCGTACTTCTGGTGGCGGTTCAGCGAATGCATGTACTTATATCTCTTTTTGCACCTCTCGCACACGAAAAACGTTAGGAAGTCAAGGCCTAAAAACGAAAGAAAGAGAAAAGACTTAAATTAAAACCAAAAACAAACACAAAACTAAATAAATTAACAAAAAAATAATAGATTTAGACGAATCGCAACGAAAGGCGGGTGATCAACGAAGATGATGATGAAGGAAGATAGAGACAGAGGTGAAAAGCGAAAAAACTATAGTTAACAGAGTGATGAAACGATTGGACTGAGGTAAAGTAAATTTGTTTTGCAGCCGCTTTTTGCTTGATTTGCTTGCTTATTTTCTTGCGATTTATTCAATTTATTGTTGTTTGTTGATCCGCTCGTGCATCTTGAAGATGTGCTTTCTGAGATTGTCCTTCCTCTTTGCTCTGTAGCTGCAGCTCTCGACGATGCAACTGAAAGTCCTGTCCTTTCCGCACTCGTAAGTCCTGTGCTTAGACAGAGACGAAGAGTGCTTGTAACACCTGAAACACTCCGGACACTGATACCCCTTCAAACCTACAAAAAGAAAGAGCAAAATGAGAAAGCGAAGAACGGAAGAACTAAAGCGGAGCTATGAAAGAGAGAGAGAGAGAATCAAACGAGAAAACCAAACCATAATAAATAGTAATGCTCGAACCAGTAACAATTTGCTTTTTTTTTTATTATTATGTATCAACAAAAATTTTTTTGTACATCAAAGAAAATAACGTTCCTTCTGCGGTGCACTTACACCAAGAATCTTCTCGCTTCACAATCAGTCACTTATTCGTAGACGTTGGTCTTGTGGGCGTATCTGTAATGGGCGTTCAACGTGTACTTTTGGTAAAACCGTTTGTCGCAGTACAAACATCTGAACTTCCTCTCTTTCCCGCACTCGTACTGAATGTGGCTGTTCAGGTGCTTTTTATGCTTGTAGCTCTTGTTACACTTGTAACAATAATATCGCGTTACATATTTGAAACCTGCAACGAAAGAGGAGCACCGAATTAATAACAAATTTATTTAAAAAAAATATGTTTTTATCACTCGCGCAATTCGCAACGGACTGTAAAATAAGACGGCACACATGTATGACGACCAAAACAAAATATAAACATGTTTTCACCCTCCCCGACACATCCACCAAATAAGAGAGAGAGAGACACAGGACATAAACAATATTCCAAGAAAACCAAAAAAAAAAAACAAACAGATTTCTGTTACAAAATATACATTAATTCAAAAAAAATCTGTTTGTTTTCTGCATTGTCTTCATTAAGTAGTACCCAAAAGCAGTAAGAAGGAACACGAGACGACAATTGAGACTAAAAAAGGAATAAAAATTAATATTTACAAAAGGGCTTTCAATAATTTCAATTTTATATCACTTTTACTTCCTCTATATGTAAATATAAAAAAACTTGTTAAAAATTGCATTGTATACAGGTAATATAGTCGTAAAGCGAAGCAATTTTTCTTGCATTTACAAAAATATAGTTCATTTTCATTATTGGGATAAAATAATATACTGAAGAGGTTTTCATAATACAAATCCGCATTGGATTATCGTCGTTACACATTATGAAAAGAATCTTTATAAATTATTTACAATGTAGAAAATAGTGTTTTCTTCTTTAGTTCTCGTTTTGGTAACTAAATAAAGCTGATGACTTAATTTCATTTCTTTCGAAAATCACAGATGATAAATTCTCGTTGTTTATTTTGTTTTGTTTTTCAGGCTTGTTGCTGCTGGCTGCTACGTGGTATTGTGCTTCAGTCGCATGTGCTTTTTCAGAGTGTCGCGCCTCTTGCAGTTCGTCAGGCACAGAGGACATTTGAACTGCGGCTGCTTTCCGCACTCGTACTTGATGTGCCTTTTCACGGCCTTCATCGCCTTGTACACTCTTCCGCACAACCCACAACCTAAACCTACAAAAACACAAAACAATGATTAGGCAAACAAAATTGTATTGAATGTAGAAAAAAAGACAATTCGGCAATTTCACGACTTACACATTGTGTTCAAAACAGAAAAATTACCTTTTTTTAGTTTCAAACTTACACATTATTAAGTTTAAAAAGAAAACCTGTGTTTGGGTTAAAAAAAAAACATAATTAGATCTTGATACTTACCTTCGATTTGGTATTTGAGCATAGTAATAATTTCGTTTGATTAAAGTTTTTGCTTTTATTGATAAGGAATTTCGATTAGTTGTTGCGTGTTTAGCGGATGTAACATTTTGACGTGCGTCCTGTAAATGTCCTTCCTCTTGAATCTTCGATCGCAAATCGTGCAGACGAATCGCGCCTCCTGTCCGCACTCGTACCGCAAATGCCTGATCAAAGTCGTACGGTTCTTGTACGTCTTGCCGCAATTGTCGCAGGTGAAATGCGGATGCCCTGGAAATCATCGAGTTAATACAAACGGGTGATGAACAACGAAAACATAAAGAGTCTTAGACTATGCTCTCGAAGGGGAAGAAACATTGATGTACGCATAATTATATAGATATATTTGTTTTGTTGTCAATATAAATTAAGTTTTAAATAAGATCTGTCATGTAATTCGGATATTCCGGATGCATGGAGTGCATGCTCTTCACGTGATCCTTGTACTGGTCCTTCCGTTTGAACATCCTGTGACAGAAGGGGCACGAGAACTTTGGTAATTTGCCGCACACGTGATGCACGTGTCTGCTCAGCGAGCTCTGATTTTTGTAACATCTTTTACACCGCATGCACACATACTTTTTATTATTCGAATAAAACCAGCCTGAAAACATAAAGAAAAGAACAGAAGTAAGTCATCGGATTTTCGAGTGAAGCACCAAAGGAAAAGAACAAACAAAAAATAAGAGTAAACATAGTGAAACAATAAGATTTCGACGAAATATAAATGTAACATTTAAACTACGGTTTCCTAGCCTTCGTGTTTTACTACCGTCGAAAGGAAAAGAGGGAAGAAATTGTCATCGTCGAGCGTCGTTGGAATTGGGCTGAAAAGTGAGTGAAAAAAGAGTAATAAACGGGGGATAAATCTGAAAATATTGCGTTTCGTTAAACTTTAATCAAATAAATAACATAACATTCTTAGAATTAAAGAATCAATCAACATGTTCATATAATAATTATTATTATAAAGGGAAAAAACAATCAATTATGTGTGGATTCGAGTTAATTTGGTGGGAGATATGGTAACGAAGTCGAAGATGCGAAATGTTCAGTTTATCGTTTAGGTGAATGATGATGATGATGGTTTTGGGTATTTTCATCTGTGGGTTAGTAAGTGTCTGTTAAAGTTTCCTTTGCGAGTGGTCTGGTACCTGCATCCGGAGTGGCCGCAAGCGTAAACGCAAGGGTTCCCGCAATAGTACTTTCGGTGCACGTACAGAGAGTTCTTGTGCACGTACGAGGCATTGCAGGTCTCGCAGTAAAACAGACCTAAAACGAAAAGACCACTTCAGACAGATAAGACAGGTGGGCGACAACGCCGTGCAGACTATTCATTCAAATATAAATATTTATATATATAATATACACACGCATATATTGAAAGGCAAACAAAAGAAAAAAAAGTCTTGTGTGTTTGTTTGTTTGTATGAAGCACGTGGACGGAGGAAGGGTTGATTTGTGAGAAATGATTTTTTTTTGTTGTTGTTGTTGTTTTAAAGAACGGCATGCAAACACAAAGCTAACTATCATTTCTCCGGCTTGCTAACGTGGAGCGTGACGTGCTTCGAGAGGTTGTACTTCCTGGTGCTGCGATACGGACACCAAGGGCACGAGAACCTCGCCACCTTGCCGCAGTCGTATCGCTGATGGATGTACAGGCTCTTTTTCGATCCGTAGGTCTTCGAGCAGCGCTCGCAAAAGAAGCCTAAAAAACAACACGAATAAATGAAAATCGATATAACCGATCGGACCGCACACAAATATATTTAAATATATACAATAGATCATAGAGGTGGAAAGAAATAGAAAGATAGAAACGATATTAGTAAGCACACGCGCATCTCTTTTCTTTTTTTCTGGCGGGGATTTACAAATTGTTTTTGGTATCCGCAGGTTTATTGGTGTCTCAGAAATAATTGGTTACATTGTGGTGCGTGAGAAAGTGCCTCTTCATGTTGTGCTTCCTCTTCGAGGTGAAATTGCAGGAGGTCGCAGGACACCGGAATCCTTCGGCCACCTCGCAGTCGTACTTCTTGTGCATGTAAAAAGACTGGTAGCGCGCGTAGCTCTTCTTGCAGTAATCGCAAGTGAACACACCTAAAAAAAACAGAACCACTTTACACGAAGGCTCCCAAATTCAACGAGATTCATCCGAATTAAAAAAAAAAACACAAGTCTAATGAAACTGCAAAACTCGCAAACATCAAAGTTTATTGTGAACAAGTTTCGAATTTACTAAACGCCTTCGGCGTGCTTCGTGTAGTAGTGTTGCATCATGCTGCTCTTGTGCTTGAACCAATGCAGGCAGCACTCGCACTGGAACCTCGGCAGCTGCTGGCACTCGTACTTGATGTGCCTCCACAAGGACCTTTTAACCTTGTACGATCTCTTGCACTTGTCGCAATTGTACCTTATCCCCTGATCTAAAACACACATCCAACAACTTCTGTTTATCTATCGCAACTAATCGGGATATCTACAAAAACTATATAACAGAAAATAATAACAATAGAGAAAATACAAAAGCTTTGCGAAGCAGCGCCTAGAAATCAAAAATAATGAGACACAAATATATTGCGTAAAAAACAAACATTCATCATCCTTTTTTTTTTATTTATAGTTTTAAGTGTATATAATTCGTTTGTATTGTCAAAATGAATATAGTCGAAGTTATTTTAAAGGTGTATTTGGTTTATGTGTCGTCTGAGCGATTCGTTTCTGCCGAACTTCGAACTGCAAATTGGACACTGGAATTGCTTTTCCGTGAAGCACTCGAATCTCAAGTGCCTCTGCAACGTGTACTTCGATTTGTACAGCCTCGCACACTGTCCGCAGCGAAACTCTAAAAGATCAAAGAAAACGAAACATCACACACTAAACTACATGCGTTCGCGTCTTTGCTTATTTTACTCATTTATATATATATATGGATTTCGGTTTTTAGAAGAAGGAATTTTTAGTTATTATTCGTAGCATTTAAACAATACATTTCGTATACGCACTTGCTACACAACACAACATGCTATATAAGATAAATAAAATGTAACAAAGAGAAGACAAAACATAAGATTGAACAAGAAACTTATTGGAGCTTACAGAATTCGTCTATATTCTATATGAGTCTTCCTCAATGAAAAGTCAATTCGTTATTAAAGAAACAATAAAAAAAAAGACTGGTTATTTCACCCAAATATAATTTTGTGACATAACTAATCTAATACAGAGAAGCCATACAATAATAATGCACCCATTTAATTTCCTCGAATTGTCTTTAAAATCATCATTACATCATTTTTTAATGGTAATATTGAATGTAGTTTATTCGATAAATCAATTATTTCTAATCCATTATCTAAAGTTATCACAGTTAAAATTTTTAATTATTACTAATGGATATTCTCTTACTATTTCTATTTACAATAACTTTAAGAACTTTTATTCCTTCCAAATAAGTTCACCAATTATCATCACATTAGATAATATTTATAAATAAATCTCATTTATATTTACAAATCACGAAATAAATTATTTAAAACTTAACACGATTTTATGAAGAATGTCGAAAGATGCAAAAAAAAAATAAGTGAACAGAATGTTTTGGGTCATTCCTTTCCAAATTTTTTTTTTTTTAACACCTTTCTAATTCTATGCGAACTAACTTGATTTGTCGTTTAAATTCGATAAATATTGATTAGTCCTTCCGCGATAACTAATGAATAATTAGTAGCTGTAATGGAGAAGAAAAAAAAAGATTAATATAATATAGTAAAGTTGAAAATTCCCAAATTGTATGATCTGAAAATCGTAGTAGAAATGTACAAGTCATGAAGATTAAACATGATTGGGTTTAAATAAAATCAAATTTATTTATACAATCCTTGGGAGCGATGAAAACATTTCTGGCAGGATTGCACAAGTTCATCTTGAATATACATATATATACATATAAAAAGAAAAAAAACAATGTACATATAAATCTATTTTTGTAAACGCGGATTTCGAAAGTATTTACATAAAAAAAGAAACGAATTATAAAGTTTAGAAGAAATAAAAAGAGAGAGAGATTTGAAGCAGCGAGTGATCCGATTGATTTGTTCAATAGATGCACGAGGCTGCTTCTTGCGAATGCGTCATCATAATGTGCTGCTTTAAGCTAGACTTTTGCGTGTAAGCTTTGGAGCACAAATGGCAGACGAAGCGCGAGATTCCGTCGCACTCGTATTTGGAGTGTCTCCTAAGGTTGTGACGGTGCTTGTACGATTTCGTGCAGTTGCCGCATCTGAACGGTCTCTCCAGGTATCCCTCTAAAAAGATAACTTGAATTAATACGGGGACGTTTGTCTGTTTCGGTTTGGTTTGGTTGGAACGCGCGAGAAACATGTGGAAATTAACTATAAAGGTGAACATTTGCAACAGTTTATTGAGAAACATTAAATAAATAAAAACTTGGATAGAAATAGAACGAACGAAAAATAAACGTATTTATTAAAATTTGTTTGTTTCGGTGTGTGATGTTTCTTTTTGTACAAGTTTTGGTTTAGAAATGTTGGTTTGAGCCAGAGTGGACGTTCATGAAATGCATTTTCAGGCTGGTCTTTTGCGTGTACGCTCTCTGGCAAAGGTAACAGATAAATCGGGAGATGCCGTCGCATTCGTACTTCATGTGGCGCGTCAAGTTGGGCCGGTGTTTGTACGACTTACTGCACCTGGTGCACTTGAACGGCCTGAACGCTAAAAACAGAACACAAAACCATAGTTGTACTACTACTTGAGACGACTTCATAGTAAAATTATATATATATAAAATAAAAATTGGTATACATAATTGGATATAATCAATCAATCAATCGATGTTAGAGGATTTCGGAGTAATGTAATGATGGCGTGTTAAGAAATAAATTAAATATCTTGTTTATTTAAGATTCTCAACGATTTGTTTAAATATCTGTGTGCGTGTGTGTATGTTCGAGTGTACTTTTTTTTATTCTAATCTGATGGTGCGGCAGAGATCCCACAGTTTGGGATGCGACGTCGAGTGCACCGTGTTCATGTGGATCACCAGATTGACTTTGGTGTCCATGAGCACTCCGCACAAATGGCAGAGGCTGCTCACGTACGCCATCTGGCAGAGGTGCCTCTTCAGGTTCCTCTTGTTTTTGTAAACCTTGTCGGGGCACTGGGGGCAGCAGTACCGCCCCTCACTGCTGATGTAGTAAGACAAATCCAGGTTCCTAGGCACCGACGATTTGAACAGTGCATCCGCGGCGCCTACAACCAAACCAAAATTACGTTTCAATTAATAACACGGTGCCGGGGGGGGGGTGTTGTTGTTGGTAGTGGTAACTGTCTGGGGCTAGGCCAAGTGATGCATTAGAAACTAGTACTTAGCGTTGAAGGATGATGAGGAGGAGAGGTTGCGTGAGAAGTTTCTCGGGTTTTGTGGGCTGAAACGAATGAAGGTCCGTAAAATAATTTATTTAAAGTTTTGGTACATGCGCCTTCTTCGTCACTCTCATCATGAAAACGTCGTGCTTGCTCCGCAGATGCCTGGACAGCGCCTCCTTCCGTTTCGCGGAGTACGCGCAAAAGTCGCACCTGAATTGCGGCTCGACGCCGCACACGAACCTCAAATGCCTCTGCAGGTTGTCGTTCCTCGTGAAGGCCGCCTTGCACCGCAGACACGTGAAACCACCATCATCTGAAATCATTGGCGGCCATCAGAGAGATAGTGAACTAACGAGGGCAGAACCTACACAGCGCCACCATCATCATCATCATCATCATCATTGGGTGAACTGCTTCAGCATGCAGAACTCCTTCTTGTGTCGCTGCAGGTTAAAATTGTGCGTGAACTTCTTCAAGCAAATGTCGCACTGGAATTTCGGCTCGACGTTGCACTCGTTTTTCAGATGCCTGTTCAGGTTGCACCGCAGCGTGTAGCCCTTATAGCAGTTCGGACAAAAGTGCTCTTTGCGTATATCTAAAATCCAAAAAAACAAGAACATCAGATGAATATCACATGAATATCGAGACGCCCGCAAATCGGATCGGTGTAATTAATTTTATTTATTTATTTTTTTTAATTGTGTGTGTGAGATTCAAAGAAAATTAAGTGTTTGTTGTAAGAAGCACTACCTAATCAAATATACTTGGAAATACAAAATCATAATGAAATAACGGCCACAGTGTTTCAGACGTGATATATCGTATATTTTCAGTATTACAGCTCATACACACACACACACTACATTTCAGTTGCTCCAGCAACGAAAACAGAATAGCCGCGTTTCTTCATCAGTTTCAGCAGTCTCGAGCAGTTCGAACACGGACCTAAAATACCACACGTCATCAATTCAATAGTTGAGAGTAGGATGCACGCATCCGGGAAGGCCACGAAATCAAAGCACTCTCCGTTCCATTACACAAATTTTAATTATTCTATACATACTTTAAGGACACAAACGGTATTACACTTGAAGAAACACAAAAAAAAACAAAACAAATAAACAAAACAAAAACGTTACAAATGAAAGCTAATTAGAATTAGATCAGTCCATACGTAATTAAAAAGATAATTATGATGATAATACAAAAAAAAAATATAGTAATTAATTAATTAATTAATAATGAGATTATTAAGCAAAGCGCGTCCGACGTTCTGAAAATCGAAATAAAGAGAATATAGATCAGATCAGTTTGACAGAGAGAGAGAGAAGTATCTCTGCGTGATTATTATTATTATTATTATCAATTATATCTCTTCGATTTTGTGGATTTTCTTGAGATGGTCTCGCAAGATCTCGTTGCGTTTGCACTTCCTCGGACAGAGGGGACACTGGAAGGCTGTGACTTTGCCGCACTCGTTTTCCATGTGCCGCAAGAGGTTCAGCTTTCGCGTGTATATTTTGCCGCAGCGAATGCAATCGAGCTTTCCGTCATCTAAAAGCAAATTGAAAAACGTTGGATAATTTCGAAATCGAGAGAGAGAGACAAATGTTGGGGGTTGGGGGGACAGCAGCAACAAAATGTCATTAAATCAACCAAAAAATTAAAAAAAATAACAACAGATACGTCAATATGCGAATGCAAGCAAATTGCCTGCGAGCGCAGATAGAGAGAAGAGCAATAAACTTATTAAAAAAAAAACAGGGGTTCGAGAGGGAATATTAAATTATAAAATATAACAAAAGTTACCAACAACACGCAACTACTGTTAATCAACGTAAAAAAATAATGTATTAGGTTCTACTGATAGATGTGACCTTGGGCTTCTAGATTTTGTTTGTAAGGGGGTTTTTAGGTGTGGATCGGAAAATAATTGAGACACGTCCGAACAACGAAAAATAAACTTTTATTATAATCTCATAGAAATAAAAAAAATAAAATATATTAATAATGTAACTTTTCACCTCTTATTGCGTTTTTTTTTTCAACTTTAACAATTATATATATATGTAATGAGAAAAATCTTATTTTTAAATAAATATGTACCCAACAACCTTTTTTTTTCCCTGTTTCGTAGAAAAAAAGTTTAAAATAATAATGATGATAACAAAATTCGGATTATTTTCTTCATCCAATCTCCTTCCTTCAACTACTCTGCGTGTCCAGATAGTGAGATTTCACGTGGGTGAGGAGTTTGGATTTCTGTTTGAACCTCCTCGGACAGTGGGTGCATTTGAATTTGGGATCGACGCCGCACTCGTACCTAAGGTGTCTAATTAAATGAGATCTTTGCTTGTACGAGTTCCAGCATTTCGGGCACACGGATCTTCCGTTCCCGTCCTTCTCAAACTGTATATAACGATAACCTATAAACAATAACGAACCATTAAGAAAACCACGTTATTCTTCCGCTTCGCTCAGCTCATCCCATTTCTCACTTCATCTCTCACTTCCCACACTTCTGTTTACCGCCCACTGTACAGTATTTACAAACAACAAAGATATTATGCGAGTTAGGGAGTAAATGGAAATTTGCAATGCCTCATTTAAAATTATTAAATAAGTAGATGTTTTTTTTTTTGCACAATAGTTTAATTGGAATTAGATTTAAAAAAAAAGAACAGAACCAAAGAGGAGCCCCGAAACCGTATTTACCTGTTTTGATCTGGTTCATCATCAATCACACTTTACCTTGCAACAATAAATTTAAAACCTGAAACACACATTGTTTATTCATTAAATAGCAAAATGTAATAATCCAGATTGCTGTTTCATCGTGTCTAGTTTTTTTTTTTTACAAATATTCACTATGTTGTTATTTACAAATAAAATAGTTTCAATCTGACTTCGTCGATAAATCTCTATATAAATACCATTATTAAATGATACTGAAAATAAACGCCGTTCACATTTTGATTACTCCGAATATTCACTCACTAAAATTAACCAATTTTTTTTCTTTTGCACCAAACTTACTTTTACAGTATCATTCATTAGTTTAAAAAACTATAGAACAATCTGTATTTCAATGTTAAACCTTTAAAATTAAAGTTATTAAAAATGTAATTGTATGTTAATATTTTCATCAAATGTTAATCACCATTAAATTAATACTAGCTGAAACAAAAAAAAATTATTGAAAACTCATCAATAGTTCATATTCATAAAAATAATCCAATTTTTTTTATGAGAAATATAAAATTTGCAATAAGCGTTTGTTCATGTATCAGATTATTAAATTTTCTTATTAAATCACTTACATTATCACTTTGATCCATATTATATTAGTTTTCGTTTTTGCTTTTACTCTTTGCTGAAATAGAGAAAATTTGAATAAATTGCTGTAAATAATTGATATAAAGAAATATCACTACTTCTGAAAAGGTGTAAGAAGAAATAAAAGATGTCCCTTTTCTAATAAAGTATCTAGATGAACTATCTTATATTGTAATTCTATTTTCTTTTCTTTTTTCTCCTAGTATATTTAGAAAGATCCTATACTTTTTATTCGTTACGAAATCATCTGTTATATATTTTTTTTTGTCAGTTTTACAAGATCTACTTGAACTTTGTTTGCTCGCTACTAGTGAATCATTTATCTACGCATGCCATGATGTGCTTTTTGACGTTCGACTTTTGCTTGAACTTGCGGAAGCAGAGAGGGCAATAGAACCTAGGTTCGACGCCGCACTCGTAGTTCATGTGCCTGTTTAGGTTGCACTTTTGGGTGTACGTGTGATCGCAGCGGGGACACTTCAGGCGACCCTGCGCGTCCCTTTCGATCCTCCGGTAAGGATACCGGAAGTTCCGTCCGCCGAAGCGCTGCTGCTGCTGCTGAGGCGGCGGCGGCTGCTGCTGCTGTTGCTCGACCTTCGGCGGCGGCTCGATGCGTGTCTCCTCCATCAAATGCTTGATGAAGTGGAACCGCTGTCGAAACCTCCGGCTGCAGCGCGGACACACGTAATTCCCCAACTCGTCAACTTTAAACTTTATCTCACCGAAACCTACAAACAAGCACAGTCAATTTACCAATATTCGGCACGAGGTGAGCTTAACAAAAAAAAAATTAAGGAACAACATGAAAACACACAGGCACACAGCGAGAACATCATGATATATAAAAAGTGTGTAACCTAAACATAAAGCGAAAACAAAAAAAGAAGTATGTGAAAGAAAAACAAACGGAAACAAAAACTAAGATCCATTGATACCATGATAATGGCATGATTTCCTATGATGCACTGAACAAAACTATGGTATAAAAGGCTTGACCAACGAAGAAGATGATATTCGGACGTTTTATTATGCAATTAAATTCATTATTGAAACTTCTCCATAGTTTATCATAATAATGTCCATTGAAATATCCTGAAAGTAAATATCCTGAATATAAATATTGAACATTTCTTGCGTTTTTTTTTTATAGAAAAAATAAGTATGCCGTTTATTAAATAATATGTTACAAAACAGAGGAATCTGAATGAAACAACAACAAAAATGATCATGACATCACAAAAATCACTCGAATTAAGTCTAATAGATAATAAATAATGGAAATTTAGATCGTCGCTCTTTCGAGTTTCGGAATTTACATGATGTTGACGACGCACGATTTGAGGTGCGACTTGACGCTCGCCTTGTGCTTGAACTTTCGCGGACAGACGGGACACTTGAACTTTGGCTCGACGCCGCATTCGTAATTGATGTGCCTGATCAGATGCACCCTGTGCTTGTACGTGTGATCGCACTTGGGGCACTTGACGCGCCCGTTCTCCACCTCGAAATTAGAGTATTGCTTGGCCAGGTTCAACCTGGGCGTACTCGTACCAACTACGCCATCTTCGTTCTCCGTTTCCGCATGTTCGCATTCGTAAGTCAAATGGCGTATCAGTTGTTCGAAGACGTCGAAGACCTTATGGCAGTAAGGGCAGATGGGCTCACGGTTGCACTCGAATCGCATGTGCTGTATCAGGTGAGCCCTCCCCTCGAAGAAAGTGCTGCAATGGGGACAATGAAAACCTTTCGAAAAACCTAAAAACGTATTCGCAATTAGACAAGGGCGTCCGATTAGGTATCATCGAGAAAGAGAGAGAGAGAGAGATATAGTGTGAAATAGAGCTAAGATAATTAGCGAGCGAGAGGTTCTTGATTCAGTAGTCTACAAAAACGAAGAATTAAAACAACAACAATAACAAAAATTAATAAATAACAAACATAATGGCTCGAATCTACTACTCTGAGAGGGGTTGCGAGGCTTGGTTGTCTAAAGGTTGGTTGGTTTAGAGACTTCTGGTTTGTGGGTGGTTGGTTGGTTGGTAGAGAGAGTGAAAGACGTAGACAGCGTTTTATTGTTACAAATTGTGTTGACACGTGATGTAGTGCAGCTTCATGTTTGAATTGTGCTTGAATTTCCGGAAGCAAAGTGGACATGTGAATTTCGGCTCAACTCCGCACTCGTACCGCAAATGCCTTACCAAGTGACCTTTCTGTTTGTAACTGCGCGTACAGTTCGGACACTTCAACCTTCCTGCAAAATTCCGTTGAAAATGTATGGTTCCGTAACCTGAAAAGAGATCACTACATTATAATACTAATCCCCACGACTCGAATCTTTGCATATTTTTTTTTATTCAAAATTCTGATGACAACAACACTCCATGCTATTCTTCATATATAGACATATAAATATATGTACATATACACACACACATACACAACAGGTTACTGTTACTATGAAAGAAAGACAAAACAAATTGCAAGAACAACGGTGGCATAAAAGATTACTGGGGATGTGTTCTGTCTACTGATATTACTTTGGCAACAATCTAAAGTGAACTAGCTTAATGTGTCTGTCCAGGTTATGCTTGATGTTCGTCTTGTACTTGCAATGAAATTGATCGCAAAAGAATCTAGGCGCGACGCCGCACCTCGTCTTGTGCACGTTGAACGTTTTCTTCAGGTAGAGCCTGTTGCAGACCGGACAAGTCTTCATCTCGGAATACGGGGGTGCTAAAAAAGAAACGAAATAAACCAGATCGTTAGTTGCCGTCTACTCCACCGCCTCAATCCCAATTTTTATTTTTCAATGAATCTCATTTAACAAGTTTATCCCCGAATAAGAGGGGAACGTGCATTGCTGTTTTAAGTTACTAAATGCGGTTTCTTTTTGTAGCAGAACTCCTGGTGACGCTTCAGCGTGTAATTGTACCGGAACTTCCTGCTGCACAGGTCGCACTCGTACTGAGGTTGGGTGTCGTTGCACTCTATTCTCCAGTGTCTCAGCAGGTTGCCTCTCTGGCCGTACGTCCTTCCGCACGTCCGGCATCCGAACCTTCCGGACATCATAAAACATCCTGAAATCATGGACACCAGTTAATGTGGAATCGAACTCGGTGTCTAGATCTTGGACTTAAATTACAAATATAAACCGCTTCTAGCTTTCATTCAATCTTCGGGTGTTTCGGAGAGGAAGGATTTTTTTTTTACTAAAGACATGATCTAAACACACATCGACATACCCATTCTCGTCAAAGCATCGAACATATTCCCACGCTGAGCAATCATAAACCATGCACTTTCAATAGAAAATATTCTCATTATATCCGAATCGTTGCACTACACCACTAAAAATATTCGTTTCGATGGTAAGAATCGCTTTTTTTTTAAATAATCCTAAAAGAAATATTAATCATTTTTTGTTAAAATAAGAACATTCTGAATAAAATATTAATTAATTGTACTTTTATGATGTTGAATGTTTTAAAAAAATCTTTCTGGAACATTTTCGTAAAGGGTGAAGTGTATGAAATAATAACGATAATTCAAAATCTTGTATAAAACAACAAAAAAAAAACGTCAAATAAAAGTATAATAAATAAAAGTGGTAATCGTTTATTGTGTAAATCAATATAATAGTAATATAAAAAATAGATAGGTTATATAAAAGAGTAGTAATAGTTAATAAGGTATTAAAAATAGTTAATACTGAAAATCAGTCTTAATAGTGAAAACATCGTATACGAACTACATCGTACCTAAAAATAATGAAAACGGTAACTATAAAAAAAAACGAAGGTAATCGGCTGATGATATTTCAACATTCGAGCATAATGTTCTGCACAATGTTCAGATGCATATGCTTCATGTGAATGTTAAGGTCGTACTTGTGCTTGAACTTCTTGGGACAAACCTTGCAAGCGTACTTGGGTTCTTGTCCGCACTCGTACTTGATGTGGCGCGTCAACGAGTGCTTCAAGCGGTACGTCTTGGTGCAAGTCGGGCAAATAAACAGTTCGGCCAGAGCGGGCAGATCGAGCATCTTCCTCTTCATACCTTTGGTTTTCTTCTTCAGCTTGCGATTTTCCTGATCTGCTACAAACAGAACACCACAAATCGTATTGTATTAGATGGAGGAGAAAATTATAAAATGGGAGCCGTAAATAAGAAATAAAAACAAAAATCTACAAAAAAAAACAACAACAATAATAATAATAAACAAATGAATCAACTTTAAAAATAATTCTACGTCAAAAATCAAAATAATAAACTACTTGGGAGGTGGTGACGTTGGGATTTCAAAGTAGTGGATGCAACTGTTAAGCCTTTATTGATTGTTTATCGAGACTAACATAATTAATATTTATTTGTTTATTTGCGGTGGCAAGTATCAATTTTTTTCTGGATTTCCTTGAATTGGTTGGTTTTCTTGTTACAGTGACTTCTGGTTTGTGACTGGGTTAATGTTTCAAATTGTTGACACTTCATGTGGTGCAGCTTCATGTCTGCATTGTGCTTGAATTTCCGGACGCAAATTGGACAAGTGAATTTCGGCTCAACTCCGCACTCGTACCGCAAATGCCTTACCAAGTGACCTTTCAGTTTGTAACTGCGCGAACAGTTCGGACACTTCAACCTTCCTGCAAAATTCCGTTGAAAATGCATGGTTCCGTAATCTGAAAAGAGATCACTACATTATAATACTTATCCCCACGACTCGAATCTTTGCATTTTTTTTTATTCAAAATTCTGATGACAACAATGCTATTCTTCGTATATAGACATATAAATATATGTACATATATACACTCATACACAACAGATTACTGTTACTATGATAGAAAGACAAAAAAAATAATACGAGAACAACGATGGGATAAAAGATTACTGGGGATGTGCTCTGTCTACTGATATTAGTTTGGCAACAATCTACAGTGAACAAGTTCAATGTGCCTGTCCAGGTTATGCTTGATATTCGTCTTGTACTTGCAATTGAATTGATCGCAAAATAAACTGGACGTGACGCCGCATTTCGTCTTAACTGTTAAACCTTTATTGATTGATTATCGAGAGTAAATATAATTAATATTTATTTGTTTATTTGCGGTGACAAGTATCAATGTGTTTCTCGATTTCCTTGAGTTCGGGATGCTTGAAGCTGCAGTAGGCGCAGCCATATCTGTGCTCATTTTTGTTGCCCTTTTTGCAATCCTTCATGTGCTGCAGCTTCAGCACTCTGTCATAGAGTACGCCGCAGTTCGCGCATCTGATTGTATCCCTCGGAGTCTTCAGCTGGTTCTTCTCGCAGGCCAGAACCTTTCTGCCGGGCTTCGGCAGATCGGAAGGTTTCATGCTCAAGAACAGCTTCATGCGCTCGTTGGAGATGAGTTTGCTATGGCTGTTTCTGCCAGTGGCGTTCTTCATGATGATCACTTTAGGTGAATTGGAGAGATCTATTTTACTCAGAATCGGGATTTGAGATGCTGAATCGTCGGATTCCTCCTGCACCATCACAGACACCTCCTCGGCCACCTCTGTTTCCATTACCGACTGTTCGATCGGAATTGAGTCAATCAGGATCGACTCTAAATGTTTGACATGCTGAGAAGAAGTTTGTTCTACGGGTGCGAACTGTATGTGAGTGCTCAGCTCCTCTTTAATCTTGGACAGTTTCAGCACCTCGTCCGTTTTGATGTGATCGGTCATGACGGTAACCTCGGCCGTCTCAATCTCAACTGCAACAAAGGAAATTTTCGAAAATGTTAGTTCGAATCGTTCCAACCAAATCGCTCGCTGAAACTTCAAAGTTATACAACACTAGTAATTACTAGGTCTATAATAAAAGTAAGAGAAAAAAAAGGGAAACCAATAAAATCCCATCGTTTATTGTGACAAAAAAAATAATAAACTACAAACTAGAATTACGATAAAATATAAACTATTAACAGATATATTAAAAGAAAAAAAAAAGAGAGAAAAAAAGGTGACGCAATTAATGCAACCATAAAAATTCTAAGTTAACTACGGAAATGTACTCTCAGGTAGCGCTATTTAAGGTGCTTCCTTCTGATGTGACCCATCAGGTTAATCTTCTGATAGGCCTTGTAGGAGCACATGTTGCAGGCAAATTGCCTTTCTTTGCCGCATTCCTTGTGCTTGTGTCTGCTCAAGTTCGATTGGTGCCTGTAGGATTTACCGCAATTCAAGCACCAATATTTCTTCATTTCATACAAAGGATTTATCTTATAATATTCTGAAAAAGAGTTCAAAGTTAGTACGATCAAAATAAAATCTTCCCACGTTCGAACAATGCGACACATTTTCAAGCCCCCAATATCTTAAATGTACCAGAAACAATCACAAGTCAAACAAGAGCGTGCAAATAAAGTTTTATTCACTTTCAATATATTTTCGTGGTATATACAACAACAAAAACTGAAAAAAAAAATATCATTTAAGTTTGTCACAGCAAACCTGAAGAAGAAGAAAGAATAATACAAATACTTCAGAACAGATGTTTCCGATACATGTGTCCCATTAAGTGAATTTTCTGAAAGGATCTGTAAGAGCATAGCTGACATACGAACTTTTTCTCTTTGCCACACTCTTTGTTCTTGTGTCTGCTCAGATTCGATTGATGCCTGTACGACTTTCCGCACCTCAAGCACGCGTATTTCTTTTGCATCACCAAAGTGTGCTGACCATAGGTTGTGTAATCTGGAAACAAAGAACGATGTTAATTCAAACATCAGCAAATTTGATGATAAAAAACAGACAACATCGTGAAAACACACAGAAAGCTACACTAGAAAAAAAACAAACGGATTGTCAAAGTAACAAACTGAAAAGAAAATTAATTACGTTAAAGTGATTTTTTCTCAACACTCTAACTTTCTCTATGATTAAACTGTTAAAACACATAATTTTATATTAAGTCTACGACAAACTAAGCACGATACAATCATTAATCGACTATTAAATTACTTATCTAGATTACCTTGGCCTATTGACACGCAAAAATCGTGAATGCAGTAAAAGTATTTATGAACCATGATAATCGTAACGACTGTATCTATCTTTAAGCCAGTAGTTTAAAAACTTGACGTTATCAAGTAATTTCAGAAACTAGAAAATAAATACGTTTTTATTCACTTAGACATAGAAATCATAACTCCATTTATAATTTGGTTCACTTTACTGATACAAACCTTTAATGGAAAAAAAAATAATACTCTGAATTTCCAAATTTACAACTTTTTCCATTCTTGAAGAACCTAAAACATAATACAAGTTAATTTAAGCCCAACTCGATGAAACTTGATCGACTTACGTGAAAAATGCAGTCACTTACCAGCAGCAGCTACCAGCAAAACAATAATATGAAGGATCGAAATAAGTAGGTGTTTCGAAAAAATTTTTTTTTATTAAAATATGCTACCTCTACCTAAAAAGCAGATTTTTTTCGTTCATATAGATATTTTGTATATAATATATGTATAATATATATAATGATGAATAGTAATAGTTTTTTTTATCTTTAATATAAAAGCGCTTATAAAAGTATAATATATGTATGTATAAAATGAAAGCTTCTTAACAAGATTGTAATAATATTGTATACATTTCTATCAAAAAAAAAAGTATATGTCGCATAACAAAACAAAAGGAAAAACTGTCTTCTTGCTGGAATAGTTATTTAATAATATTACCTATATGACAACGTGAAAAAAAAAATAGTGTACATATTTGAGGAACTTGTTTAGTGTCTATTACAAACAAACAAAAAAAAAACATATTATTATGGTAAAAAAATCACATCGTTATTGAGTTTGAGTATTATTTACTTGAGTTGCATTTGGAACCAACCAAAAATAATAATTATTATATAATTATAAAAAAAAAATAAAAAGTATGTTTTTTATATATATAGTTGTGTGTGTGTATATATATAGTTCTCCTTTCTCTTAACGTTCTTTTCTTTTTTTCTTCTTCTCATATTTTGTAAATACACAAAAAAAAAATTAATCAGAGAATTCTAGTAAAGCCCTTCACCGCGAAATATAACATATGTCCATAACAAATATAACATTTTTTTTCGATAACTTTCTTTGCTTATCTCATCTTCGTATTTTCGTGTCCTTAATAAAACTAGTAAAGCAATTTAACCTCTAAAAACAAACTAAAGAAAATTGGGGGGGGAGTTGTACGGATAATTTTTTTTTACGGGGGGAGAATCAAATATTTCTATATAATAATAATAAAAAATAAAAACAATGATTTGATTGATGCCTCGCCAAAAATAAAAGAATAATTATAAACAAATAATAATAATAATAATAACCACTACCTAAACGTTATTTATTTTTTTTTTGGGGGGGAAATTTTTGCTAGGTTTTTTTCTTGTCCTAAATTTTCATTAATTTAAAATTAACTTAAAGCAATGTAAGCGCGCAAGTGCAACCGATTTTTTTTTCTCGTCTTCTCCGACATTTTTTTTTCTAACCGTTTTTCGTTTTCAAAAAAAAAAAGAAAAAAAATAATAATAATGATAACAACGTAAAAATAATAAATGTAATGTACAAAAAAAAAATAATATGGAGAAAAATAATTATAGGGTAACATAAGAGATACCAACATGCAAGGAACAATAACACTGTGAGGCACATATGATCGGGTAAAAAATATATATCACCTAAAAAAAAAACAAAAATAATAATAATATAATAATAATAAAAAATATTGTCTGCGCGGCTGCGAAAGAAACCGCCGAGTTCTTAATTTCATCTTCATCGTCTTCACTTGTTTTTTTAAAAAAATATATATTATCACATATATTTGCATCTGTAAAAATATTAGGTAAAAATAGAGTAAAATAGGATTTAATACGTTCATGATAAGGCAGTTATTGGTTCAATATTCAGTCGGAATTGTAGTTGTATATAACATTAATTAAAATGTTTGTAAGGCACAAAATGGTTAACGGAAAATTATTAATACCTGGATAATCGTCATAATATGTCATAAACTAGTTCATTATTACTCATTTACATCACAAATAGCCAAAAAAAAGGTGTCTCTGTTTCGCCTTCCTCTTGAAGCCCGTTCATCGTTTTCTTCTTCTTCTTCTTCCTCTTTTTCTTCGCCTCCTACGCTCCATATTTTTATCTCAAATTAATTCTCCCCGTCGGTGGAATCAAGCTTAGCCTCGTCGGTTTTCACCGAAGTGTAATCGATCTCCTTGTGCATCCTCTCCATGTGCCTGGCCATGTGCATCTTCTGCTTAGCCTTGTACACGCAGTACGGACACTTGAATTGCGGCTCCTTGCCGCACTCCCACTTCTGGTGGTTCCTGAGGGAGCTCTTGAGCTTGTAAATCCTGCCGCAGACGCCACAATCGTAGCCGGGTCCTTCGGGGGTGACACTCGCGGCACGCGTGGAGCCCGGAGACCCGCCGGACCCTGTCGTACCGCCTGAACCACCCTCCTTCTTGATGTTCTTCGTCGGCGAGTTGATAGTCTGGATCATCGACTTCTTCATGCTTTCTCGCATGAGGATCATAGGCAAAGCCAGATGAGCTGGCCAATGCTCCCATGGTCGGGACACCCTCAAGTCTTGCGCTGAAACAGAAACATACATTAGCCAAAACGAATTGCACGCGAGCGCGCTATCAGTGTGTGTATGTGTGTGTGTGTGCGTGTGTATGTATGTGTGTTTGAAAAAAGTAACAGAAATAGAAAAATATAGAGAAAAAGAAATAGAAAAAAAGAGAGAGAGAGCAAATAAAAATAATCTTAAATAATAGAAATATAACCGAAATACGTTAAGGAAATATATATATATATAAAAATATGTCTATATACAAAAAAAGCAATGATAAATAAATAAAATAAAAAAAACGAAACAGAAAAATTAAAAGGAAAATCATAATTTATGAAAAATATTTAAAAAAAAAACAATTAATTTTTCTCAAATAATAATAATAAACAAAAATAAAACGTAAATAGTTAAATGTAGCCAGCTTTTTATTCACCACCACCACCGGAAAAAAAAAGTAAATAAATAAATAAATAAAATGTAAAGAGAAAAAATGTAAAAAAAATATATTTTAAGCTTAAGGTAATAATCTTGTCGCTTATCCAATAAGTGATGTACAGAGTGTAAAAATTATTTTAAAAAAAAAATCTGATAATAAGCGAAATCATAATAATAATAATAATAATTAAAAGAGAAATTAAAAAAAAATCATATTTGGCTTCGTAAAAAAATATATAACGTATTTACAACAACGATAATAAAACAAAGTTATAATCTTGATTGAGATGTGTTAGATGGTTGGGGGGAGGGAAGGGGTGGTAGTTGTTCGGGTTTGTATGTACTTGATCCTGGGAATGGCGATTGGTTCCAGGTAGATCGTGAAAGGGTAATGGGGGAGGAGTCGCGGTGGCTTTATCAATGGTAAAATTAAAATAATAAGATTAATAATAATAAACGAAATAATAATAATAATCAAAAAAAAAAAATATAATACATTCAAGTTTTTGTTTTGTATCCATTTTTCTTTTTACGTACGAAGTTAATCTAATTTAAGTACAAGGTCTGGATTGTTCTCCTCCAGGATACCGATTTTGTCCTTGTGCTGTCGCTTAATGTGCCTGATCTGATGCGATTTGCGTTTGCATTTCTGCGGGCAGAAGGGACACTGAAATTGCGGCTCTTTGCCGCACTCGTAATTCAGGTGCCTCTGAAGCGAGTCCTTCCTTATGTAGCTGCGGCCGCACTGGTCGCACTTGAAATTCCCCCTGATCCTGTTATAGCTCGTCTTTTTCGGCTTCTCATCGCTCAACGCCCACACCTTCTCCTCTATCCACGGGATACCGCTATACTCTACTTCCGGATCATACTCTGTCAACTCTATCTTCACGGGCAGCGCTGAAAACAACCACAATTAGCATCCGAATCGACAAAACACACAACACGTTAAAATAATAATAATAATATAAGATTATATAGAATTTGATTAAAAAAATAAAACAATTAAAAAAATATATGTATATATGTGTAAATAATTGCGACTGAACGGTCGATTGCTGCGATCGTCAATCTCATTAAATTTCTACCACCAACAATCTACTTACAAGAGTCAACAAGATTAAGAGAAAACCCACAATACAAACTATTTCCATTTATTATCATCACCTCATCATCAAACATCTAATTCTTTCTTTCTTCTTCTTTTTTTTTTCTTATTTATAAATATCACATCACATGCAATGATTCTTTATTCGCACGTGCGCAACCAGATGCTCCCTCCGCTTGAACCTGTGCTCGCAGGTTTTGCACCGAAACCTAGGATTCTGGCCGCACTCGAGTCTCAGGTGCCTAGATAAAGTTTCCTTCCTCTTGTACAATTTGCCGCATCTCGAGCAAACATGCTGGCACTTTATCAACTCATCTTTACCATCCACCTCTGATCGCGTGTTTCTCCCATTTCTTACATCTATAAAAATAATCTCAATCAAACTAAATAACGAAATCGCTAACAACGATCAAATACGAAACATCGTGCTCTCAACAAAAAAAAAACCATTAATGTTCTAATTCCAGTACCTGCTTTTTATCATCTTGCATTCTCCCATAAACAATAATATTCCTTTCATTGAAACTGCAATTGAGTAATGATGCCTAAAAATAAACTTACAGAGTATATTAGTCGATATAACTGGTTTGCAATATTTCAAATAAATAAATACAAATAAAAATAACGTTTATTCGAGACGTTCTTACAAATAGTAAAAATAAGTAAACAAGTCTTGATATGAAATAATAAACAGAATAATAATATTAGTTATGTAAAATAAACTTAACAATAATTAACGAAAGCTGAAAATAGAAATACGAGCTTGAATTCGCGAAAACTTAAAAAAAAATTCGATTTTTGAAGATACGGATTTGAAAATATAATAATATTGAAAGCTACAAGTAAAATGCACATATTTTGATGGTAAACATTGTTATTAAGTACAAATAATAATTTGGCATGTTTGATATTATTTGTTGTGTCATCAGATCGATCCGTGTCTGCTCAACACGTGAACGTGTAGATTCGACTTTCTTTTGGTGCGGTGCTGACAGAACGGGCACCGGAACAGAGGTTCCCTTCCGCACTCGTAGGTCAAATGCCTGGAGAGGGTGAAAGAGTGCGAGTACGTTCTGCCGCAACGCTGACACCCGAAACGGCCTACAAAAGAAGAAACCAGAGGGTCCCATTAAATTAATCACCATATATAATCCGAGATTTAGAAAGGAGCAGATTGTTGCGGCGAATGTTATACAGTTACAGTCTTTTATTTATCACAAGGTTTTTTTTTTTTTAATAAAATATGTTGTGCCTATTCCTAAGGTGCTTTTTTATTTCGTTCCTCCTGTGGTTCTTGTAATTGCAGTGAGGACAAACGAATTTGGGCTCTTTGCCGCATTCTAGCTTGATGTGGCGCACCAGGTTTCTCCTCGCGTTGTACGTCTTCAAGCATTGCGGACACTCGAACCCTTGGCTGGTATAGCATTCGGCGTATGGAAGCGGTTCCTTCGAAACATCATCCTCAGGCTCCTCCTTAGCAAATCCTTTATCATCCTCGACTTGGAAAGTGAAGAGCGTGTCCGGGTCGGGAAACAGAGGTTGTTGGATCTGCTGAGCCGGACAATCTGTGGGGTAAATGACCTGGATCGTCCACTCGCCGGGCGTCGTCTCCAGCGCAAAGTTATTTATAATGGATGAAGACGTCTCGTGCTCCTCCTCCGCCGTCGCCACCTCCTGGACATCTGAAATTACAAAATTCCCTGACGTTGGTTGACTTTGGCATCTCGCTAGTACGAATAAAACGACAGAAATATATTTCGGAGAAAGTTTATTTCCGACTGTCGACTACATTTACGAATTAACGAAGTTATTTGTCGAATGGAGCTTTATGTGAGAGGCGAGCACGTAAGCCCTTCGAGCCCTGTACGGACAGTAGGGGCATTGCAGGATGGGCTCGATGCCGCACTCCTGCCTCAAGTGCCGATTCAACGTTTTCTTGTGATGGTAGCACTTTGTGCAGCGAGGACAAATGTAGGGAAAGTCCCTTTTGTATAGAGGCGTTATTATCAAACCTAAAACGAAACCAACAACGACTCAATTAAAACTTTATTTACAGATAAAGAGATCTGGACACAAAGCACTACAACAAAAAAAAACAAAATGATTTCAAAACTTTGTAATACACACGAAATTAGAAATAATAATAAAATACAAATCAACAACACACGCAGCAGCATACGAAATAGTAAATGGTTAGAAGGTTTGAAAACAAATTGATATGTTCGCATGCGTGTCTTTGGTTTGTCAGTGTCAGTTTTTATTTAAAAATTAAATAACATTTGGTTCAGAATGTAGGGATTTGATGTGGCTTAATAGTCGGTGTTTGTGGAAGAATCGTTGTCCGCAAAAGGTGCACTGGTTCGTCGGGATTTTTCCGCACTCCAGCTTGAGGTGTCTCTTAAGCGTGTACTTGCCCTTGTAGTTTTTCGGGCAGTTTGGGCACGAGTAGAAACCACCTACAAACACAACTTTAGTACACCTAAAAGATCTCGATAGGTGGGAACGTTCAATACATTCAAGTTAGTAAAGTTATTGGATTGGAGTGGGAGGGAGTTTGGAAATATTTGGTCTATATACGAGAAGGATATTATATTCCACGTGCTCAGTGTTTCAGTGTGTTCACGTGCGATTTGAAATTGGCTTTCTGGTGGAACTTCCTGAGGCACGTGGCGCATTGGAACATCGGCTCCTTGCCACACTCGAACTTCAGGTGTCGATTCAACGAGTTCTTGCTCTTGTATTTCCTGTAGCAATTGTGGCATATGTAAGGTGATGCGTATGTCCAAATCATCCCTAAAAGAGTCCGATTTGAATTTCATTTTACACTTATAGTCTAAGGACACCAAAGCATATTGCTAAAACTACATGGAAAGATATGACATATTTAGAGACACACAAAGAGTACACGTAATGGATTAAGACAAATCAATTGGGATTGGATTAGATCAACTATATTTGCAAGTATTGACTAGAAAAGAACATTACAATTTATCTTTGGTTACAACAATTTAGTACTAACTTTATTTTAAGCGAGGATGCGTTTATTAGTTCTCTTGCGCAAGTTCTCAATGTGAACATTGTGAGTGGTTCGCACGTGCTTGATCAAGAGATAGCCGTGCTTGAACTTTTTCGCGCAAAACTGGCAAGAGAACGAAGGTACTTTGCCACAGTCTAAGCGCAGATGTCTGCCCAGAGTCTTCTTCTGGCAGTAAGTTTTGTAGCAATTCGCGCAGCCATATCGTACACCTGTCGAAAATACCTTCAACTCGGTATACTCCTCCATCGAAGACGCGTATAAAATCATCTCTGCAACATAAATCATCGACGTTGCAACACCATACAAAATCTAAATTCTAATCTTAGAGAAAGAGAGAGTGATAAACAAATTATCTTTAGCCATGCATCCTTCTTTAAAGCTTCAACACAGGAACATAACATAGACAAAAAAAAAAACACTAACAGAACACAAAACACGTAACGCTAAAACAGAAAATAAAAGTAAACAATAACAACAAAAAATACTTAAGCTGATAAAAAGATGTGAGAAATAAGGTAGAAGTAATATAAAAAATATTTTATTTCCACACAAAAATACATAAATAGTTACAAAAATAAATATTATATCCTAATATATTAAATATATTTATTTGTCATTTAAATAATAGGAGTCGTAAGTTTTAATTCTTTCTCATTTCCCCTCTACATTCCGTGCCTGCTGAGCATATGTCGAGACAGGTGATATTTCCTTCTGAACATGTTCAGACAGAACGCGCATTTGTACTTGGGTGCTATGTCAATGCATTCCTCCTTTTCGTGTCTATACAAGTGGCGCTTGTTCTTGTAACTTTTCGAGCACTTTATGCACTGATATCGTTTCTCAGAGTCGTCGAATTTCATGAGATCCTGATTGTACGACTTCAACACAGGCACAACTAGATCCAGCGGACTTCCATCGAAGCTCCTCTCCTTGTCGTCGTCCTCATCGTCATCCTTACAGATCATCTTGAAACGGTTCTCTGATATAAGCCTTTTAAACTCCTCTGCAACACAAACTACCAACAATTAGCATTGCCGCGGCGAGACAGAACTCGGGATGCAATCGAAAACGCTTCTACGCAATCCAAAAGTCAATTTAAAATTTAAAAAAACCTACCTACAAGTCAAAAACACACACACGCACACTCAAGTCAAGTCAAAAACTACATTTCAAATCAAAACAAATTACAACGACTAAAAAACGCCATAATGTAAATGTGTGTATGTATAGGATATAATTTTCTCGACTTTATTTCTCTTCATCGATTACATTTAAGTAACTTATGCACTCTATAAAAAAAAATTGTTTTGTTTCGTAACAAATAATAAACATGGAATCTGGAAAAGCAGATAATTAATAATGGATAATAATACTTGTGCATTTGATAAATTCTAATCGTTTCCAAAATGCGTTGACCTAAGTTTTGGGCTTAGATAGTTTTATCGTTCTGAACCAGTCTTTGCAGGCGGTCTGAAACGATGATTCCGTGATATCGTTGAACGAAATCTGCACGGCTTCTAAAAAAATATATAAGCAAAAGGAGGCGCATACGCCAAATTGATATCAGTTCGTTAGTCGACAACATTGCAGTTCCTATACCTTGAATTAAGGTCATGAGTTTGTATTCTTTGACGGCGATATTGTTGTTACGACCTGCCCAAGAACAAGATGCCGCCAACTCGTGGCCGAAAGTCTTCGACAGACAACGGTACACGCAGTTCTTCTGGTCCTTGCCGTTGAACTGACAAAGAAACTCGATCTAAAATTCAACAGGATTTCACTTGAAATATTCCCATAATAAACAAACGTTTCGTTTTGAGACGAACCAATTTCTTGGATTGCAACTGATCGGTGCGCAAAAGGTTCTCGGCGTGCTTCAAAGCTGTCACACTCTTCAGCGGCAGCGGAAAATCCGTAGACCAGTTATCTTCCTGCTTCAATTCCTCCAAGGTTACGTAAGAGCTTTGCAAGGAGCGATCTTCCCTTGTCGGCTCCGGCTTCTCTTTCCTAACACTAACATTCTTCTTCATGTGGCTGAACATTTTCGACAATTGCACGCTTATGTTAAACAGGAGCCCTCTAATCTCTACAACAGCCAATAAAAACAGAAAAATCGATTACTATTGATCGAATTTCAATTACAGACACGGACTATATATATATATATGTATCTCAAAGCTTACTAAGTGTCTCAACAACCACACATTTTTGAAAAACAAAACAGAAACGAAAAAAAAAGAAACTAAAAGAAAAGAAACAATAAAATATCTAAATCTCATTTCAAATACGCAACACTGAAAATAGATCGTTCGATCATTGAATACAATGAGATTTAGAATGTTATGAATGTTGGGTGGTAAAAGAAAACAAAATATTTATTGTAGATATAAGTCAAGCGAGTATATAAATATAGCAATGTTCTCTTTTCTTATATTTTCTTTATCATTTTCTATCCTACATACCGAACGAATCAACACAACAATACATCATCAGTCTCTTGAATCCTAAAATATTTGAATCTATGCACACAAAGATGTCCATTCATTTACAGGTATGACACGACCCAAGGTGACATATTTCATTCGTCTAAAATGCCTTCTCATGGCCTTGAAAGCAGAAAATAGTCAAACAGTAAACCCGTTGTTGTCAACTACATGTATAAATGGACAACTTTTATAGACATAAAACAACTGACAACTCATTTCAACATACGATAACAACTAAATCTAAATGATATTTGTAGCAAAATTATTTGAATTCATCAATTACTTGACATATGTAAACTAATTACTTCCTAAATTGATTTTATTTTTTATTTAAATATTCAAGACCTACATCATACTACAATAAAAACAATATATTTTTATGCTTACTTTAATTGCTTGATTTAATTGATAATAAACATAAACAAGTTTTAGTGTTTTAACTTTAATATGTCTCATAGTTTTAAACTAGTACTACTATATTATATTTCATCCAATTGTTTTTACCAAAAAAAAAATGAAGAAAATTTTCATTTTCTACTATAAAACAAGAGAGCAGCAATATTGAATTAAAAAAAATATATAAAGTTATGATATTCAATTCTGAGTTAAGTAATATTTTATCTCACGAAAATAGTTTAAATACTGTTGACATTAATATAAAATACTAATTATTTAATACTTAAAGTAATTAAGAAAACATCAAAAGATTTAGTAAACTAATTGGATAATCCAATAATCAGTTCATCAGAAACTACAAGTCCATAAACTTACTAATCTATCTACCAAATAATTAGTAGGATTAAAATGTCGAAAGATATTAATGCCTTTAACTACATATAAGAAACTACTGATATATCTATACTTTCAAATAATTTTGCTAGCAAAGGAAGACTATATATATGATCGCCAAGAGTCAAATGATATATGTACATTTGTGTAATGTTTGGTTTTCTCTGTTTCCAAATTTTTCTTACATTGCATAATGTGCGTGAGACGTCGACGAGATGATCATTCTTGTTATACAGATCTTGCAAATCATTTAGCTTATAAAGGGGGGCACAATAGGTTTTAGCCATATTCTAAATCCAACCTCATCTAAAAAAATCCTTGAATTAAAATTCGTTCGAATCATTAATTATAATAAATATCATGTTAGAAAGAGAGAGCAAAAAAAAACAAACAATCAGAAAATAAGAGTGAGGAAACTAAATTTTTAAAACGAAAAATTTTGCCCAAAAAATAGTAATGTTTCTTAAAACAAAAAATTTAGTTTTTCTTTGGCTTTCTAATTTCGGTTTGTTTTTTTTTAATTATTATTGCGGACTTTATATATACGTACTAGCTGTATAGATTGAACAATTTTGGTATCTACCCCCTATCTAAGAAAAATTTGGCACAACCACTCTAAACCTGGAATTATTAAGAAAAAAGAATATGTTTATCTAAAATTTCCTATTCAATAATTTAAAATTTTCGATTTTTTTTAACCAATTAGTTTAAAATTGTTCCCCGAGAGCCCATCCACCGAGAATATTATATAATCTTAATCCCTCTTACCTTTTGAAGACATCTGGAAGTTCTAGTTGTTTTGTTATTTATACATAACCCGAAATTGATTGATCTGTACTAGCAAGTTATCGAATACGAAATAGAAATTTATTGGAAAATTCTTACATGCTTATATACATCAATATAGTTATTCAAAAAATTTTGATTTTCTTTTCATTAATTTAGTCTTTGGTATAGGTTTTCTTATCATTTTTTTCTTTTTCGTGTGTTTTGTAATAAAATGAAGTGTGACTAGTGATTTTTTTTTCTCGCTTTTGGTTTGTAGGTCTTTGGTGATTCGTTTAGGACGTTTTTGCAATGCGATTTTTGTTTTGTTTGTTTGTTTTTTTATCGATTGAATATCGTGGGTCGAATTTTGAATTGTTTCGTAAATAAATTTAAGTGTTGAGAGTCGCAGTGTCGCTTTAAATTGGAGAGCTGGTGAAATTTTCGTGGACAATGGGCGCACTCAAACTGCGCCGATTTTCCACATTCATAGACCATGTGTCTACGCATGTTGCCCCGATGCTTGTAGACTTTCCCGCATGTACCACATGGATACGATCCGGTGGTAGTATCGTTTCTTTCTCCTAGAAATAAATAGTGCTGTACTGGCTACTACATATCCAGAAATTCAATTTACAGTTTTTTTGTTTGTTCTCTCTAATTTCGATCTTGGCCAATTAAAATCTAACTGTGTACGCTCTTTGCTCGCAACGAAAGAAAAAAAAGAAAATATAAATTAAAAACAAAAAAAATTCGACACTGCACTATATAATCTCTCAAGACACACAAACATTAGCATGCTAAATCGGGGATTTGGTTGGTATTACTTTTCTTAAATAATTTGGATCGACAACTTTCCTGAAAGTGGAGCTATTCATGGTGAATAAATGATGATGGATTTCAAGCAACTTCATGAATACCACCACCAAATGAGAGATCTTGTTTTTTTTAACGCGTTTTCCGTCTACAAATCCATAAGATTTCCAAATCTATAGCTTTTACTGAAGTAAAGTAAATAAACCATATGAATTATAGAGGAATCATTGTATCGTAGTAACGTAATGAGGGTGAATAGGAAAATGTATTTTTTTTTCGTAAATTATAGTATTTTATTCTTTTGGTTATTTCTTCTTTTTTTTTCGAAAATACAACAAAGTTAAATCGTGATTTAAAGTTTGAGTTTAATACTGATGGTGAAGTGAAGAGCAGACCAACCACGTGGATTTCTGCAACAATCGGAAAATACACCAAATTAGCAAATTAAGTCAACCCAAACAGTGAGCCGAAAAAGAACGTAGTAGTTTGATACGAAGTAAACTTACATTTGAGAGTGAATGATGTCCTTCCTGACGGTCGGGGGGGAAGAATGAAGCTGAACCAAGGTTAGGAAAAGTTGTTAGTAAGATGATGATGAAAGGGGACGAGGACATGAAAGGAATTTGGCCTGATGATCCCACGCTGCGCCATCATCGATGTTCCTCGGAGAGCTCGCATCAATTTAAATCGTTTTGTTTAAAGGTTTTCTTTTTGTTTAGTTTAGTTTCATTGTTTTCTTTTCGTTGTTTATTTTTTTTTTGAATTGAATCCAGTAAAGCCCACCTCCACCCAGTCCTAATATTTCACAATAATGTAAAATATACGGCCTGCTTACTGATTTCGCACATGATTGTATTTAAAGTTGACAAGATGGTATAACCAAAGTACTGCAGTTATTTGGCCCACCTTAGCGACTTAAAATAGAAGCACATGCACGTCGGATTTGAAAACAAAAGTGAAAAAAAAACATTTAGAAGCTAGCGCGTGATGTTTGAAAGCAAACACAGTTTAGAAAATAAAAACAACACAATAAACATACATCATTCATACCATAAATAAGATGCAAATCAAATCAGCATAAACCAACCGCTGGATCGACTAGTGAAGTATAGCCGATCCCAAGGATGATCCACATTGATCACATGTAACACACACACACACACATCTGTTGAAACAAGTTTACCTGATATTATTGAAATTACAACAATTAAACCCATGTACCTCACTACATATGAAAACTATTCATTTGTAGCTACAATTAAAATGGAAATAAATTTACCTGTAAATGAAAGATAGATATAACATATCCAATCATAATATCTGAAGACAATAAAAAAAACAAGTTATTTAAATTGAATATAATTATAATCAAAGTAGAATTACAATTATATTAAATTTTTAAATAAACTAACAATCCTGAAAACATGTGCACAATAAAAATAATTTAAATAAATAACAAAACATACACTCTCTTGATAAAGCAAGTCGCGCCATGATGAACTGTAAAAATATATTGGTTATTACCTCACTGTACAAAAGAATGCACAGCTACAGAACATTAAAACATTACTTGATAATTAATTCCGTGTGGCAAATTACCAAATGAAATTAATTAACAAATAATGGAAATAGCTGAAAAACAAATACGAACAAAACATACATATTTGAAAAATAATAATAGTAATACCTCGCCTCACAACAAAATTGATGTGAAGCTACATATAACCTACAAAAAGAAATTGACCTGAAAGAAACGGACACAAAAAAAATTACCTCACCACATAAAATAATGTGGCTACAAAATACAAATTACCCTTGAAATTATCTTACGTAAGACCATATGGAAACATTAAATAAATATTCAATCTGAAAAACAAATATAACGCGCTTTTACCTCACTACTCAGCAAAAGCAGAGTAGCTACAAAACGTAATAAATCTGTAATAAGATGCTGAAAATGAAAAATACCTCGTTGCACAAATTGTACAAACTACAGCATAAATTATACCTCGCAACGCAAAATTGTACGTTACTACAAAATCAGAAATAAGCTGGAATATAAAACACAATATTTAACGATGTACAATCAATAAGAAAACCAATTACAAAGTAGTAATTGAAAACTTATCAAATTGTGCAATTTGAAAAAAAAAATTACCTCACTGCATACTTACAGATGCAGCTACCGAGTGAACGCATTTGCTTATTATTTAATCAACTTTAATTAACAAATGAGTAATTAAAGCGATATTAAATATAAATTTGATGTTACCTGTGTTACCTTAGCCACACAAAGAAGTGCGCAAAAAAGATCATTAAACTTTAAATACGAAGTAGTATTTAGAGAAGATCAAATAACAGTGAAACATTATTCCTGTAAAATAAATACCTCGCTAAACCTCAACTGAAGCATAGCTACACCTTGACTTACCACAATTTTTCTTACCAAGTCAACCTATTGTACTTACTAAATTTAATAAATACAACTTCCTTCTTGCTTTACCTCACTATAAATCAATAGTAATTTATAGCTACATTTTTTTTTCACACGTTTATTACCTCGTTGTACATAAAGTAGTGTACAACTACATAAATCACTTTATTTTAATTTGTCAACTTATTGTTGAATGAACATCCAATGTGCATCAATACAATCAATAAATAAAAAAGTAATTTATTTATCAAAAGCACGGATGCACAGATATCCAAATTCAACAAGAAGTCGACACCATTTACTAATTAATAAAAATTTAAGTGTAAAGTAACTCAAACTTTTATTAATGAGAAAGGCATTTATTTTTTTTTAGTACCTCGTTACTGATGATTAGTCAGTAACTACAAAACGTTTTTTTTATTATGACATCATCTTATACTGCTTTAATAAAGTATAAAACATTATAAAACCATGATCATATCAAATATTTTTGGAATTTGGAGTAAAAGTATAAGCCAAAACCAAAATTATCCAAAAAAAAACACAAAACTGCAACTGTGCAAAAAGGATTGCACAATCGCAAAATAAATATGTACTGACCACAATTGTGATCAAATAAAAAAAAATATATGTATACACAAAAACAAAATTCACAATAATTACAAGGCATGCACAATTTTTATATATAGAACCAGTTAGATAAGATAGGAATAATCAGATAGAAGGCCAACATTATATATTACATAAGAAGCAACAAATCTTTGTGAAAATTTTGATGAAGTTTGGCAACCAGAAGATTTAAACATTTTCATTGCTGATTTATTGCTTCAAAGTATTATTTTTTAATCAAAATAAAACCCAAATATGATGATTACATTGGCATGGCAAAATTCGTTTTGAAAAATTATATTATAATAAAATAAACAAATAAAAACTCGATGAAATTATAATATGCTCAACAATGTGACAGTAAACACCAACATTTTGTCAGTCTCTGATTTTAGAATCAAAATGTACGATTTTTCGAAACAAAAGAAACGATAATAAATAAAATATATTGAAAAACACATTTGTGTTGTCAAGTATTTATAGTTGGATTGAAGAAATCAACATTTTGCTTCTAAACCGATTCTCCCCCTTCCTACCTTTTTTTGTAAAAGCACCTTATCACCGCAGATATCACAGCTAGTCGAATATTTTGAATTTATAAAATAAAAATAGTATTTACAAAAATGAATGATTTGAATATTTTAAAGTTAAAATTTTGAAATAAGATGAATATAGATTTTGAATTGAACTCATGATACTGTCACTTTGTCATTGGGGGGAGATGGTTGTTATAAGGTTTATCTAACTACAAAATACAAGAAGCATAAGGGGTAAAGCAACAGAAACAAATTCTACAAGGAAAAATAATTAAAAAGAAACTAAATAAATCAGAGATTGGTAAATTAAGGTGTTAAAATTTTGCCATACACAATGCAAACATTGAATACTCTCCAACCAATATGCAATAAATATAAAGTAATATATTTAATCTAGATTGCCTGTCTGATTGACTGTTATTCCAAAGTGGATTAGATTAGCATTCACAATATAATTATTGCACAAGAGTGAAAGAGTTCCTTGTAAAATGGATCATAAATCCTACCTTGTGAGTCCCGATGTGCTCCAACAGCCTCTTGTGCGGCTAAAAATACTTCATCCTGACTTTGATTACCCATATGCCATCCAAAACCTATAAATATTGGGAATTGATTACACATCAAATAATTTCCAACGAAATCTCTTTATTTTCTCAACATGAGTTCTTTAAACATACACTTAAATCTTTATTGTTAATTTTAACAACTTAATCCCGCTTATTCTAATGATAATAATAATAAAAAGTTTAATAAGAAAATTAATATTTAAATTGAAGCTACAAAAATAAAATTGCAATGTAAAGTAATAAGAATTATTAATAGTTATAAGTATTATTAAAATTAAAATAAAGTTTCAACTTGTTGCGTTTATCTGAATCTCTGCTTTCTTATATTCAACTTTTTCAAATATAAATGCATGCTAGTTCTTTTGATTCCGTATACTAAAGATGCGCTAGTGACGGAGGCTCCACGGTTTATAATTGCGTCTAATGCAAGGCAAATACGTTCTTTTGTATATTTCCGGAAAGATGAAGACAAACTGTCAAGGAGCGGCTCGACATTATGATATTGATCTGATTTACCAATTTCGATATACTTGAAACTGTCTGGTGGAAGTGGAGTGGGCAATCGAAGTGGATCTAAAACCAATTACCAAGTTCCACCAAACAATGTCAAGAGGGAATAATTGTGTAGGTTCCTAGAGTGTATTGGGCATAAAAATAAAAGGAGAACCATTTCATTTTACTTTTAGGCTCAAACACTGCGGAACCTATAAACAAAATGATATGTAATATTTACCTTGTCCTGATCCTTCTCCCATGTTGCCATGACTAGGTCCTGCACCCTGATCATCCATTTGTTCCATATTACTCAGGTCATCATCATCTAGCGTTAAATCCTCAATACTGTCATCATTCATTTCCTCCACATATTCAGCCTTTGGTTCAAGCATCAGTTCAGTATGGGTTTCTAATTTTTCTTTTATAGGAACTTGGGGGGCGATTATTTCAGACTCACTAGCTTTATGCCTCAATAAAATCTCTTGTTTGGTTTCTACAGGTTCAGGCACATCGGTTAATTTTGTGTTTACAGGTAATGATGGAATGTTTTGGGCGGGTGTACTGTGGTGAGATTCGGAGGAATTTGAGGCGTCATGATTATTTTCTAGTTCTTCGCCACTTCTTCTACGAGCTCGTTTTCGCCTTCGCGGACCTGGCGACTGCGAACCGTCTCGAGAATTTTCGTCTAAATCTTTCCTACGTTGTTCGATTGTGAGACCTTGCACCTTCGGCAATGATGGGGCTGGCGGCGGACTCTTTGCAGGCGGAGGCGCTGTCTTTTTTTCGTTCTCGCCCTTCCTACTGTCTGATAGGCCTTTGATTTGTAACGACTCCGCCGCCTTCAACAGCGCACCCAGCTGATCTTGTGAAATATTTACTTCACCTCTGTACATGTAGTCCATCATTGCTTTGAGTTCTTGATATTTCACATCTTTTAATATAAATATTGGGTGTTTGTCATAATTTTGTGATAATAACGCCTATTTAAAACAATGAAGAAAAAAAAAACAAGAATAAATTAGTATTTGTTATTGTTTACATTTGGATTGATTGACTTACTTCAAAATATGGGCTGCATGCTGATAATACAACTTTGTGAGCGTTCAAGTATTTCCCTTCAGCAGCCAAAGTGCAGTCAACCAGGACTCCATTTTCCAAAAGAGTGTCAAATACGGCTACAAGTGTGGATTGATGGTTGTTCCACCTCAAGCAAAACTGCTGGTCATCATCCATAGTTGACTAGAAGCAACAACAAAGGAACAGCAATTAGAAAGGGCTTGGTCGAACATGGCGGCATTTCCCGGGAAAAAGAAAATGGCGCGCATACACCCCATGTTTTTTACCTATAGGGGCTATAGGGGGTGTGAGGGGGGTCAGGGGTACGCGAGACCTGGGTGTCGTTTCGATCGATGCAGCGGATGTTGGAAAAGTAAAATTATATACCGGGCCAAACCAGATAACGAGAAATCAATTAAACGGAGCTTCGGAATGGATGTCATAAGGTGAATAAACTTTGGGGAATCTTGGAGAAGCCTCAGGCCGAGAGAACCGTAAAACCTAGTTGTCGAATGGTGGGGGGAAGGGAAAGCCAAGCGGTCACCAACAATGGCCGCTTTTCCGACCAAACTAGGAAAAATGGCGAGGCCTCGTGTGGAAACGCGACGTACCCAATTGAAATTCGATTGAAAATCCACAAAAATCCGTTAAAACCGCAATGTTTTCACCGCACGAGATGTTAGTAAATAAATAAACACGATTAAGCTCAGTTTGGTTGCGTTTGAATGAGAGCTTCCATAATGGATGGGCAAAGCTCGGGATACGTAAGGGTTTACTTGCGAAGCGGAAAACCGAACCGGAAGGGCGCAAATTAATTGAATAATTAATTAATTGGCATAATTACCTATTTTGGCACTATTTCTAAGTAATATCACAATTATTTTTCACTCAAAATATATATGTATTTTTAGGAGCCGACTTGAAGCGTTGTCACATCAGGAATGGCGTTTCTTGACTAAAAGCGACCGGCAAGTTGGCGAGTGGTCGACCGTTTCGGGGCAGCGAAAACTGTCCGAAACGAACGACTGTTGACGTCACGAGCGATGCGCAATGAACGTTTTTAATCGATCTGCGCACGAGTTTGAGCGACTCACCAATGAAAACGCGAGCTTTCGACGCTCAACTTTTGGTGTCGCGAAGGGGGGGCGTCCGATTTCGTTGCGACCACCTCGGATATTACAACTGGCTGCGGAGAAGTGGATACAAGAAGGGAGAGAGGACGGAGAAAACTTAAATCGAGAGAGCGAAGAGATGAGAGGAGAGAATGAATTTGATCCACAACAAAATAGTGAGCGTTTCTCGTCTAATCGTACGTACGTACGGCGCGGTGGGTCCGTTTTTCCACATCGGCCTTTCTGCCATTCCATGTCACACCGCGCTCTTCCAAAAAATCATATTACGTTTCGTGCACACACCGAAGGTCCTCTCGCAGGTTCGTCGCATGTGAAGAATTGCCTTTTTCTCGATTCCGAGCGCCCCCCGCGGTACCCAATAATCTCGCATAATAAGGCTGAAACAGGTAAGAGCCCTGTTTTAATGCCCCAATTTCTCATACAACACCACCACCACCACAATCATCATCATCATCACCTACATATCACATCATTACCATCATCATCATCATCATCTATTTCCTCCCATGATCATCTTCTTCATCTGCCGCTCTCCGTACAGCCGCTCCGAAACGCGGAAATGGACATGTCCCACTTTCGTATTCCGCATTTTCCGACCCCGAAAAAGAAACAAAAACACCCGTACCAACGTCAACAAACAAACCGGAAACCGAACATAAACTCCAATAAAAATTAATTAAGAACTTTCTTTTTACCTCCCCCTCTGCATCCTCTCATACACGATCCTTCCATCCTCCGTACACCCATCTTTGCATTCCGTTTTATTTCGTTACGTTCTTTGTTCCTCTATTCTCTTACTCTGGTTGTTGTTTGTTTTGTTTTGTTTCTTTCTTTCTTTCCATCGTTCTCGCGCGAAATACGCGCCGCATTTTTCTCATTCAAAATTTAAATTGGCGCCGGACGTCAGAACTCTCCCCCTTCCTCGGACGCATTCACGCGTCTGCGTCCATGCGTGCATCGACCAATCAAAAATCGCCAAAATATAAACAAACAAATCGCGTCCGAGCTTTTTTTCGTGCACGCCGCTTTTCGTTTGCCGCGCCAATTTGAATTTCCAATCACGCAACTTAAATTGAAGGCACCACGAGCGTAAGTTCTTATATAACGACAGTAATATTCATAAAATGACATGAATTAATTTTAAATAAATTTAATTATATTTAAATTGACCTCTTTATATTAAGACACCTCAGTGAGAATGTAATTTAAGGAACATAACATTTTTTAAAGCAAGACTTCCAATGAATAACATCTCTTAATAATTGATTAAAAGTAGATTTTTCTACTTTGAACTTCTGTATAAGTGATTAGATATGTCTGTAAATGGATCCGATATCCTTATTACCATTTAAATTGTAGTTAGATTACGAAACATGCTATTAACATCATGTTTATCAGTTTATGAGATGCATGCTGCATTTATTATCCCAACTTGTCTCACAGAAGTATTTTAAATAGGAGATAACGTAGAAATTCACGGAGCTCTCGGTTTTAAAGATTTCATTCTCTAATTGGGGTGAATACATGGTATGCATTAATAAGATGAGTAGACATGTATTAATTTAATTCAATACAAATAATTACTGCCTTCAGTTTACGTTTTGTGCATATTTAAACTAAAACTTTTCATTGACCAACGAATTACGCGTATGTTGTTTGTTTTCTTAATATTGTTTTGTTGCGGTTACAACTTTGATAAGTGTTGTTTATGTTCCTAATGTATGCAAGACGTTTTAAATATTCAGGTGTCATGAATATTGAATTAGATTGTGCGACTTCCTCGTGTTGTTTTTGATTGTGAATCTATATTGACTTTTCTATTTATTATTATTATTATTTCGTTAAATAAACGTTTGTTATTTTTTTGTGTGAATTTTGTTGTTTTTCTTTTCTTTATATATAACGAAGGAATCCTCGGTGAATAAGAGTCATATTCCTTTGAAGCAAACATCATTTTCTTCTCTCTCTTTTTGCCCGGTTTTCGTCGTAAGAGAGAAGAGATAATGCCCGAGTATTCATCATCGTATCTCTCTTTTTTCCTTTTCCGCTGTCTCTCTTCGTAATTTAAGATAGAAATGCTAGGGGAGAAGATGATGAAAAGGGCAAAAGAGGAGATGTGTATGAAAGGACCAATGCGAAGAGAACGGTTTTCCCATTCCCCCCACCAACTCTCTCTTCTTTCTCTCATTCTCAACGCCTACCTCACCATCTCTCCTCCCTCTATCTTTTCCCCTCGCCGTTGCTGCCTTTGTGCTTTCGGTTTCCATCCCCCCTACCCCGTAAAGAGCGTCCTTTCGGGCTGCCCTTCTTCCGAATTAGACTGGAATCGATAAAAGGGGAAACACCAAGAAGAATTGTTTTTAATGTTGTAACAAGTAGAATAAAATGAATCGAGTGGGAAACAAAAATGTAATTAATTATTCTCGTTGCTTGCTTTGTAGTTTTCTCGGGGACCGTTCCTTGAGGTGGCTGAGGAGCAGGAAGATATATTAAATATTATATATATATAAGAGAAGCGGGTGTACGAAGGGAAACCCCGTTTGAAAAGCTTCCGCAGCAGCAGCAAGAAGAGCGAGTCAGACGATCGTAAAATATGGCAAAGAAAGAGGAGCAAAATCGATAGGGAAAATGCTTATTTTCTTGAGGGCGTTAGAGCGAACTCGCGAATATCCAACTCAAAACCGAAGATTCTTACCAACGTTGTAGATGTAATGAAAGTTTTATTAGTTTCTCTATCTTTATTTGTTTTATTATTTGTTTAATATCTCTTTGTCTCTTTATACACTTTTCTCTTTATACATATAATAATAATTCGGAAGTTGTGTGATGTGTGATAAAGACGAATGAATTGTTTATTTATAGAATTATGTCTGGCCAACATTACTGCCTGCGATGGAACAATTATCAAACGAATATGACTTCGGTGTTCCATCAGCTTTTGCAGAATGAAGCTTTTGTCGATGTCACATTGGCATGCAACGATTTATCATTAAAAGCGCACAAAGTAAGTACAAGAACATCCCCCTTTTTTGAGTTGAGTGTGTTGCAGCGTGCAGAGAAAAAAAAAACTACATACAATAATACAACATAACATCCCCAACCGTTCATTTTCCTACCAGCCCCCTTAGGGGACCCCAATCTTTTTTTTTTGTCCCCCTCGCTCGTCATCTAAATTATATACACGAATCAAATTTCAAAAAGAGTAAATACAACAACTTTCACCCAGTGCTCACGAACTGGTTTATTCAATTATTTACGTTTTTTTTTTTTGTATACCCGCATTCATATGTAGAAGTGAAATACTGAATACATATTTAGATTTTCTTTTTGATCTTCCCCAATACAAATTTTAGAAGAAGCAATGTTTTGAAGTTTGGGTCATGTCTTCAACTCTCCCACCTTTCCCTTAAATTTGTTTTTATGTGTTGTGTGTTGTTGTTGATGTCCTTCATGCCTGCCTGCTGCCCTTCTTTAAAATATTTTTTCTTGACGTTGCCCTGCTCGAATTTGAAGAAAACAGGGGAATAATTAACGGAAGTTGGTGTTCTTTTTGCAGGTCGTATTATCCGCCTGTTCCTCTTACTTTCAAAAACTCCTTCTAGAGAATCCGTGCAAGCATCCCACGATCATAATGCCACAAGACGTGTGCTATGCCGATCTGAAATTCATCATTGAATTCGTATACAAAGGAGAAATCGACGTTTCACAAGCAGAATTGCAGGTAGGATCTTTGTGAAAACTACTTTACTTTTTCTTTTGATGTTCTCTCGCGCCTTCTCCGTTCTCTTCTTTTCTTTCAATCTTTTTTTTTTTTTTACTTATCTCTTCTCTTCTGCTTCTTGTATGTGTGTGCGCGCGAGTGAGCGTGTATATGTGCGCGCGTTTTCTTTCTTTTGTTTTGTTTTCTCATCTCTCTCTCCCATTTATTTATCTTCTTTGAAGAGGCATTCCTCTCCAGTTCCCCCCATTGTTCTCTCGCTTTTGAGCAAGGGGGAAAAATGCTTTTTTATGAATGGCGCACATGTGAAAACGGATGGAGAGAAAACGAAGCGTCAGGCGAGCGACGCTCGTCTTTCTCTTTTCTGACTCTTCCCCCATCGAGAAACGTTCATTTCCGCGATCGGAGGTGGCGACTTTTCGAATTTGCGAGCCAAATTTTCCGTTCGCGAAAAATGTTAAGAGGCATATATAAAAAAAAATATAGGAAACTTGGTGGCACATAAAAAAATCGATGCATCCGGGAGACGTGCGACATCTAGCGGATCGCGCTCCACCGAAAATTGCTTCATGCATTGAACACTAGATGTGGAAAAAATTACGAATATCGAACACGAGGAAAAGTCATTAACCCAAATTTATAATTTATGAACAAAAATCCGCTCGTGTAATGTTTTTTTTTTTCATTTCTTCCTCTGTTGTTGTTCTCTTTCTCTGCATGTTTTATCCTTTGCTTTCTTTCGTCGCGAAACAGAAGAAAATATTATAATGTGGCTATTGTATTTTGCTTATTAGCCGACGAGAAAACATAGTTTCAGGTCATTAATTCGCAAGTTTGAGAAGTTAATTAACTATGTTCAATATATTTCGGAAACGTTTCTGCTTTAATTGTTGAAATGAGAAAAGCACAGATTTGAGTCATATTTGCGGCCGTATGGTGTGAGGCTTTCGAAACGCCATGGCAAGAATGTATTAATTGCGACAGAGGTAGAATGTGTTGTTGGATTTAGTGAGAGGTGGCCGAAGGATCAAGATGGCATCGTTAAGTTTGAAGTGTGCATTTTGCATTCGACGGTGGCCATTCCATGTAGATGGAAGTAATAAAATCCCCCTGAATGCAACCCGATCTATTTTCCAGCGCCTTTTCCTTAACCCGTCCCTCCCCCCTCCCCGTGTTGCGAAGAAAAGGAAGCCCTCTATTTCTTCTACCTGCTTCGGAGCTTTCGGTCCCCCGAGACGGACGACTTAACGTCCCACATCGTAAATTGCTTGCTCGGCCAATACACATTTTTCTTACAAAACTATTTTTCATCCTTCCTCCCAAGTCAAACCAAGACGAATAACGAAATATTTATGACCGTTCCTCCTCTGAAATAAACATTTTTGCCGCATTTACAAAATTTATAAAAACTTGCACTTTAATGGCCAATAACATCATTAATTTCAAGTAGTATAGTTCATTCAATTGAACTTCTTATATCTTCATTTCAAGTCAATTGGAATAGATGAAAATGATCATAAATTTGAACTTAAATTGCAAATGTTATAGTTAATTATATTGTATAACATTTTTCATCGTACTCAGTCGGACAACCATAGAAATAAAATTATAATTTACAAACCAGTTAGATTATATAACAATTCTTCGTAATATATGAAAGGAAATTACTAAACTTCTATCTGCCTTTGGTTTAATTACTCTAATTAATTATATATTAACTTAATTATATCAAATAATTAATGATTAATTCTTGAAAATACTCATTTAGGTCATTTGTTAAATATTCTAATATTTAAACTATTTATTAGAATTATATTATTTACAGAGACGATTATTTATTTATTTAATTTTTTTTCTTCTATTTTTTACATTGTTTTTTCTCTGACTTGAGTTATAAACATAAAAAGGATTCATCAGTAATTAACAAAACCAGCAACACTATTTAGCAATTGGTAGGAAATTGCTACACTTTTACCAATGTCTGGATTTCATTAATTTAATTCAAACAATTTCATCACCTCGTTTTAAAATTGTTGCTAATTATTATAAATTATTCTACTCGAATATGTTATTCAATTCACACCATTTCGAACTTAGACCAATTAGATAAATATTTATCTACAAGAAACCTACCAACTTTTAACATTTTTTTGTTATTCAATTATTTCATTAATTGAACACACGTGCTCAACCTTAAAACCTACTATGAATACTTAATTAGGTCATTTTTTCGCAATTGTTAATACACGAAATTTCTTTCTAAAACTCGTCGTAATCTCCGCCAATTTGTTGAGTAATAACATTCTTCGAATGTGTTGCAACGAGCATATTACATAAGTTCAGATTTGATGGTAGTTTTAGAAATGATTTTATTCGCATTTTATATTCTTGCATTCAACAATTATTTTAATCAATAGTCGGTTGGACTACGCCCTCATTATTTGTAAATTAAATTTCATTTTTTGCAGTTTATATCAGGAACAATTTTTGGAAAAGATTTTTCAATTTATTAAAATATTTCTTGTTTTCAATAGAAATCTAATATATTTTATCAACTTACGAAACACAAGAGAAAACTAAGTTAATATGATTTCTGTAAAATAAAATATAAGTAATTAAGTTAATTAGTTGATAATTCAACAATTAATTTCCGTTTTTTATCATAGTCGACAAAAGTATTTTAAACTTTTACTTTCATAATTGAACAGTTATTTTTTATATAAATTAATTAATATAAGAATTATCATAAGTGCGTAAATGTGTTTCTAGAAAAAAATAAATAAATGGTCGAAATGCACATTGAGACATTTGAGAAGAAAACGTGTTTACGGGTTTGGACTATTCGGGAAATTTCACTATCTTTCATCTTGAAAACCCTTGGTTATAAGCCGCCACAGCTTCTTGGTAATACTTAAAAGAAACCCTAGAACAGATTTCATATTTGAGATTCTGTACATTTTATTGTCGCACTTGAAAAATCCATATAAATATGAAAGGAAAGTCAAGTCGATTTCGACGGAAGATGCTCTAAATAAGTGGCCGACATTTACTGCTACTACTCTCGCCTCGCCGCTTTATTTCCTCCTCGCAACAGTACGAACCCTTCCTCAACCCCTCCGACGTTATTCGTTCAGTCTAAACGTAAACCATCCCCATATGCGCTCAACATTTCCTTCCGCACTGTTTCCTTAATTGCCCTTAGCGTCTTTAAACTCCGTACATTACTTTAACTAATTTAATTAACAGTGTAATCTCTACTAAATAATGAACAGATATTTAATGAAATACAAATGGTAGCAATGACATATTGTACAAGACAATCAATCAATTGTAATTAATGAAACTGTGATCGCATTTCAATTTCACTTTCCGAGGAGCTTTCCAATATGGAATTTATTTTTATTTTCTTAATGTCGAAAGGTCGACTTGTAACATGATTGGTAGATAAGTCAAGCATAAATAGTTTAGATTTGTGTTTACTTCGGGGAAAATATGAACTTTCGTAAATATTTCCATATGTATCAAAGGTCTTCTAAATTTATCAAGTTTTTTGGAAGTTTTCAACAGATAAATATTATTTATTTCTATTCATATATTTGTAATAACGATTACAACTTGTAGTGAAGTTGCTTTTACTGGATAACCTAAAGCCTATTCAAGTTCAACGAAGACCTTTTGATGCAATCATAAAGCATATAGAAATATTTAAACTTTTCTAGTAAAATCTGAAAATCTAAATATCATTTTGGATAAATTACAAAAAAAGTAATATTTATTTCGAGAAATTACCAAATATCTGGAACATTTCAACAATTATATTTTGTTTCAATGTTTTGAATTTTATGTGAAGAAAATGTGAAATATTTTCCTTTCTGTATTTGAATATCTCACTACATAATGGATAATCTTCTGCAAATCTATGGTTATTGATACATTTTAATCGGTCCTGATTTTTTTTATGATATATAATAAATTTGTTTAAAGTTTCGTCATAAAACAAACATCCCCTGATTCGAAAATTGTTTGCTTTTCGTCATAGGGCAATATTTGTTTTTTACGAGTTCAAATTTTCCGGATATCTTAATCTTGAAGGAATCAACAAATATTATCATTGAGTGAATACTGAAGTGCGGCGAATGATGATGATGAATAGGAAAATTCCGTCTGGGAAATTTTACCGCTGAAGGGGAAATTTCGAGCATTACATTTATTATATTTTAACGACATATGTAGTAGCCAAAGCAACAAAAGTCGTTCTCGTCGGTTGAGCGAGGGGAAAGGAAACCGGGTGCACATTTCGTTCCCCCCTTTCTCCTTCGCCGCCGCACCTCTCAAAGGTGGGAAAGGATATGTGTTCTAAGGCCGACTAAGTTTTACACACACACACATACACACTCCACTCCGTCCGTTTGTCTTTGACTCCTTCATCATCATCATTATTATTATTATTGCTTTTTTTCCGCCTTCCTTTTGTTGACCACGCTTCGTGGAATTCCTCGGCGCGTTTCCCCCCACCCGTCGTTGAGCACCGGACCTCCCACCGATCCCCCCGCGCGCGACTCCGGTCCGGCTGCGCGGCGAAAGAGAGCAAAAGGAATGTAATTTGGTAGCCCTGAAAAAGGTGACTGAGTCATTTCTGAAAATTCCGTAAATTTGGTAACACTGAACAACACTTAAGTCGTGTTTACATGACGAGGCACAGCGGTAAGTCGCTTTTCCGTTTATTATCCTCTATTTGTTTCCGATCGCGCCGCGCTCAGGATTTTTCCCGTCCACACTTTGGGTGCTGCATGCATATTGCAGAGGTTGGGTTTTTTCCGTTTCCATTTTTTTTCTTCTCCTTCTTGATTATGTGAGTGTCTGCGTGTGTACGTACTCGTATATGTGCGTGTATGTGTGAGTGGTGCGCACGTATGTGTCCAGTTTATTATTATTATTTTTTATTGTTGTCTTTACTTTTCTTTATATTTTTTATGTATATGTACATGAAAGTGTGTGCATAT